ATGCAACTTTCACAATGGGTTGGTGTTGGGAGGGGGTTTCGCAACGGGTTGCTTTGCTACGGAGTTGTGCTTGCGGTTGGCGGCTTAGCTACTGTAACGCACCACGGCAGGACTGAGCAATAAGCCTGCTTAGATCCCGAGGCCGATTGCGTAGCTATTAGGAACGCGAACAGTCCTGAAACCAGTACGGCAAAGCTTCGTCAATATAGCTCCCCTCAGTCGATGTCCATAGCTACTCCCAGAATCACTTGAGGTCACTTGAGCGCTTCCCAACAAAGCTCTGCGCCCTGACTGCAACAGTGTTCGCACATGCTCCTTATGCTCTTGTGCACGATTCCTATTTCCCATCCAAGCATCCACCATGTACACCCACAGTCACCCAACATGCCTGACCCGCGTGAGCCCGCGTCCTTGCTTCCTGGTACACCAATGCATCGTGCACCTGTCCTCAGCAATTACGCCACCCGCCCACATGCTCCGTAATGCTTCCTCCTACAAAAAATTCAGTTTCGTGCACGTAATTTGTTGGGCAACCCCACCGCCGCACCATTGCCCGCCGCAACAGCTGCCGCAAGGCTCTCGTCCAGCGCCGCCGTCACTAGCTGCCTGTCCCGTGTGCGAGCATGCTCCAAAACCACACCAGCAGCCCTTGCGTACAGCAGCTCCAAGGCCTCAAACGACCAGTCCGCCGTTGTGGACACGGTGCGCTCCAGCAGCGCCTTAGCCCGCTCCAGGGCTACCGGGTCCTGGGGATCACGCACCACAAGGGCCACCTCTGAGCCCATACCCTGCGCCTGGTGGCCAGGGTATTCGGGCTGCGCCCGCAGCTCATCGCTTGCATGCCCCCCAGCCACGTCCTTCAGAATGTCATCATCATCATGATCATTATGATTGTCATCGTCCACCCTGCCGCGGGCCGGCGCTGGTGTCCCTTCTCGCAACTGGCCCTGCGACCCTGCCGCCTCCGCTTGCGTTCCTGCGTCCACCTCCATGGCTCCGTCCTGCCCCTCAGCAGGCTGTGTTTCCCCAGGCTCCCCCGCCTGCAACCGGGTGCCTGTCGCATCCAACGTCCCGCCATTTGCCCGGGCCGGTATGTCCACGTTACCCGCCGCAGCCACTGTCGATACGGCGGCAACGGCGGCCGACGTCCCTCCCAAGCCGCTGGGCCCGGCCTGCACCCCATCCGACACTCTTCTGGCCCCAGTCTGCGGCTGTTGCTGCTTCGGTTCCGCTGTGTGAGCTTTGCCTGGCGGAGACGTCGCCTCCTTGCCGTCGTCAACCGCCGCGTCATGTCCCGCGGACCCATCATCCGGCCTGGGTCCCGCCAGCTGTGCGTGCACATGCGCCTGGGATAACCGGCAAGCCTGCGCTGCGCCGGCCCCGGACACCTGCTGCTCGCGCTCCCGCTGCTGTAACAGCCGCGTCTTCCGCAGTAGCGCCTCCGGGTCATCGAACATGGGCATGCAGGGCCCGTCCGAGTGACCGCCATGACCACCGGCTCGCTGCCGCGTTGCATAGCCGCCGGCACCAGGCCCACTGCCGCCGCCAGTTGCGGCAACGCCACCAGCCCCAGCACTCCCGGTCCCACCGCCGCCGGCCGCTGCTGTCCCAACAGCTGCCGTGCGCGCCGCCGCCACCACCTTTGCCCTGGCTACTGCCAGCTCCTCCACCAGCTCCATCCCGCGCGGCGGCGGCGCGGGACCTCCCCGTGCGAGGATGTCCTCGCAGCGCTTAGCCAGCTCCAGGGGCACCCGGGCTTTAACTAGATGCTCCGCCTCGTCCGCCAGGGCAGTGGCACGACTGAGATCACGGACGGAATCCACGTAGTACTCCCTGGCTCCCTGTGCGACGCCGCGCGCAACCGTGGGACCAAGTGCTTGTGCAATTTTATATATTGCGCCGCAAGGGATGGCGCGCGCGCGCGTGTGTGTGTGAGTTGGGTCAATGGGCAGCGGGCCGCCCCTCCGTGCGTGCTTAAGAGGGTTTCCCGAAACGACTACCTAGCGTGCGTTCATAGTCCGTGGAGTTGCATGATGCATATGTCGCATATCCAGTCGCGCACTGACCCAGATGAGGTATAGCCTTACGGGGCCCGGCCGCCTGCAAGGATCCCCCCAAGGGACACCGAGACGACTAAGAACTCATCCAGCAGTCCTTTCGTGCTAGATTTATGCCTATGCGAGCAGTCGGCCGGTCGCAGCGAGGGGCCGGCTGGCAGCTCCTACCTGCAATATAAGCGCCACATCCGACAGGTACTGGCCAATGGTGACGTAATGTCGAGCATCCACGCGGGCCAGCACCGTGGCCAGGTCCATCGGGTTGCTCACCTGCAACTCGGGACACGCGGCGGAAGGAGAGGCCGTCTGTAAAGGCAAGGAAGCTACGTTAGGAGCTACGGCAAGCAGACCGGGGAGGAACGGCTCTCGTAGTGGCCACCACCAAGTCTTCTGCTGCTGCTGCTGCTGCTGCTGCTGCCGCTGCTGCAGCAGCCATCACGGCCATCACATCCCCCATCTTACCATTCAGTACTGGCAGCTCGTTCCAGGTGTTCAGTGACTTACGAGCCCCAGTGACCTAGTGACTTACGAGCTTTGCAGCCCAGCATCATAGCGCCGGGCCCAGCAATCCACATCGCCTCTCGGCGCACAAGCACCCATACCATCCACCCGCACCTGATACTGAGGAAACCCCGCAGCCCAAGCACCGTCTTAACCATCCCCCAGTTTTCACTCACCAGCCGCCAGTAGTCCGGGTCCTCCGCGGGATCCACAGGCGCAGAAAACTGTTTCCATCGCCGCTCGTTAAGAAGGGTCAGGGTCACGCCGCGCAGCGCCATCCGCAGCGACCGCAGCGCCGCCTGGTCCTCCTCATACGCCCGCCGCGCCGCCAGCTCCTCGGCGCTGCGGGCCTCCGCCGCGCGGGCCTCCGCCACCGAAGGGTCCTTGGGCAGCGGCTCTGCCGCCGCCGTGGCAGCTGACCCGGACACGTCAGCGGGTGCGGCCAAGAGGGCGGGGTCCACCGGCTCCGCGGCGGCCATGATGGGCTCCTACAAGTTACGTTCACATGGCTTATATATACGCGTCCACTTTACGGTATAGTGCTCCCCATACGGGTGATGCCATGAAGAGGGCTATGGAGCAGGCAAGCCCTGGGAGGACTCCAGCCAGGATGGTTGCTGATATCTGGTTAAGACGCATAAGCTTGTGATAAGTTTGCTTTTTTTCTTTTTTTCGTCCTTGTCGAACTTCCCTTAGCAGGTCCTGGGCTCTCTTAAGAGCTTCCACAACCAGCACGTAACATAACAGCTTAGGTCGTTAAAGCACATGTCAAAACCAAAGATGCGGACGGCAGGATGACTAGGAGGTCACGAGGCATTAAGGCTTGGTTGTTCAGCTACTGAAGGGGTATGGTGGGAAGACGAACCACACACGATTGAAGCTGCTGCCAGGGCAAGAGGGTATGGTGGGCCGGAACGGGCACATGCGGTGCAAGTTGAGGATGAATTCAGCCCAAGGATGCCGACTCTTGAGCACCAACGCCCCGCACTACGCAAGCGGCTAGCTCCCGCGTCCGCGTCCGCGACCCAGCCGGCGAGGCGGCCTTGCACCGGCGAGGAGGCCTTGCACCGGCGAGGAGGCCTTGCACCGGCGATGGAGGCGAGGCGGCCTTGCACCTCCCTTTAGCGAGGAAGACCTCGCCCAGCCATTCAGTCTTCCAGTGATCCCCACACCTACGCCGATACCCATGATTTCCCCATCCCCGCCTTATCTCCGCCTATCTGCTCGTCCCTCTAGCCTGAGGTCCTCTCTTTCTTAATCCCGTCGTTCAGATTCTCAGAGGATCTCTGACAACATAATCCGCTTGCAAGCACCGGCATGCTCACTTCGTTTTTGCAAGAAGTGGGTCAGCCAACCGTCTCAAGTACAACTGACGTACCCGTCAAGGGACTCAGCACTCTCCAGCACCATGCCTCACCTGCAGCATTTCCCTGCGCTGCTGCTCCATGGGCCGCTGCAGCACCACCACGTCCTCGGTGCCGGAGAAGACGCCCGCCCGCACCCCCCGGTCCAACTCCCCGAACGGCACGTCCGCAGTGGCCAGCAGCAGCAGCGGCAGCTCCGGGGGCAGGTCACGCAGCAGCATCACCAACGTGGCGCGCAGCTGCGGGGTCGCCGTCTGCCACCAAAGCTGCAAGTGCGGTAAGAACAGGATGGCTGGAGCGGACCTGCAGCAGCAGCAGCCAGGTGGAGAACTTTGTGCTATCTGGTCTGGAACGTGGGCGCAAGCCCCAATCTGGCCATAGCGCAGCACTGATGGTCAAACTTCGCCAAGCATACATACAACTACTACCAAAAAGCCGTAAGTTCGCGCTCCTGCGATACCCGCAGCCATCTGCCCGCTGATTTTGTCGTACACTCACGCCGTCTAAAGCGAAAACATTGCTCGTACACCTACCTGCGTGCCTCCACAAACGCCCACACTAGCGCCTCCTCCGGCGACCTGGCGCCGGGGTTGGCCAGCAGCGCCGGCAACCCGATAGCGTGTGCTGGCAGGCCCTCCAGCGCGTACAGCAGCGCCGCCGCCAACTGCGCTTGGCCACATGCCGCTGGACCGCAAAGGAGCAATCGCGGCCGCGACACCAGAAACGACGGCAGGCGGGCCAGCAGGGCGCCAAAGGCGCCGCTGCAGGCGGCACCACCAGGCAGCCGCAACGTGCCGGTGGCGGCGGCGGCGGCGCCGCCACAAGGGCCCACTCGGCCCGGCGGGAGGATGAGGGACGTGGAGGCGCCGGCTCCACCAGCTCCGCCCTCCCGGGCAACGCTGGCCGATAGGCACTGCGCCGCTGGTGGGAAAGTACTTTTGAGGCGGCCCAGGATAGCGGCCAGGCGCGGCGCCAGGCAGAGCGCGGCGCCGCCGGACAGCGGCCGCGCGTGCGCAGCAGCGGAGCGGTTGGAGGCAGGTGTGACGGTGCTAATGGCCGCCAGGAAGTCCTCCCGCTCCACGCGCACGGAGGCGGGCTCCACCAGCAGCTTATCCTCAGATGCATAAATTTGCGGGTACCTGACCCACGGGTCGCACGCGGCGAAAACGTTGCCGTGCACGGTTGATTGCAGGCCTCAGGCGGTGGAGAGCCGATGCAGCAAGCGGGAATCAAGACACTCGGGTGGCAACCATCAGAGGCAACGTGCAGCATGGAGTGGGCGGCGCCCGTATACTGCCATGTGCACCTTGTCCTGACGTGGCCCAGTCAAACAAGCAGAGAAACACACAAGCGCAGCCTAGCATGACGCCCACCCTCCTCACCTGCGGCGCACGGCGTGCAGCGCGGCCTCAGCACAGACGGCCTTGAGGTCCGCCCCGCAGTACCCCACACACAACCCGGCTAGCTCGTCCAGCAGCTGAGCGCTAGGCCGCTCCGACCACTTGCGAGTGTGGATATCCAAGATGGAGCGGCGCGCCTGCGGGACCAGGAGGGCGGTCCACAAGGATGTAGCTCGCTCAAAGGACAGCCACCAGGAAGGGCAAGAGGGTGAAACCCGCTACTACGTCTCCTCAAGCCGCGATGTGCCCTCCTTCCTCTGTCCTGAAACACACCCACGCCCACATCCGGCTTCACGCGCAGGCGCATGCCCCTGCAGGCCGACGTGTACTTGCACACCGGCACTGCCCGACAGCCAATTCCGCCTGTGCCACAACGCATATTGGCTTCAGACATGGAAGCGGCCCAAGAAACCTGGAACCTGTCCCAAGGAGCCCACCTGCAATCCCGGCAGCGGGAACAGCAGCTCCCGGTCGAACCTGCCGGGCCTCCTCAGCGCCCCGTCCAGTGCGTCCGGGCGGTTAGTGGCCCCGATGACCACCACCTGGCCCCGGCTGTCCAGGCCGTCCATGAGGGCCAGCAGGGTCGACACAATGGAGTTGTGGATCTGGTCCTGGCGGCTGCTGCGGACCTTCATTTCGGAAGCGGAAAACCAGGGGAGGAAGGTTGACATAGCATTACGACTTTAATCTCTACGTTATCTACCAGCCATCGTGCCCCCGTCCCAGCTAACACTCCGAAACCCTAGCTAACACTGAGGCTGACCGCCGCCACCGGAATGGCCACACTGTCCACAGAACACACCCAGCCACATCGCCACCCACCGGTGCGAGTCCGTCGATCTCGTCAAAGAAGATGATGGCGGGTGCGTTGCGCTGCGCCTCCTCGAACAGCAGCCTCAGCTGCCGCTCGGCCTCGCCCACCCACTTGCTCAGCACGTCGGCGCCCTTCCGCATGTAGAACGACACCTTGCGGCCGCCGTAACGGCTAGCGTGGGCGGCAAGAGCACGGGCAACCAGCGTCTTGCCTGCAGGACAAGGCCACGGATCCATCCGGGGAGGCCACGAGACCGTCCGAGTCATTCATGGATCGATCCACCCGCGCCGAAACGCGGTCCTTTCCAGCGGTCCATTCCCGACGCCACGGCATGCCCCACACGACTCCCACTCCGCGCCGAGATCCGCCTGCCCGCCGCAACCGTCCCTGCCCTCCCCGCCGCGGGCAGTCTCTGCTCGCCCTCCCGGATTCCCACCGCCCCTCGGCCATAGGGCCCACCAGGGAGACAACAACGCTGCCGTACCCGTGCCAGGCGGTCCGTAGAACAGCACCCCCCTCGGTGGCTGCACGCTGAAGCGCGTAAACAGCTCCGGGTAGACCAGCGGCAGGAACACCATCTCTTTGAGCGCATCGATGTACGAGTCCAGCCCGCCCACCTGGTCAAATCCTACACTGGGGTCGACCTGCGCGTGTTAGACGGGGCCAAGGCAAGGTCAAAACGGAAAGAATGCGGGGTGGTGGAGTGTGACATGTTATGATGCTATGTATGCTTTAGGAGGCAGGAGGGCCGTGAAGGAGTGGCAGGAACCTGGAAGGTAGTGATCGACGCCCTCTCAGCTTACACGGGCTCAGGGCCAAGGCACGCAGCACGATACGCCATGGCGGCGGAGCGAGCGACGCAATCCTGGACAAAAGGCGTGGTAATTAATGAATGCGATGTTTTGACGTGCAATACACCGCAGAAATCGCAGACAATAGACGCTGCTGCCTGCTAGCCAGCAGGAGGGAAGCTAAAGCCGTTGTTAATGGGGGTGAGGCAGCCATCCCCACCCACGTAATGGGAACCGCAGCCGAATTTAATGGGGCAGCCAACCTGGCTCCTCCCGCCCAGGCATGTCTTCACCCTGCAAGAAGCACGCGCGAGCCAAGATCACGCCCACCTACCGCCACAGGGTTAATTTCCGCGTTGCCAGCCTTCTCTTTGCCTCCGGCGCCTGCAGCCAACGCCGCCGCGTCCGCCAGCAGTGCCTGCTCCCAGGCCGCCAGGGGTGCAGCCCCGCCGACACCGCCATGACCGCCGCCTAGCGGCCCGGGTGTGGCTGCGGCCACTGCCGCCGCGGCTGCCGCCGCGGCTCCTTGAGCCCCTGCCCCCGGTCCCATGTGCGCTGCGCTGCTGGGCACCACCTGCGCTCCGCCGTGGGCGGTGATGGGCTGGCCGGGTAGCGGGGTTGCGGGAGGCGCCTGTGCAAAGGCACCGGCCTGCCAAGAAGCCACTGCAGTTTGAGAATTGCATGAAATGGGGGTGGGAGCATGCGGAGTGGCAGGACTTAAAGCAACCAGAGGGCAGGGCAGGGCTTGGTGATTATGCGCCCGTTACAGTTGCAGCTTACGGACGAGCAATACATAACCCACATGCAGAGTGTAGAGACAGAATATAACTAAGGGTTGGGGCCTCAGGAGGAAAGGATGAAGCGGGTTGCAAGGCGGGCGAGCCCGGCAGTAGGGGCTGGTAAGCCATCGTCAGGGGACGTGGTACAGGTCACACATATGCGCCAAGCAGGCCCAAGCCAGCCATCGGCACCGCACCAGACATGTGATCTGGGCCCACCCCTCCATAACCCACATTGTCCAATTCCCTGATGGACGTTGCGCCAGGGGTTGCCACCGCTGGTGCAGTCAACGTCCGGAACGTCGTCATCGGAGATACCGCTGCGCCAACCCCACCCGCCGCCTGAGCGGCGGTTGCTACCTCCCCCGCCTCCCCCTCCCCCGCCACCTCCACCGTGCTTGCCGCCGCTGGCTCCCTGGCCGCGGGAACGGTCCCGGAAACGTTTGCGGGCCCTGCATTGCAGCAGTGTACGGTACCGGGTGCGTGCGTTGGGTATTTAGGGAGGACAGACAGGGACGAGTTTAGGCCGCTGTGTACCAACCGGTACCGCTACAAGTCCGGGCGGGTGCAACAGTGCTTATGGGGGCTGCCTCCGCCAGCCAGCAACTCATCAGCGGTCCCCCGTGCCCGCCTAGATGCGCAAGTTGCGGAGTCACATTTCCTGCCGCCACTCGTTCCATGTATCCCTTCCATGGCGTTTTGCATAACACCAATGCATCTTCCGTTCCCTCCAAGGGCATACCCCGCTCACATCAACTCCCGTTGTCTGAGCTCCTCGCGCTGCCGCTGCTGTTCCTGGACCTGCATGGGCACCATGCGGCTCCGATCCCGCAACGTGTACCGCCGCGCTGGGCCCTTGCCACCGTCACCCTTGCCCCGGCGGCGGCCAACGGACCGGCTGCGGTCCCCACCCCTGCTGCGGGACCGTACTCGGTCCCTGCGGCGCTTGGCCTCCCCGTCCTCCTCCCCGTCCTCCTCCTCGCCCTCCTCCTCCTCGTCCCCATCCTCGTCGTCGTCGTCGTCCTCATCGCCTCGTCCGCCGCCGCTGCGCCGGCTAGGGCCCTCCCCAGGTTGCTCCTCGGAATACCGGGGTCGCTTTGCGGGGTGCTTCCGCAAAGCATTGACTTGGTGTCCTCGAAGATGGTAGCGGCCTTTATACACGCCTTCGTCCTCGTCCTCTTCATCTTCTTCCTCCCCTTCGCTCTCCTCTTCATCTTCCTCGGCAATGCCTTCCTCGTCGTCCTCGTCCTCCTCAGCCTCCTGGCCATCCCTGTGGCCGTTCGCGCGGCGGTGCTGCCCGGTCCTACCGCTGCGGCCATCCTTAGCCTCGCCGACGCCTCCGGACGTGCGCCGCGGGCGCCGGTCATCTTCGGCGTCGTGATCATCATCTCCAATGCCGTCGCTATCGTCGTCCTCGCCACCAGACCTGCCGGAATCGCTAGTGGCGTTGCCGGCTGGGCTGCGGCTTAGCTGGGCGCTTCGTCGGATGCCCCTCTGGCTACTCCGCCGCGTCGCAACGGTCCGAACTGCGTGCTCGCCGTCACTGTCATCCTCAGCTTCCTCACTGCTATGGCTTGCGTCACCACCGTGACGAGCCTGGAGGCATGAGCGGGTAGAGAAATAATGATGCAAGGTATAGCTAGCCATCTGCCAGGCAATGTCAGACACAAAAAATAAGCCCTTCCATGCCAATGGCCTACCTGGCGCTGCTGCTGCTGCGGTATTGTTAACTGCTGAGACTGATGGTTCAGCAGCCGTGCGCTTGTCCGCCGCACTGATAGGCCTCCCGCGTCTCGGCTTGGCCCGCTGCTGCCTCCGCCCGCACCGCCGGCGGCGGTGGCGGGTTTAGCTGACGTCATAGGTTGCTGCTGCAGCTGTCGCTGCTTGGGTGACATTTGTGACCGCAGGCGAGCCTTTTGGTCAGCCTTCATGTACATGCAAGACAGCGGATTGCACTGGTGAAGAGGGGCGTACTGTTACCGTGGAAAAATAGCACAAGGCCTGCTACGACCTATGGGTGGTGCCCTTCAGCTTGGAGCAGCACTGCATCGTGGATGCAGAATGCACAGCGGCGCGTGTCATGGTGGGATGGAGCAAGGAGCACCGAGGTTCACAGCCACCTACTTTACAATGCCACCTTTGAGAGACCCACGGGTCACACGCAGCAGGCCGGCATATTATAACACGCACACAGGTGAAAACGGCCATGCCATAGCTTCATCGTTCCTTGCCTTGAGACTAGCCCCTTACATTCCAGACGGTATTGGTTACACAGCGAAGAATTACACCAGGCACCGCCACACCTGAGGGCTATTATCGACGAACCCCACTTTCCGCTCGTCGTCGTCCTCCACGTCGTCCTGCGACCGTTCCTCCTCCGCGCTAGCGTCGTGCTCCGAGTGACCACCTTCCCGCCCCTGGCCCGAACTGCCGCCTCCCCCATGGTACGGCGGTACGAGGGAGGGGCCTGACAGCCTGGTGCTACGTCGCGGTGCCGCCTGCTGGTTGTGGTTGTGGTGCGAAGAGACACTGATGTTGTTTGCCTTTGAGGACGCAAGGGCATCTCTCCATGCGACATGTGGCGGCCTGAGACTGCAAAGTCCTGTCCATTGACTCGTCCCAATCAACATCCATGACGCTCCTTTACGTACCTGCTGATTCCCTTTACTACCAGGTTTGGAGCCTCCATGCTGCCGTTGTTGGGAAAAGCGGACGTGCTGCGTGCCAGGCAGGCAAGGGGCATAAGCGGGAAGGGAATCAGCAGCCGAAATCCAGACATGTTAGCTGTCAAGCCGTACCTCCACTGCTTTTGGGGGCCCAGTGCAAGGCAACTGGGTTTACCCTTGCCTCAACCTACACGTTTATATTCGGCAGAGGACTGTCAAACGCATTCCTGTCGTGGCGTCGAATTCGTCGCGGCACGTCTGGATCCAGTGCAGGTTTAACCAGGGATAAGCAACGCTCACCAACAGCTGCCGACAGCTAGTTCGCAGGCAGGCAAAGCAAAGCTGGAGGCCCGGGATGGGCCAAAGCTGACAATTTCTTGACTCCCTTCATTACACCGATGTTCCCCGTATGGTGGGACTGAAAGCCAAGATGGACAACGACGTACCATTTGGGTGTTTGGGCCTGCCCCCTTGGGGCCCGCGTCATAGCCGCTGTTATGTAAACCACCTGCTAGATCCTCAGAATCGTCATCATCCGTGTCATACTCCGCATACGTAACAGGCTCCAGACGGCATAGACGTCTGTTCCGGTCCACCTCCCTCAGAGGCGACTGCGCGGGTTAACCATGTCCGGGGCCACCTCTCGCACAGTAACTCGCAATGTGCACCATGTACAAGACTTGATAAGCCAGGACACACCGATATCCTTGGCGTTCCCATACAGGCATCCGAAAGGCTTACAAGCAAATCCATTTCAGGGCGCACCTGAGCTCGGCTGCTATCAGATTTTTTTGCCCGTGTAGAAACCATCTTTGGTTGTGTTTACCGGCGTGCGGCGAACCCCATAGGATTCAGCATAATTGCTTGGCGCGAAAAGCTCTGCCGAAGACGCAAAATGTGACTTTACGGCTTTGAGGCAAGTTGTAACTCAATAATAACCTACATAAACAGTACTAATGATAACTGTGTTAACTTCTTCGGGTAGCCTTAAGACTTCGCCGTACATACTGCAAGTTTAGTCACATGGAACCGGCGTGGTAGAAGCAAACCAAAAAAGCAGCCACGCAAGGGGGTATTTCTATATTGAACTCCTTGGGAGCTGATGGCAGCCCTCCGGTGGCAGGCTTGCCAACTAGCCCAACGTAGTGAAAGCCCAGCTGTCCGTGCTTTTCTCCCAAGACCCTCTCAGGAGCAGCGGCTCCCTCCCGCAGGATGTGATTCTGCTTGCTACCTCGTGAGTGCTGTGTGAGGCCCCTGAAATGACAATCTGGACACGTTATGGCTGTTTTTCCATGGAGCTTTCAGCTACCTATTCAAACCTGCTTAACAGGCCCGCCTACTAGGGTGTGATATCTCGAAGGCACATGCAATCCATTCATGCAATATAATCATATATGTCGTTACATTTCTGACGTTCTCGGTGTTTGCACCCTGATGGGAAGCAGGGAAAGCGGTTGCAATGTCGTCCACGGCATCGATCTCGGCCAACGACATTTTTGCCTGAGGTGTGCCGCAGGTTTGCTTTTTTTTCAGTCATCGATCTTCTTACATGAACATTACGAAGCTTAGCCTATTAGCTCTGTGTAAGAAATGCGGCACGCAGTTCTAATGCTGTTGCAAGCGATAGCGCTTTTGCTTTTGGCTAGGTAAGCCCACAACGAGATTATCTCCTTCATTCTTCCTATGGACATGAACAACATTCTTTCGTGCAGGACGACGGTAGCGGCGAAGTACAACCTTACCGGCACTGTTAAAGCCGTGCTTGTGGCCAGTAATGAGCCTCCTGGAGTTATGTGTGGAGGTAAGTGCAGCTTGCTAATCCTCATGGCGGCTCGAGTCAGGGGTGACTAAGTAATCATGGTGTCGACGCCGGCGGGGTAAGAAGGACTTGATTTCTGCCCCTAGCTTCAGCGTTGGATCATCTTGCTTGCAAGGACAGGACTGCCTGAGATTAGAAGCCTCATCGATTTCCAGCGCGCAAGAACTGGGTTCCTAGCCAGTCCTCCCAGTATGATATACGCTATAATCCTTCCGCTGTCCCCGCCCTACGCCCTATGCCGCTCCCGCGGAATGCAGTGCCGGGCATTTGCAAACCGGCCACTGTGACTATCCCGGCCCGAACCCTGTGGTATTGGTGCGGCTTTCAGACGACGCACCGGACGATTTATGAAGTCACCACCAACAACAAGAACATTACCATCAGCACCGTGTACATGACGAGGCAGACCGTACTGGAGGTGCGCCAATGTCCTGCCAATGCTGACGGCCCGCGTACTGACCCGCCTGAGACACTCATGGCGGTGGCCGGGCTGTTAGGTCCTCGTGGGTGCAGGGGCCATGGAGTTGCCGCCCGTGCTCGCCACGAGCCCAGGGGCTGGTTTGCAGGGGGCGCGGTGTTAAGCGCTGTGGCACATACACCCGGTTACCCACCTGGACCCTCAGGGCAGTGACATCTTACCACTGTGGGCACAAGGCTTGCTCTCGCGGCAGTGTCCAGTTCCGATGCGGTCGGACCTGGCGGTCACATGCGCGTGCGCAGGTGTAGCTTGAGCCGGGCTTGTTGCTTGGTAGATGTAGCTAGAGCTTCGTATCTGAGTGCTTCTCCGTGGGAAGCAGTTTAACGCCGTCGGACTCCATTTTGCACAACGATGGCTCTGCGCCTGTCCGGCAGCATCAGCACCAGCGGAACCTCTTCCACCAGCTGCTCATGCAGGATACGTCGGATCGCGCACTCCTTAAGATTGGACGGAACTGAGTTGCGGCTGGGCTAGGCATGCTGGTGGAAGTCCTTCCCTCACGAACTCATTATGGGACTGAAGGTCTTCGTGCGCCTCTGGTTTCAACCCCACCTGACTTGCCATGGCATGCGACACGGACATGCAATGTTTCCTCTCGGACTCGGACCTCGTTCCGCATGTGCTCTATGGGCTTCATCTGCCACCTTTTTGATGCCTTATCCTGTTGATGATGAGAAACATGCAAACCATTTCGGACTGCAGGAATGCGCCCTCAGCCCTGACGCGGATATCACCTACGCGGGCGAGAACTGCACCCCCATACCCGGTGAGGATTGGGCGGGGCGCTGGAGGCGAGCGCTGCTCGCCTCGCTGCACGTGCAGCCGAGGGAAAGTGCTTCAATGGACTGTGTCGCGAGATGTGGACCTGCATCCCAGCCCATGCAGGGGGGCCGGCAAGATGAACATCCTTTCCCCTGTCCCGCGCCTCACTTACCGCCTCACTTACGTGTGGCTCCCCTTTGCTTCCACGGCATTTCCTGTCCTGGCCTTCCCTGCCTCCCCTTTGCCCTACTCCCATTCGACACCACGTATTTATAGAGTCTTCCTGCAGCAGCAAGGCGACCTGCAGTGTGCGGCTCTTCGGCCTGGTCTTCCCGGACGATTCGTGTCTTATCATGATCAACAACAAGAACAGCGCAATTAACGCCACCGTCCAGATCAACAACTTTTTTGACAGTAAGTTCATTCATGAGCTTCACGTTCTCGCTCACCGCAACGGTATTTCGCCCTTCTCCCCTCTCTTGCCTTGCCTTGCCTTTATTGTTTGGCCTCCCACATTACATGGCCTCTTCTTAACCCGTCTAAGAACATGTGCTTGTCCTAGCTGATGTGATCTTGCATTGGAAGGGTTGGGACCTGATGGCCAGATCTGGTAGCAGCGCCTAATGGACTTCATCGCACAGCAGCTCCCTAAGCGCCGCTCGTGTACCCGCGCAGGGCCACGATACTTCGGCACGGTCTTCGTGCTATTCTTTGCCGTCGTAGGCGGCCTGGCCGTCGTTTCGAATGTGGCTTGGCAATTTTACAACATCATCATTGCGCCCGTGAACCGGCACCACGAGCCAGTCAAGGTGAAGCGCGAGGACCCAATCAAAAAGGACCTGGAAAGTGATTCATCGGGGCCGAGCAGCGGCAGTGCAGGTGGCGGCGGCGCAGCGGCGGCTCGCCCGGGCTGGTACCAGAATGCGACTGTTTTTTTCCCGAAGATTCTGGCCAAGCTGCGGCCGACACAACAAAGCAACGGGCACAAGGCTTGAAATAGGGGAAGCACATGGGACCGAAGTCTACCTGCGAGCTGTGGATGGGGGTCGAAGTCGGCTTTGACTTTCGTGGTTTGAAGTGAAAGCTTGTTTGCTGCTTTATAAACTTCACCGTGGGGCGCAATGGCCAGAGCCTCGTGATGGAAGGGCGGGGGATGAAGGGCGGCGTTTCGGGGGCTGGCATGATATAGCAGATATGCCTGCTACTGGCTTACGCCTCGTGTGAGTATGTATGTGTGCTGGGTATTGCAATGCTTGTTTGTTAGGTGTCTATGGGTTGGGTGGGTGGGTAGGCAAAGCAATGGCGTACTGTCTGAGGTTTCCACAGCTGAACACACAGGAAATAAAGCTAGTGTGCTGTGCATTATGTGTTCGGCCGCCGAGGATTACGGCGGGCACAGCGCGGCATAATGCCTTGGGCGGCGCCCAATAAGCTCATATGACGGTCTGGCTGCGATAAGCTGCACGGCGCCGGGAAAGAGACGCTATGACAGAGTATCACATCGGGTGCACCTTCCACCTGGGCCGCGTGCGCCGCCGGACCGCTTTTGATAACGGGCAGAGGCTTCGTTCTTGGTTACTGTACCCATCTTCTCTTTGCATTGATGTGGGTTAGGGAGTGGGGGGACTCAGTAATTGGGTTTCCTCGTTCGGAGCAATTCAGGGCGCGGTGTTATAGCAGGTGTTAGGTGCGTATTGTGTACACTATGTAGTCGCTTGACTCTAATACATATTGAGCAGCACTTGCAATACGTACGGTAGTTAAAAGGACAGTCGCCGTCGTCATATTAGGGGAGAATAGAATGCTCGTTTGAGATCATGGTGTACGGGACTCCTCCGCACGTAATCGACGACTGGCTAAACAGGAAGGCATGCCGCCCTCCATCCCTGCGCTGGCCCTACGCCAGGCAGGCATTCCCTTACGGATCATGCGTCTGCTCCATGTTAAGTGAACATTTCATTGGGGGATGGGGTCGTGAATGGCTTTGATCAACGTTTTGCATGGTCCCTGCCAAGCGGCCGACCTTTCATCAGGCAGAAGTAAGGATTTATGAAGCCATGGGGTTGGTGGACGAAAGAACAATTTACCTTCGCGCCAACAAGTATTTTGCAACTGAGCTCTGGGATGTTTGGGCGCTGCTGCAGCAAGGCCTAGAAAGCCTAGTCCAAGCACGCGACCTGACGCGAGGGTGGAGCTAATGGGGAGCATACTCACACACACCGCTGCTGAAAGGCCTACCTTACCTTTCAATACCGGATGATTAAGTCGAGCAAAACAAAGTAATGGGATGCAGCCGAACCAACAGCAGCAGTAAGCAGCTAGCAAAGGCTGCAAGGCCACCACCTCATAGGGCCCCGACTGGCACAGGAGCAAGCCAGTACCGGCCCCCACACTACACGAAGCGGACGACGCATACCTGGGCCCCCCGTGTGAAACTCCGACATCACGCAAATATTTCTCAACGGTGGGTTCAAACTGACAATTCGCTGAAAGCACTTATTACAGCGCCGGTCTCTACATATCTCCTACTGCCATCCATTCCAAGACCCCTCCGCAGCACTGATTGAACACTGTTCGACTGTTGGTGGGTTAAACAAATTATTAAGGAATATCGACCTGGTCCCTAAGACTTCTTTCTCTTACAGTTGATCGCAGTCCAATCGTGCACACCCGCCATCCAACCCTTCCTACCCTTCCTGCCCAATACCTTGGCCACACATTAGTACATCGTCTGCGCGCCGGCTGCATGTTCGTCGATCCGCAATCAGCACCGGCACGGAGCTATCCGCAGTTCCGAACCCCTTTGCCCTCGCATCTATCCGTCTCTGTGTGTCTGTTTCTCAAGGCTCCTGCTCCCCAGTCAGTCAGTCCCGGATTACTGCTGCACAAACATGTCCTCCACTCGCACGGGCATCTCCATCACCGGGCTGGCTGCGAAGCCCTCCAGGGTTCGGAACGCCCCAATGGCCCCCGCCTCCACCATGTCGATCACCACGCACCGCTGCGACCGCCGGTCCTTGCCGCTCCCGAACAGGGCCGACACACGCCGCGAGTAAACCTCCTGTGGGATCGGGCCCCAGCCAGGGGTTCGGGACGACTTGGCGCGAGATGGTTGATGGTAACATGTGGGTGGTGGTAAAGAGGTGATATGGGAGCGAGAGGCAGGTGATATACATGCCTGTATTTTTGTATATTTCACCGTAATCAATAAAAGATGCATGCTGCCCACAGTGAATGCACGCACGTATGACGAACCAACCTTTGATGGAGGCAGGTCAAACTCCACCAGCAGGCTGACCCCCAGGGGAAGGAGCTCCTTAGGCAGCGCCTGCTGGGACAGGCGGTCGCAGTGACACAACGGGAACAGCGGCAGTCAGCTACAGCGGCACATTTTCCGCGGTACCGGCGGTCTGTATTGCGAGGCTTCGCCGCGTTGAGCAGCTGTTGGCCACGCCGGAAGAAGCAGCACCTTCCTTAAAGCCCGCGAGTAAAGCCCACGAGACAATAACCCTATCCGATGTAACAGCAGGGGTCGGTGAGCAGAGGCAACAGCGGCGGCCATCCCCACGTCCTCGGCAGTTCGCGCTTCGTGGCGCTGAGACCTCTAACGCACCACAGCTCACCGCCATTCAACCCCACCTGGACCGCGCCCGACCTACCTTGAGACACACGTCCGTCACCGCCAGCACGCTCACCAGGGCCTCCCCCGGGGGCCCCTGTTGGCCAGGCCCGAGCCCCGGTCCCGGTCCGGGTCCTGCCCAGCCGCCACCGCTGCTTGATCCCGCGCCATCCACGAGGCCGGCGCGCTCCCGGCCGCCACCGCTACCCCCTGCGTCGTACCGGTCCAAACGCCCCCCTACCCCATTCCGAAGCAGAACCATCATACGATACCGTGTCGTACAACGATATGGATAAAATCTTTGCAAATTAGGTGCGCTGATCCAGGCCATAACGGATCAACACATGCCTTAATGGATAGGTGGGTAACAAGGTTGGCCCGGGACATCAGTAATGATTGTAATTTGCATAAGACGAATTAAGGAACCACAGTAAGGTAACTTCCGAAGGCGCGGCGGTGTTGAGAAGGCCAGGGTCGGCCACCTGCGCAGTTGCAGTTGCGCCCGTTCGTTGCTGCCGTGAGAATGCCCGTGCATGATTCGGCTATGCCATGCATTGAAAAGTAAAGAAAAGGCGGCGCGGCCGTCTAAACGACGAACTTGCAACGAGGCTGGTTATCTCTCCGCCGTCACAACCGCCGCCTGCACACCCACCAGCTAACTCGGCCGCTGCCACACCACCGACCCCCAAGTTCCCCGCCGTTCCGACAGCCAGCCCGCGCTTGAAGCTCGCCAGTGCCAGTTCCCTCTCCTTATCCGTCAGATCGCTGTGCTGCGTGTGGTGGGTCGGTGCGGGTGCGGCGCGGTCAGGCTGGGGCCCAGTATGCTTGGGCCAGTGCCGCCAAAGATGGCACCGGAGGGTGGGGATGATAGCCCGGCAGGTATCGAGCATAGCGGAGCACCTTTCCATCACGATTGCGTGCACTCGTGTGTAGTCACGGCGGGAAAAACTCATTGACGCAACTGCTGCTACTACAGCTACTGCTGCTGCTGCTACTGCTGTTGGCCTCGGGCCCCAGAGAGGTCGAACTTCTAGTCAGGGTGAAGCTGCGGACATTTAACCACACGTGACACACCTTAATGCTGTTGCTGCTATCTTAAAAGGACACGAAGCCAAGGGGTAAGTGCAACGTCACCAGACACCCCCCCGACCTCTACGGTGCTCACAATTGCAGTGACGGCGAAGGACCGGCTCCGCAGCAGCCAATACACCAGGTTGTCCAGGCTGTCCCTGGCGCTGTGGGGGACCGGCAACAGTGGAGGCGATAGCGGTTTTACGACCGCTCGACACTTACAGTTACATCAGGTTGAATGGCCCAAATAGGTAGCTGTCAACAAGGAGGTAAGCAGGAGGGAACCGCTCACCGTGCCACAGGCTTTTGTCATGCGCACCTGCAGCATATGGCCAGCGGTCGCCTGCATGCGGCCGGAAGCGCTTGAAGGAGCTCCACTAAGGTTGTCTGTCAGTTGGGGTAGCAACCACCGCGTCAGACACATCACATTCGATTGTTATTATTGATGGTAAGCGGTGATGGTGTAGGAGGCAATCGTAAGGGGGGTTGGAAAGGAGTAGCAGCTATGCCTGAGCGTGCGTACGCGAAGTTTGCTGGATGTACGTGGCATTGTTCGTGAAAAGACCAGGTCATTTGGGGGTAAAAGGGATGCCTTGCATAAGAACGCCTTTACATGACGCGTGCTCCGGAGCTAATACAAAGTGGAGGTTTCAGCCCTGTTTCGCATCATATCACTCCGGTCGGACCGCAGCAGGACAAGTGTCAACTCTATATAGAGCAGCAGCGATACATCTTTGGGTTTCCCAACACCGAAATGCCTCTGGAACATGGCAACAGCAATCCACCCACCAACTTGGCCCCTCTGTTGCCTACAGCCGCATAATAATGCCACACGCCTGCTGAGCCGCTAGGTCCACACTCGGCCATCATGACTGTGAATATCAACCAATTTAATACCCCTCATTATCGATTTGATATCTATGACATATGGTTAAACACAATTCTTGCATCTTTTGCCCTTACAACTGAATATTTCCACTTAATAATGTCCTTGCTCAGATGGACCAATCTGTAATGCAAAAACCGAAGACCAGCCAGATTGATGGTTTGGTGGCTTACTTCTAGCGTTGGCCATGTGAGAGCGCACAAGTACGGCAATGTGCGTTGTGAACGTAACGCCTGCGTACTTATGACTGCGCGAATACACCGTAACTTTTATCAAGACGTTGAATTGCACGACAATTGCTGCAGAGTTCTTGATCGTCAACGTAGGCTTTCCTGTCCAAAATGCTCACACGCTCTAGTGCGCCGCAGCGGCCTGCTGGCGTTGCCGCGTCCAGGTCTGTTCGCGCTGTGCGAACCACTATCACTACACGTCTGCCAATCTTGAAGGCAGCGGCAACAGAGGCCAAAAAGGAGGTCGACGTGTCGGGTACGATTGCTTGCGCTTTGTGCAAGCAAATGGATGAAAAGCATCCTGCAACTAGCTTCCTCCTCGCTTTTGACATATGCTTCAGTGGAAGACGAGTACAATGGACCCGATATTGCCCCCAGCACCCAGCAGGTAAGCTCGAGCGCCGGCTAATAGGTGAACTTCTGTTTCTGAGTTCTTGAATTGGATCGCAGGTGGCTTCCTTCCTCAATACGTTGTGCAACGAGACGGAAATCGCTGAGATGCACCTGAAGGTGCGACGAGTCGAGTCCAGCGAGGTCATTGCAGTGTCAGCACAATCCTTAAAAAATAGCGCAGCAGACGTTGATCGAATGTTGGATTTTGACGTCAACCATATAACTGCAGATGGGTAATTTTGAGCTGAAAGTCAAGCGCAGCGTCGCTGGGAGTGCTGCTGCAGCTCCCTTGTACGCCTCTACTGTGGCCCCTGCAACGCCCGCGGAGCCCGTGGTTGCGTCGAGCCCGCTACAGTCCGTTGAGGCGCCCCCACCTGCCAGCGTGGAGGACACCGTGGACGAGAGCTTGGTGTATGTTACCTCACCGAAGGTACGTGCGGAGGGTGAAATTGTTCTTGAATGATTCTGTCCTGCAGAAGGCAAGGAGTCGGCTCTAATATGGTACCTTGATAGTTAGCTTCCACTCCTCAGCCTTGGCACCACTCAGCTGCACTTGGTTGCCTGGTGCTCGCCTTGGCTACATGATTTTTTTTGCATCTAGCTCTTTAACTCCGTGTGCCCAAATGCTGAGCAACGTTTCTGCATGTTTCTGGCATTGGTATTGCGTTGGGCCTCTCCTTTGGGGACCAGAGATGTCCATAAGTTGCAATATAACTTATCAGCGCACGCCAGTGCCCTTGTACCCAGGTGTAATGCCTGAAGCAATCCCATACACTTCATATAACGACTACATGCGAATGAAAACTTGCAGGGGTTCCTTGCCATGCACTGGAGGAAATGACATACGATAGGGTGTTAGGGTTTGCAGGTGGTTTCGGGAACGAAGAGGGAAGGTCAAAGTTTAGACGTAGTTGTTAGTGTCGACACTATGATGATATCCAAGAATATGCCGCGCAGGTTGGCACGTTCCGGCGTGGAAAGTATGCAGGCGGCAAGCGTGTGGGCAAGGGCAACTGTGCCGATGTGGTAAGTAGAACACGGTTCCCCGGTGTCGCGGCTACACGCTACCTCCACTTGCCTTGGCACGGCTGCCGTTGTAAGACCCTTTGCCTACTTGCACGTTGCTTTGGGGGTGTGATCCCCGCGCGTTTTCCTGATGTACCAAAGGACGATAGACTGTTGAAGCCAAGCCGCTGGCATTGAATAAGCTACCTACAGCTACTTTCGATAGGTGCAGTGCTTTATTCTCATGAAACAAAGCTGGGCTGAAGAGTAAGCATAAATTATTGTGGGAGGTGCGGGGCGCTGAACGGAGCAGGGGAACACAGGAGGTATGCATTTGAGGGCGTATAGGGATTAACGTAGGCTGCATGAGGACCGGTTTTCATTCCCCAGCCGTCGTGTTAACCGTGTTTCGAAATGTATGCGCAACAATTGTGTTGCGTGATCGCAGAACGCGCCAGTTAAGAAGGGTCAGACACTTGGGTACGTGGAGCAGCTGGGCACTTTCGTGGAAGTTAAGGTGAGTTGTCAACTCTATATAACAACGTTATAGACGTCATTTTTTGCAACGTGGCACGTCGCTCTGTGCACGACGACGACATCATGTGTTTCAATATGATACATTTGTTGATTAACTACGTTTTATGCACTTGCAGGCGCCGATTGCCGGCGAGCTGGTCAAGGTGCATTTGGAGGACGGTGCACCGGTTGAGTATCAGCAGTTGATCTTTGAGGTGGCGCCATTCTTCGGCGGGCATATCATCGGGGATAGCAAGTATGCCTAAGACGTACTAGCGTGATGGGGTAACGGGGTGGTGATGGGGTGGTGGTAATAATAACGATGGCAGATTTTAGGAGGAATGATATGATGCGTCATTTGGAATGAACTTAATGGAATGGTTGTGTACGACATTATTTGACATTTTTCCCAAACGAAATTGGTTTCAGAATCGTGTAATCGCATGACGCTACACGTGTACTCGCTTTGTTTCTAACAATGAAAAACAACCAACACCTTTCGTACATTACAGACTGAAACTCTTACCGGATTTATTACGTAACCTCAACTGGTAGGGCACAAATGGAAGATGGTACAAACCTCGTAAGACATGTAACATACTACCCAACTTATTACTTTTCCTACCTACAGTTTAGTTAAACCAATACAGGCCACCAAGCAAAGAAATATCTTTACATCGTTTGAGTGAAACAACATACTTGCTTCCAACTACAAGTAACGACCTGTATCCAAGAACAATGTAACCGGCCAAGTAAAACAGATGGAGTGGAATAGTTGCCCAATAGACGTCTTGAAGTTGTCGTTCGGCATGTGGACATCAAGTGCCGAACTCACCGAAACCTGCGATCTGGGTTGTTAAATCGTATAAACAAAGTATGCAGTCGGCAGATTGTAACAACCTTGGATAATCGACCGAGAATATCACGCCGTCCCGCGTACACTGGCAGCGTAGCAATATTCGAGTGAAACCCTCCGCACAGGTGAATTTCGTTATAGCCCCTCGAAGACACGCAGACCCTTTGCTCCGTCCAAGTTTACAACGCCTTAACCCGCTTGGAGGGCTTTATGCACAGGCCTCCGTGACAACTGCAGCGCACGCTGCCATGAATGTCCAAAACAGGCTTCGACAGCACGTGTGTATGGAGACTGTTACATACGGTACGGACGGCGCCCCCGTTGGAAGTGCCAGAATTATAAATCCCTCAGTTTGTCATGCAACGTTTCCCCCGTCGATCTTACCACGAACCCAGCCCGTGTCTTACTGGTGCACCGCTGCCGGCGTCAGGCGGGCCCCTGCGGGCGCAGGTTGGAAGCTTTGCACCTGAAGGAGGGCTCGGCCGTTGAGAACCGCCAGACGATTCCAGGGGTTCACCGCTGTGCGGCCGAGGTTGCTCCATTCCTCGGCACGGGCATGTCGGGGAGAAAATATACGTATGGTAAGCGGGAATGCGGGGTGAGTAAAGAGGACACCGGCAATCGGGACCTCTCGACATCTGCTGGCGGCAACTCCACTTTGCCCCCATCTCGCATGTACACAATGTCGCTTTGGGTATGACGGCAAACGATGCTGTTCGAACCAATGTAATGATGCGCACTACGCGCTTGCTGTAGACTTCGCTTCACCGGACGTCTCCCTTTGCAATGCGCACCCAAAACACAGCGCATTCCATAAACTACGCGTCGCCCAGCTGCAGAGTAAGGTCATGCCCCTTCAGTTGGGAACTCATGCCAAAGCACATTTTGAAGACGGACCTTCGCATGCAACGGTAACGCCATTCCTCATTTCATCCAATCGTTCCCGCGTGCGGGGCATTCTGGGCTCCCGCAAGAGCAATCTAAATTGCCAATCATGGCTGTTGTCCCCGTTTCTAGTTGCGTGCGGCCCATATTCCAGACCGGCACAAACTAAAACCCAAAAAATTGTCTTAGATTGTAGCGAACAGACAGAAGCTTGCGCGTGCAATGCCAACTTTAAACCCTTGGCAGATCCACTCTCGCTCAGAAACCCCTCCCTCATCCCTGATGCGGAAGCTCGCAAGACCTATACAGATTCATCTGGGGGAGCGTGCTCGCGAACAGGGCCGCACTTATCGCCAGCGACCCACACACCGACGAGGGAGGGCATTATCCTTCATGCTGCAACTTGTTCAACCCTTAGGACAAACATTCTGAGACACGCCTGCTGTACTTAAGCATGCAAATACTCGACCAACTACGGGTAATAGTAGTTTTGGTTAGGTAACATTGGTCCCACAAGGGCCGCATGCCGAGGTGGATGGTGGGGACAGTGATAGCACTAGCGCCTCATTCAGTAGCGCGGCCGCTTGTTGTAGTCCGCACCATAACCTGCACTGTAGGCCGCGTATGTATCGCCGTCACGTTTCTGGCCGACCTGTTGTTGCTGTCCATATGCCTGGGCTGGATAGGCGCCTGCCTGCTGCCCATAAACTCCATACGCCTGCTGGGCCTGCTGCTGCTGTCCGTAAGCAGCCCCAGCTGCACCGTAGGCCCCGGTAGCCTGCTGACTGGACGCTCCATACCCCTGCGACCGCCAATGCACAACACTCTGGTAACATACCAAAACATTGAATGCATAACTGCGGCCAATTGCACCTGTATGCGCAAGAGCATGACACACATAACTGGTATGCAACATGGCCTAATTCTCACCGTTGCTTGGCCATAGCCTGCGTAAGAGGTGCCAGCTGAAGCACCGTAGGCAGTAGCCGCACTGTAACCGCCCGCCTGCTGCTGTGCTGCCTGACCATAACCTGAGACTGCTTGCGTAGTTGCACCGTAGCCCGCCTGCTGTCCGGCAGCACCCGCAGCACCGTAGGCCTGTAAATCATTTGCAAATCCTGGCTTTAGATCCCTTTAAAAGCTATCGCGCCACTGGCTGTTGTTGTTACAGAGTGGGAGGCTTCTGTGCCAATTGAACACATTCGAATTGGCGTATCTAGAATTGAACCATACAACACCATCCACCATTACCACACTGTACCACGCCATAAGAACTGCAGTCCAAGGCGGTTGATTCTGCCTTATGGAATCCCTCCTCATCATATTACCCAAACAGCCGTAGAGACAGAGGGTCAAGCAACTCGGCGCCAAAAGTCCTACCTGTCCAGCAGAAGCGTAAGCAGTCGGATACACGCTAGTTGTTCCTTGCGCTTGCTGGGCACCGTACGCCGTTGTTGGCTGTTGCGCTCCATAACCCGGTGTTGATGAGGTTGTGGTGTACGAAGATGCGGGAGCTTGAGTGGCACTAGCCCCAGCGTAGCCATTCGCACCGTAAGTCTGAACATGAGGATAGGCGCCATGGGCAAGTAGGTACCTAGTTAGTGTACGACATGCTCATATGAGTACGCATAAAGCATCACAAATACGGGGAAACCACTCGGAAATAGCTTCGCAATCGCATATAATGCAAACCTCAACTCAAACCTCACCTGTGCAGGCGCGGAATACGACGTGGGGTAGGTGCCTGCAGCCGCTTGTTGGTTGCCGTAACTTGATTGTTGCTGCTGCTGACTACCATAGCCAGTGGTTCCTTGGGCCTGCTGCTGGCCGCCATAAGCATTGGCCTGGCTACCATAACCTGAGGTCTGGCTGCTATACCCCGTTTGGTTCCCGTAACCAGTGCCCTGGCTACCGTAGCTGGTCTGGCTGCTGTATCCGGTGCCTTGATTACCGTATTGCGACTGGGAGGCTTGAGCCCCGTAAGCCCCGCTACCCTGTCCCGCACTGTACGCACCACCCTGATAACTGGTCGCCGCACCAGTTGTAGAAGTCACCGCCTGTTGCTGCTGCGCCGCACCACTGGCGCCGTACCCAGAACCACCATAACCCGGCGAAGCGGGATCGGTGCTGGTTCCTCCTGACGCGCCACCAGCACCGTACCCAGAACGAGGGCCCTGTGGAGAATGCTGATGCCCACCGCGAGAGCCCCCATAGCCCCCATAACCACCGTAGCCACCGCCATACCCTCCACCATAACCGCCTGCACCCTGCCCGCCACGACCCATCATCCCACCACCGTAACCGCCATACCCACCACCCATGCCCATCCCCATTCCCCCCATTCCATAACCACCGCCGTAACCACGACCAGGGCCCATCATGCCGCCACGACCGTGGCCACCGTAGGATCCAGGACCCCCGCGCGACATTGGACTCATGCCGTAGGGAGGCGGTGGTGGTGGAATGTAACCACCCCGCCCTGGCCCCGCGAAGTACGGTGCATTGCGTGCGCTGTGAGGACCACCGCGGAAGCCAGGCGTCATCATTCCACCTCGCCCTGGCCCACCACTAGACCCGTACCGACCACCCGTGACATGTGGTCCGCCTCGGCCTCCGGGACCTTGGGGACCACCCCTGCGGTCCGTCTGCTTCGAAGGGTTGACGAACGAAATAGCCAGCTTCCCAAGTGTTGGCACCTCCTTGCCGTCCAGGGCCGCCATCGCGCTGCATGATGATAGTGACAGGTGTGGACAGGACATGTGAGAATAAAACGAGTTATGATAAAAGCGGAAAGGCGGGCTGGCAAAGCTGTAAGCGAAAGCCACATGCAAAGTAACGAACTTACGCAGCAGCATGGTCCGGGCGCAGGAACTCGATGAAACCGAAGCCCTTGGAGTAGCCTTGCGGTCCCCGGGTGATTGACGCCGACACTACAGGGCCGAACTCGCCAAACACCTTGCGAAGCTGGTCCTCGTCGCTGAAGGACTGTGCATCAGGACAAAGCCCAAGACAAGCCGAATAATACATCATGACATGATGACACGCTGATACAATTGATTAATGCATGCATACGGAACAGCAAGCTGTGTTAGAGCAGCATCAATAATCGCCATAACTGGCCAACATGTAAACCATGTTTGACAAGGTGTGAAACTGCAAGCCGGTGCTAATATGTACCGGTGGGGCAATGCCTGTAAAACGGTATTCAATCCTTTCACCGCGCTCACCATGGGCAAACTGGCCAGGTACAAATTCCGCGAAAATAGGTCCTGGACGCGCCTGATGTTGGTCAGCTCTGCCCGCATGATCTTGCTTGCGTGAGATGGGTGCTTCAACGGCGTGTCCTTGCCGTCGCCCTCTTCAACCTTCTCTTCAGCTTTCGGTTGCTGCTGTTCCCCAGCTGGAACGCCAGTCTCCACGCTTTCCGCCCCTTCTTCCGCTTTTAACTCAGGCGCGCTCTCATCCTTAAGTTGCCCTTCCGCAAGCTCAGCTGTGGGAGCAGTGCCTTGGTCTTTCATCTCCGTGTCCGGCTCGTCCTTAACAGGGACATCGGTTGCTTCAGGCGTGTTTTCACCTTGTGGCTTGTCGCCTTCAGCCTTCTCCCTCTCCTCGGCCATTCCATCCTCGAGCTTCTCACCCATCCCTTGCTCACTGCTTGCCGGCGCCTCCCCGCTCTTCTCACCCTTCGCCTCCGTATTAACCTCCTCGACGGGTGTTGTAGGTGCCGGTTTCGGTGTACTGCTCGCTGAGCGCCCCCGCTGGCGCTGGAGATCATTCTTTGTTGCCATCATGTCCTGGAAGGCCTTGCGGCTTTGCGCCTCCAGTGACTCCTTGGCCTTGAGCGCCTCCGCAGGAGTGGCGTACTCAACATATGCGTACCCCTACATGAAAATAAAACAAGAAGTTAGGAGTTTAGTTAGCAAACCGAAAGCACAACGTAAATGGAGTGGCAAACAGACTGGAAAGCTGTTTACATGAGATTTCCGGCCGGAGCCAACACCGTCATTACTTTACACCACTCAGCCTACGCTAGCTACGAGCACGGTAGCAAAACTTCCACGGCCAAGATTAAACCGAAGGTCAGTAAAATCGATCTTAGCCAAGTGCAAGGGCTTGAGTGCTCAGGAATTCCTAGTGAAGAAAAACGGGCCGCGCTATAACGAGTCCCAACGTGAGCCACCTCTGGGCATGCTTCAGCTGCCTGCGCACGTTACACGCGCCCACCCACCTTCGAAACCCTAGAAGCGTCGCGCATGATGAAGCAGCGAATGACGCGACCTAGCGCCGCCATGTCAGCCTTAAGCTGCTCGTCGCTGTCCTGTGTTACGTTCCCCAGGAACAAGGTGCACTGGAGCGTCGGCGCATCAACCATGAGGCGGTCACCGAAAAGCGTCAATGGGTAGGACAATGCATTAAGGCGCATGGCGGTGTAGCGAGCAACTTTAAGCACGTCGCCATCCGATCGCCCGTCATCGACGTGAAGTACCACGGGTGGGTGCGACGTGGTCACAGGGTGTGACGGCGCTTGCGCTGCCGACTTGCTGTCACCGCTGGCAACTGCAGGCTCCTTGTCCGCCTCCACGGGCTTCGCATCCTCGGCCGCGGGATTCTCGCCATCACCCTCCGCAGGCGCGGCGCCTCCCTCTACCCCTGCAGCAAGAGCCTGACTGACGTCTTCCGATGAGATGGCGACTTCTGGCTTATGGACATTGCCTTCAGGGACGTCAGCCTTGACGACTTCTGCTGGACCAGCTGCTTCCGACTCTGTTGCTGCCTCCTTGAACATTTCCGCAGAGCCCGCAGTAGCATCGGCTGTCGCGGGGCTGTCGCCTTCCGGCACAGCTCCCAAACCTTGCGCCTCCGCTGCTGCTGAATCCGTCGCCTGCTCACCGGCAGCCGATTCCCCAGCAGCTGCCTCCCTGGCAGCTGCCTCCGCCGCGGCCGCCTCCGCTGCTTTCTGCGCTTCGGCGGCTGCCTTAGCCTCCTGTGCCTCCTTCTCTTTGCGCTCAATGTACTTCTTCAACGCCTCGTCAAGCGGGTTCTTTTCCAGCTCCTCCTTGCTAAGTTTCCAGGGCAGCGGAGGAGGAGCCAGCCGGAGCAGAGCCACATGCCGGTTGCGCTCAACGTTATCGAAATCCACGCTATGGACAGGAACACCAGCGTCCTCAAAAGCCTTCTTGACGTCTTCAGGCTTTGCTTCTTGCTTAATATTACGCACCTGCAGGTTCACGCAAACCCTCAGCATAAACGAGATCTATACTTTCCATTATTGCTGCACCTAAATAAAAACTTACACGTAAGACAGGCAAAGGCCGATACTCATCGGGGATGTCCATAGTTTCCCACTCCTCGGGCCCGTAATCTGGCTGCTTAGCTGGCTCCGGCGACTTTTGCTTTTCAATTACATTGTCGCCCGAGGGCTCCACCATCTCTTTCTCTGTCGTTTCCTCATTAGTCACCTCCGTCTCGGGCTGCTCGAGGTCAGTCGGTTGCCCCATCACCGTAGGCTCGGCAACCGCGTCCGCTTCTACCCCCGCAGCAGCCGCTGCCACTGCAGCAGCCTGTAGGAACGTGCCGAAAGATAAAAACGCGCTAACATGTGCAGCTTTGCTCATGCGTGTCCTTTTTCGCACCTCTTCTTCCAGTGGTTCCTCCTTCACGTCTGCTGCATCTGGTGCTAACTGATTCGCGGCATTCGCTTCGGCATCCATAGGTTCGGCTGCAAATGCGCCCGCGGCCTCCGGCTGTAATTCGGTCGGCGCCGGATCTGGCTGACCGCCCTCCGCCACAGGGTCCGCCGCCGCCGGTGAAGCTTCTTGTTCCGTGGCGCTAAGAGCTTCTTGAAGCCGAGCCACAAGCTCCGCTTTGACACCCTAAGTGAATAGCAGTGGTGCCCTGGTCAAGATGGGAAACTGGCTGGACCAAAGAAACGGTCAGAACACACCTTTTCACTCAGGCCTCGCGCCTTAAGCTCTGCCTTGAGTTCTACAACTGTCATCTTTCCTAATGGGCTCATGGGCTCCATGGTTCGAAGACCCTCGCCTTCGCCTTTAGACGGAATATATGGCAGGCTAATAACTGCTACCGACGGTCGTTAAGTAACTAAATTGCCTGTTATTAAGTGGGTCCCTAACCATGCTCAACGCTGCATCGGTTTGGACAGAGAATACAATATGCCGGAGTACGGCAACAACTGAAGCCCCCTTCAAACAACATTCATACTAATTAGGATGTTTGATGGGTGGTATGCTTCTGACAGTTAAGTAAGAGTCGACAGTCTATGAGGGTCTAACCGGAGCCCAGCCGATAACTCCACAACGGTCCTCGGTGGAACTCAGCCCTCTGAGAATGCGAGCTATCTCTACTTGCAGTCTGTGAAGCGCCTTCCCACAGCGTAACTTGCCCCAGATCTAGGCTTGCTGCTGCGAACAAGTTAGAACCATGGCCGCCGCGGGTCTTCCGGAGGAGAATGATACGCGCAAACGGAGTCTGCCGGTGCTCGTATTTGGCGACTTCATGGTCACGGCGTTGTGGGTCATGGCGTCGAGTTGCTTCGCTGAGGTATGTCCGTCCACGCACTTTCCCTCCCTCTCCACCCCTAGCTCCTCGCGCGCTTGTGCATTGAGACGTGGTCTGTGCATTTGCCGGTGGTTGGGTTGCTTGACATGCATCGCTGCCTTTGGCCACAAGCAAAAGACCCTGGTACTCCGCGAAACAGTCTCCGCGTCCTGCCTTCCTCCCCTCGTTCTTCGGATGCCTCGCGCTCATGCGCTGCTCCAGGCATCTGGATACCTGGCCAAGTACACTGGCATGGATGAACTGGTGCTTGGTATTGGAGTCCTGGTTACGACCCTCACCCTCTTCGGTCCACTGTGCGAGTCCTTCGGAGGCGCGCTGTTCAACCCGATCCACTGCGTTGCCCTTATGAGTAGCGGAAAGGGTAGCATAGCTGGTCACCTGTTGCGCATGGTGAGCTTCTACGTCCCTTACAAAACCTAATCCTGCGATACTTCGGCGTATTTCAATCATGGAATGGGCGATATGCAGAGCCTACGTTTGCGTAACCCCCATGCCACCGGCCGAATTACTTTTAGTGCGCCTTTACAAAGCACCCTTACGTTGTTCACCGCAACGTATCCCCGCAATCGTGATGCAGGGGGCACAGCTGGCAGGTGCACTTGCTGGCAGCTTGGCGGCTAAGACATACTTACCCGATTGGCTCCAGGGGTGAGACACAGACTCAATGGGAGAAGCGACAAAGGGGCTCAGCACGGGCAGCAACTTGCAAGGTGGAACCTGCGCAAGCACCTTGGCGTGGAACGCGGCCCGCGCAGCTTGCTGCATATCCTGAGTCCCTAGTGTGCGTGCTATTGCGGAGAATAATTACTTGCAGTTGGGATGAAGCTTCTAGCCTTCCTTTCACGCGGGACAACCTTAACAGCAGGTGATAATTGGCTGGTTGATATGATATATAAAGATAACGGCGCCCCATTACCTTGGCACCACTCCAGCATCCCAATTCTCAGAAGTACATAGGACCACCCCGTGTGTGACCCGCCCCAATTTTCCCTGGTTGCGCTCTCCTTTGCACGGGCAGGAAGTTTCACACTTTGTCCGGGGGCATCAAGGATGGCGTCGCGTTTGAGATCGGGTTTGCCTGCGAAGGCACCATGAGCTTTGTGCTGAACTATGTCTTTTTGTTATCGCAAGGTGAGCCACGGGTTCTCGACGAGTGCCGGGTCTCTAAGCTATGAACTTCTCTATCGACATGACCCGAAATAAGGTCAAGGCAGATGAATATGCTGGTCTGGGTGAATGTGAATGAACGAAGCGAGATAGGCACCTGCATGGAGCTCCAAAAAGCTAGCGTGCTCTCGGCAATTGCTCGGGCCAGCTTCGTTCTCTGTGCTTGTGCCGACTGATCAAGGAGAAGTGAGAGAAAAAGGGAGAGAGAGGCCGAAAAGTCTTCAAATCAATTAAATACACGGGACGGAGCTACCTACGTAGCCCAGGTTTTGCATAGCTGATGCGAATTGCTGCCATTGTAAGCCACACGAGATTGATGACCTCATTGTTGCATGCAGAGTTGCAAACCTTCCACACGGTATGATGATCCCGGTGTGACGGGGTCTTTTGCAAGCGAGTTTAACCCATCTCCTGGGCTGTGCGTTCCTGACTGCAGAGGCGGACAGTCGTTTGCTGACGTTGTGGACTCCCATGCTGTCCACTGTCACCCTGGTACGGCTGTCAATCCCGGAACCAATGGAAAGCTGCATAGTAGTCTTAAGTTGGGGCTTTCCTTTCGTTTCTGGGTTCACATCGCTGCTTGCTATACAGTTCTATAGCTTTTTTTGCCCTTGGCCCATGCATGTGTGGGTTCGAAGTGTCTTCTGCAAATGGGGAGCACCTTTCGCTCCAAGAGGCATGGTCCCATATTGTTACCCTTACCTGGCAAGCGAGGGCCCCTAACCATATGGCCGTACTTGCTATGAGGCTCGCGCTGTCCTGAAGTACTGAAAGTGAAGGCACGTACTGGCCCCTTTCTGCCCTATTACGTGCCCTTGACCAGAGTTGGATTGGCTATTACTTTACGGGACCCTCTCTGAACCCTTTTGTGGTGAGTACGAGTACAGCTGTCAGGGTAACGTAGAGGCTGCGTGCCAGAGCTGACATAGCCGCCGCTGCAAGAAACGCGCATCCGGAGTGCCAAGCAGTTTAGTCGTTCTCATATCGCCCTCATCCGGCATACGCGGTTGCGCGCTGCCTGCTGTCATGATGAATTCCCAGCCCGGCAACAAGTAGGTGACATGTTGATCTGCCAATTTAACATCGGGGTGCTTGATTCGCTAACGCCTTCCCCGTGTCCCGGTACAATGCGCCCTACCTCCCAGAGCTTTTCCTGGCACCTTCATTACAAGCGACAAAACGACCTGGAACATTACCTGGTGTTTTGGAGCGCGCCCATCCTAGGTGCAGTGGCAGCGGGCCTGGCCTTTCTTTTCCAACGCAAACCAGCGCAACGTAAGGGCAGGCGCCCCTCCAAGGCCGCCATTGCTGCCCGCGGCCAGAAAACTCTGCAGCAGCAGCAGCTCCAGAGGCACCAGCACCACAATCAGAACGATCAAAGCTACAGCAACCACCACAACCACCACCAGGCCTACCCTGGAAAGGAAACGCAATGATGGCGCCAGTGCGGCGAGTGACAGATGTGGACCTGTCGCATGCATCCCTTTCGAAAGCCAGTGTATGGGCATTCTGCAGCACCGTCGTATGCGGGCTTCTTCATGGGTCGCGCTACTGGTAGTGTTGGGGTGCAGCGTGTAGGGGATTCAGGGCAGCATGGAGCTTTGGAAACTGGATGTGCGCTCATGGGCGCAAACTGACGCGCACATTGGAATGGTTGCTCGAAGCTTATTGTGACTGCGGTTTGACTAGCGAGAACTTGGGTGATGCTATAAGACTTGATAAACTTGTACTGGCTCGGTTGTGACCGCGGACACGGCCGCTTCCCATATTTGCATGCGTGGCTTTTCGGCATGTGCTTCGACGCAGCTGACGAGCATCTCCGCAACGATGTACACATATTCCCACAGATGGACGTGAGTTCGGGGATGTCGAGTTGCATGCCTCGCGACAAAACTTTTAGTTACACTTGTGGAAAGGGGGATGCCCTTGGGCACTGCCTCGGCAGATATGTGTCTTTCACAGGATAGGTCACATATTCAATGCGGACTCATGGCAAATTGATATTAAATGTTGTTTGGACGATTAAGAGGAATTTGTCCGCGTTTCTAAATTCGGTCGAGAGTCCTGCGGCATTTTGCCGCGCGTGTTTCGTTGGGGGAGGGGTTCCATCTAGGCTTGCGGGGATACCCTGATATGACAAGTGTACACGAGATGACCATCCAAAGACAATGCAAAATGAAGTCGAAGACGAACATGATCATGGTAACGAGTGCGCATGCGCTGTACGATCGGACCGCCCTCCACCCTGTCCCTGAAGCCGTCGGCCTATGCCCGGAGTGTCACACCGCACTGAGGTCGCGTATGTCGTACCCCACCGCTTGTTCACTCCTTGTCTACCACCCTTCACATCTTTGCTAAGTGACACCAGCTTCTCTCGGGGGGAAGCGACTGGGGAAGGCCGTTCGCCTTCCAGAAGAAATGACGCTGAAGAGTTCTACACCGCACCCTGAGGCCGCTGCCGTATGCCATAACTTGGACAACCTTAGAACATAATTATGTACCGGTCTTTGAAGTTCCAAAGCCGATCGCATCTATCGCACTATTCCTACGAGGCGTCCTCCACGTGCAAAACCTGCTATGGGGGGAGACCCGTACACAGCGCAATCCTAAGCTGCAAGCAGAGATTTCCGGAAGGACCTTAATTAGGTCAAGATGAACAAACACTCGACCGCTACGTTAGCTCATTCGCTGCGACAGTGTTCCAGCGCCAGCATGCAAGACGCAACAAGCTACCCCTGCCATTCACAACCAGATCGCATTCATGCGCAAGGTCCAACCCGCCTCCCTCGCGAGAGCTCATGTGCAGGTAGGTACACATGAGACGCCCGCAACTCAAGCCGTAACTTATTTCGCACAGCCGACCGCCCGTATGGGCCGCACGTGCACCTGGGCACGGCAGCCCACTCACTGCCATCCCACTAATCCCACGCAAAGTCACCTTAAAAAAGCTACAGGTCAACGACTTACTCCACGACTTCCAGGAGAATGCATTCCGATGCCCGCGGAACCGGTTTTTAGCTTTTTCTCTTGGCTAGAAACCGACCTGCCTCCCGATTCGTGCATCCACAAATATGCTGCTCCCCGTCCCCATCCGGCCTGTTGGCCGCCTTCCCAGCATCATCTCTCGCACTACAGGCATTCATACCTCGTAATGACATAAGCACGCCATGCGCAAAGCCGGCGGACAGTGGCGCCAGCATCAATGATTTCCTATTAACGCTTTGCCGCATGTCTGCTCCTTCAATTGGCCAAACTGTTCATTGTGTCGATTTGGCCAACGCGGCGACAACCCCGTAGTCGAAACACAGCCCACCAGCGATGCAGTCCCCATCACGCAGCCGGTGCAATGGCGTATGCGGCTCACACACCCCGGAGCCCGCACGACCCAGCCTACTGCTGCTGTCGCATGAATAAATGCTCCGGAAGTCAAAAAATGCACCAGCGCCCGACACAACGGACGCAGCACACATGCGCTGATCATAGCTCCATACTGCGCCGGGTAAAGTATGTCGGCATATGGCCTCGTATGAAATACTGGTACACGCTGTACGCGCAGGGCACCGCAGGGAAGCGTAGTTCCCCGCGCGCACCAGCTTACTTGGGCTGGATTCGTGAAGGCGGCCGGAGGCTCTTAGTGAGCGTAAATCTCCCAGCCGTTTCGCCCTCGCCTCCCTCAGCCTCCTCCATAACCACCACGTCCTTGCCCTGAAGCGCTGTAATCACTGCCTGTACCCGGCTGTTGGCGGGGTCCACGCCGCTGAGGCAAGCCAGGAGCCCCGATATAAAGGCCGCGTCATTGGCTAGGCGGCTCACGTGAAGAGGAGGGTAGCGACCGCCCAGCACCACCGGCGGTGGCAACGTGGTGACGCCACTGGGTTGGTGCTTAAGCGGCCTGGGGAACGGATAAGGGGGAAGACGAACCATGAACGAGTGAAGCGGATAGGGGGGGACCGGATAGGCCGTCGCGAGGAAGTTCCGGTAATGGGAAGGGTTGCGGTAAGACTACGTGATGTGATGCGAGTTGGCGTAGTCTAACGAACCGGCAAATGTCCCTAGCGAAGGCACAGCAGGAATAGCCTCGGGGCCTGGCTTAAGTATGGTCGGTGTCGGGTATGCCTTTGCAATGGGCCCCGTTACGTCGGGTCAAAACTAGTCGGGAGGCGGAATGAGAAGGGGGTGTCCTGTTCCCCGACAGGGACGGGAGGACAACATGCAACGACCAGAATGCAAGAGCCGGCTTTCGCGATCCACACGGCGCAACAGGCAGCACAGCGCGGCGGCCCAGGACCACGTTCCCGTGCTGCAGAAGTGTGACTCAGTCGCGCTCCTCGACAGAGCATGCTGAAATGGAAACCCACGTCCCACGGCTCGCCAAAACCAAACCAGAACGCACGCACTTTTTCTCTGGCACCGCGCTGGGCGGCCGAAAGACAATGTCCGCAATCTCCTGCATGTGCCTGGGCAGCAGCAACCGCGATGCGTGCTGGCTCATCCATTCCTGGATCTGTGCATTGGTTAGCATGCCCGCCAGCCCGTCGCTGTATTGCCGTACGCTGGGCGTAGAGGCCTCGGTGTTGCGCCGTTGCGCTGACCTCAGCACAACATGTCGCCGGTCGTACGGCCCGGACGGCGAGTCGATCGACGTGAAGCACAGAGTTGTACCGCCGGCGCTACCAAGACCGTTTCCGCCTCCAAGCCCGCCGCCGCCGCCAGCGCCATGCTCGCCAGCATTGCTATAACCGTTAGGATGGTAAACCCTGAGGCCGCTAGGTGTCGCGCCTCTGAAGCCGGCGGATGCGAGGGCTGGCTGGCTGGGCCCGAGGCCGCTGCTGAGGTTGCTGTCCGCCAATGTGCTGCGTTGACCATAACGATGTGTGGGGCTGCTGTTGCCACCATAGCTGAGCCCCAGACTGCTCCTGGCGCCCAGGCCGCCCCCGTACTGGTGCTCCCAGGAGGGCTCTTCAGCGCGCCGAAGAGCCGAGCTGCTGGTGCCTGTGTGGCGGGGATGGGTAGGATCAGCCGATGTCGCAATGTGGGAACCAACTAGCTTTGCAGGATGGAATGAACGCGGACACGAAGACGGTGCATCTGCCAATACTCAAAAGTGCGATGGCCACTTGCGGCCCCCCGGCCCTGGCCTCCCCCTAGCGCAGATGAAGCCCTCAGCGTCGCCAAACCCCACCCCGCAAACCTCACCCCCGATGGACGCCTGCAGCTCCTCCGTGCCAGCACCATCCTGTGGCGGTCGCCACCCGTCGCTCTGCTCGCTTGCCCGGGCCCGGTTTGCGTGCCGGTGCCGCAACTCCCCTCCCGAACTCCCAAGAGCCCAATTGGTCTCCCCGGCCGCCATCCCTGCCGGCAGCCGCGAACCGCTGACGCCATGGAGAACATCCCTGGAGCCACCCAGAGGCCACAGAACCGTGATGGTGGTAGCAGGCTGGCTGCCACTCGGTCCTGCCCCGTCATACTCGGGGTCAAGGCCGGGCTGCCCAGCCCAGCTGCTGTGGCTACTATCGCTGCTGCCACCGCTGCCGTGCGGGGTATCCGCAGCCGGCCCTTCCCCCCCCCCAAGCTCCACCCCGAAGGAGCCTAGCTCTCGACCGAGCCCGCGCGGCTGGCCCTCCTGCTCCTGCGCCTCCTCGTCCTCCTCTTCATCGATTAGCCCTCGCGCCCCGTAACTGCCACTGCTGCGCTGGCCCAGCCCTGATTCGAACCCCAGGCCCAGCCCCAGCCCCAAATGCCGCTCGTATTGTGGCTCCTCATACCACGGCCGAGGGCCGTTGACGCGACTGCCAAATGGCATAGGAAACGGCTGTGTAGACGCGGCGGGGTGCGGCTGGGGGCTGGGGTCACGGCTCGCGGAAAGGGACGAGGAGCAGGAGGACGACGCGGCGAGTACAAACGGATCCGCGTCGAGGTACGACCAAGGATCCCTGTCAGCACCGCCCCGTTCGGCCCCAACCTCGTCGCCTTCGCCACTGGCCTCATCCACTTCCGACAGGGTAGCATCAGTACGGCTCGGCCGGTCTCGGCCCTGGTCCCTTGGCCGCTGCTGCTGCTCAGATGTGAGTGTCTGTGTCCGCTGCTGCACCGGCGACTGAGGGGGGCGTGGCGCCTGTTGTGGCAAAACGTGTTGGTAATGCTGCCCTGAATGCGCCAGCGGGTGCGGCTGCGTTGTTCCCAGCGAGTCCCGGTGCTGCAGGCTGCTGCACCCGAAGGGTCCGAATAGCGACCGCCCGGATGTGATGGAGGTATTTCGCAGCGGCGCCATGCCGGCCCCAATACTAGCACTGCCAGTGAAGCGCGCCTGCGTGAGCCCCGACGCGATGGGACTGCTGGGACCTGAATCCCCCGTGCCGAGCTGCATGATCCACGGGTCCCGCTGGTGTGAGTCGATTGCAGCCGGGGCTCCGGCTGCGGCCGCAGCAGACGGGCGTGTCCCCCGGACGCCTACCCTGAAGGGGAACTCGCCGTCGTCCACGTTGCCACCGTTGATAGCGCTTTCTGACTGCTCCTTGAAGTGCGAGACGAGGCGGGGATTGCCACCAGGGACGGGAGGTCCTTAGCTGAAAGTCCGGTTAAAGAACAGGTCGCCTCACGGACATGGGCACCAAAGTCTCTCCATTGCCAAGGTGTTAGTGGAGCCAATGGTGAAGTCTGTAAAGTATGCAGACGATGTGCCAGGTTGCAGGATAGTCGTGGGCTTGGGAAACGTGTAACGTAACCCCATCCTATCCCCACGGAGCTCAGGAACACAGAGGGCATACCTGCTGCACGAGGCCCGGCAGTCGCCAATCATCCCCTCCTTCCCAAAGCAACACTGATGGAGGCGCGTCAAGACCCTGTTTAGTCACCACGGCAAATGTACGAGTATTCCTTAGCTAGGTCTGGAAGCTGTCCATTCCTGGCTGTCGTCGTTAGCCTTCTCACCGGTAATGGCAGGTCTTGGTCGTCAGATATGTCCGTAAAATCGTCAGGATAGTCGTCTGCGGGAGGCCGGAAGGCGTCATGCATTGCAGACATGCAATAGGCAAGGCATGCAGGCAGCTTACAGTCTCCGCCCCCAGTAGATGAGTTATGGAAATGAGCCATGCAAAGCACTAAGGACAATTTTTAGGATATCCCCTGTGGGCCTGTAGGGCTCGTAGAAAGCGGAGTATCTGAGACGCATCAGTCCTAGCTCATATCCATCCAATACAACGAATTATGCGTAGTGCTTTTTGTGGAAAGTAATTGGAGCAATAGATTTGTTCCGACCTCGTGTACGGATGAGCACAAAGGCCACAGCCGGACACAGGAAACTGCAGCCTCGCTCTGTGTCCTCAAGAAGTCTATATGTAGCTCATTTCTTGTGACAACTTATGTGACATCGTGTTATTGGTATCCTTAGCCGATGACTGAACTCAACTGTCCCGCTGCATGGAGCTCATCCAGGACATCCATGTTCTTTACTCCTAATGCTCCGTGCCTAAGATCCGCTGCTAGGCTGGCTCTTGCCGGTCGTAGATTTGCGTTCACGGTTAACGCACAGGCCACGAAGAGCGGAAAAGGCTTCGGGGCAACTGCCAAGGCGATGGTGGAGGTGCCGACTGGTGAGTCCTGCGCGGTTAAAGGGGTGTAATGTTAGTGATGCTGCAGCTCCTACCGCCGGAGATCCTCATAGCTGCCCAGCTCCTACCACCCGGCAACTGTGCAGCGCGTAGAAGATAGCGCGTGACGCCCCTCCAAGCTGTCCCTACAGGCGGCTGAGGAGACGTAACCGCTATTGCACGCATGTGACAATCCTGCCTGGTTGAACATGATGGCATCGCTTTGGGTTCGCCACCAAAGGCGAATGTACGACGCGCCTCGGGTGATTTAGTAAGACCCAACCGTGTCCCCGCACAGTCACGAAGCTCAGTTGGACGAGTCCGCTCCAAATCGTGAAATATCCTGACCCGCGCCTGCGGGCCGTCAATGCACGCATTGGCGTGTTTGATGACTCGCTACTGCGGTTAGCCAACGAAATGATCGAGGTCATGTACCAGTAAGTTAGGAGGCCCTTACCTGTGAATACAGGAGAGACATGTAGCCGTACCGCCTCTACTGCATGCGGACTTAGGCCTGAAACATACTCGGCATACTCGTAGTACGTCTAGTGCATCTCTTTCCTCGTTTTTGTGATACACCTCAAACCATTTCCATCATTCCGTTGATGTTGAACCCCCGTTACTCCGTGCTGCTCTTCACCCTTTCTGATGTGTCTCGTTCCCATGAGGGTAACGTTCCGTTGCCTCATCCGCCCCTCATCTCGGTTCTCGCCCTTTGACTGCGTCGCCCTAACCCGGCCTTGGTTTCCCAACTGCTCGGCCGTAGGGACGACGGCGTTGGGCTTGCGGCGCCGCAAGTGGGCGTCAATATACGGCTGATGGTTTTTAACCCGGCGGGCCGCGACCGGCCCGGGAACGAGTCCATCCTCGTCAACCCGGAAATTGTGGAGCAGCTGGGCGGCAAGGAACTGGGAGAAGAGGGCTGCCTGTCCTTCCCGCGCATCTACGGGGATGTTGAGGTCTGCAGAAGCGCAGTGGCCTTGTGGGGGGCGTTTCTAAGTGTGGGAGAACGATGGACCCAAGGCAGTGCATGTGCTGCCAGCCTTCAGGGCTGATTACAGGCGGGGTATTCGTGGGCTGCATGGCGTGACGCCCTCTTCGCATCGGCGTTGGCCTTCAAGATGACGTTGCGCTGCTCGGGGCAAAGGCCCAAACGAAGAACTTCATGGGATCCAATTTAGTCACAGATGAATGCTACATGGGCGGCCACTGCTATTCCAGCCCTGTTACACCTGGGCACACTGTGCGCATGGGTTCCTGCCTGCAGCATGGACATGTACCACGGGGCGCTTCGTAATTTCTGTTGCTGATCATAGCATTTTTGTGTTGCTGCTATCCATCCGCCGCAGCGCTCACGGCAAATAACGGTTAAAGCGCTCGACGCGAATGGGCAGCCTGTCAGATTGCAGCTGACAGACCCATGGGTCGCCCGGATCTTTCAACACGAGTACGACCACTTGCAGGTGCGTCTGCGCTAAGCCGGTAGCGCTGATCTCCAGGCATCACAACACACGACTACGTCGTCGTTCAGGTCATAGAAGTTATTCAGTGCTGTTGCCAGAAAGAAAATGTGTTGCATGTGTTTTTTCTGAGCGACCCTTAACGTTACTACATTCCTGTGGCAGTGGACTCAAAAGGTTCACTGTTATATGGATACAAAGTTACTGACGGCATGACTTGCCTCACCTGCCTTCTTTCACAGGGCGTGCTGTTCCATGACCGAATGAAGCCGTCGGTGCTGGAGGCTGTGCGGCCGGCGTTGGTAGCGCTGGAGGAGGAATACTTGGCGGCCAATCCGGGGGCAAAGATCGTGCGCGTGCCGCCACCGAAAATCAATAAGGGGTTCGGTGCGGTAAAGAAAGGCTGATTGGGGCCGTTCTAGCTTTTTCTGCTGACTTGACTCCGCATCGGGTTGGATACATTCTGAAAGGATGTCCGGATTACAGAAGCGACAGCCTCTTCAATTTCAATGGTGCCCATAAACACACCGTGAATGCCACAGCGGCAATCGGACGGGATGGTATGACTGCGGCTAAAAATGAACGGGAAACGCAAGCTAACTGTTGACTTGAATTATCAGGATGCATGGGGAACACTTGACCCCAGTGAACGCCATGGCTTCGGGGGCTTGGTTCGAGGCCAGGCAGAGATATCACCTTACGGGGCACACATCAGCGAGCACCGGAAGGCACTTGCTGAAACATTTGTCAACCGTAGGAGCAGTTAAGTCACTATATTTTACACCTGCTGCGAGCCTGCCAGAAGTAACCGCTCGTACAAGTAGCTGTAAATTGGCATCCTTGGCGAGTGCACTGGAAAACGGTCCTGGACAGCACGCAGACCATATCTGAGTCAGCACACCAAGTTAAAGTCGAACAGCAACGTCACGTAAACAACAGCAACCGGATCGTATGGCATCCATACGATATAGTCCCTGAGATTGACTCCGGAAGACACTGCGGGTTATGTTACTAACTCTGCAAACATGCACTTGTTGCTCTTTACCACAGCCTGGGTAGGAGCATGATAGGCACCATCTGCACGTTTGTGAATAAACATACAAGAGAAGCAGCAACGCCTCACCCTCTCAGTTCACTTACTTTTCCTCCTGCGCGTCAACAACTTTATCAGTACAACTAGTATACGCAGCTGAAGCCTTTCCACGTCATTGGAACCAACGCATCACTGCACTTTGCTTCGATGTCAAAAAGTCAATCAAAGTCTGAGTCCTCGTCGGACTCTGTCTTCTTGTATGCGCCGCCCCCGCCCTTCCGAATGCCCTTGGGCGCCGCTGCGGCCGCCTTCCCGCCTGCGCTCCAGTCATAGTCCAACATCTCCGACTTGGCCAGCCGCTCCTCCAGGACCGACGTCTCGAAGTCGTCCTTGCCGCCCAACTATTGCATGGCGAAGAAATGTGGCGCAGCATGAGTTTATAAACGCGAGGGTCTCGCGTTCGCTCACCTTTGCCGTGCTCAACATACGCAAATGGGAACTGCAAGCGGCACGCTGCGTTGCTCTGTATCGCTACGCACAGGCGCCCCATCTGGGTGCAAAAGCGTTGGGTCCCACGCATACAGGAAAGGCCACCACATGGCATGTGGTCCCTGCGGAACCCTGCACCCTACTCCAAGCCACCTAAACCCTCCCGCGCAAAAATGCACCCTCAAGGCTGCTTATGAGTGCACCCAAATGCACCGTGGACTCTGGGCCGCGAGGCAAGCGTCCCCTCCCTGGGGGCAGTGCGCGAGGTGTCCGTTCCCTCCAGCCCGAATCTGATGCTCCCTACTTCCGCCCTGCCGCCACATCGGAGTGCCCACCTGATCAAATCCCACAACATAGTCCACAGTCTTTTCGTTTTGGACAAGCGCCAGCGTGGGCAGCATCCAGATCTTGAGCCTCTCCGTCAGGAAGGGGCTCTTCTCTGCGTTGATCTGCAAAGCGACGAGGTATGGCAGCACAGCACCCGGCGGAGACGCATTGAGATGGCCACGAACGCATGCTGCACGGTTTTTGAAGACAGACCTGATGGAAGGTAGGCAGGTGGAAAAGGTAGCTGTACGGGTGCTGGAAAATTATAAAACTCTGGCGCCATGCAGTCCGAGGGCAAACGGCAAACGAGCAGCACCTCCTACTTGGCACTGTACTTACACGGCACAAACGCTCTCCTAGTCCAGGCCTTCTACAAATAAATGTGAAGGCTCGTATACTGCGTCCCTTTCCGAAGCATACGGCCCATGCTGGCAAGGCGTCGCGTAAGGGTGAAAAGAACAGAGCAAGCGCTGTGTTTGCGCAAACCATGCAGGGAAGTTTTAAAGCAAACCATCGCATAATAAGCTTAACCTCAATTTACCCTCTCATCTTTTACCAGCCACCAATACTCGTTCAGGGGTGGGGTAGATGGCTGAACCCACATCACCTCCTAGCCCCGCAATCTGTAAGCATAGGTACCCTGTTGGGGCTGTACAGAAGCAAAACTTACCTTGACGAACTTGGTCTCCATGTGCTTTTTCGCAAGGATGCTCAAATGCTTGTCCATGACCTGTGTCACTACTCGTGTCAGCTGGGTCCGTTTACCCCGCCCCCTTTCAAGGCGCGCGCTTGTCTCCCACCTTGCACGGCCAGTTTTCCCGGTAAAAGTGGCACACCATACGCTCCTCTCCCTTCATCTCCCTGAAGAAGTCCTGCTCCGTAAGTATTTCTGTATACTCGCCATGCCCGCGAGCAGCCCACTCCTTCATTTTATCTTGACGCTGCTTCATTTCGACCATTCGTTTTTGTCGGATGGCTTCGATGTCATCCTCGCCAAGATGGTCAAGCTTTTGTAACTCTCGGTCGACTTGCGCTTCCATTTGGCGCGCTAACGATACTACTGTCTGCTCAATTAATTGTTGCGCCATATTGTTCGCCATTTTACTTAATCTTATAATTTATTTGATTCCTGGAACAGCGTCTGAGTAAGTCGTGATAGAGATAGGCAAATCAGAGCTCCACAACGTCACCCAAAGCGTATGGACGTGAGAATACTAGCCAAGCACAGTAAGGTGAAGTAAGTGGCGTGATGTTTGCCTAACCTTCGTTGAAGTACGACGGCTGTACTGTTTGGGGCCGCGGGCTACCTAGGCAAGACAAAAGTCGCGCTCAATTGGTCTCTCCAGATGCATAATTTTCACAACGATCAGGTGACAGTTATATGATGCGTGCTTTCCTTGTCGTGATCGCGACTGTAAGCTTGATGAAGGTAGGTGCGCCGAGTACGACAGCCCGCAGGATTACGTCCCGTGTGTGCTAAGTGTGCTACGCGCTCAGGCGTCCCATACATTTATCATCTCACTCCCTGTAACGAAACATGTGCGTCCACGACGTCCGCCGCCTCTAACTGCATATGAATTGCGATGGCGTTGCTATGAGTGAGGGAGGTTTAGTGAGCGATAATACAAGGGGGACCAACAACCAAGTCAGTCACTAGCCGTACATACAGGCACCGCGAACTGTTCAACCTACCCCAGTGGCATATAGTGCCATACGTCCCACAACGGCGCACCAATAAAACCTAGCACCAACCCGAGGCACTGGCAATAACTCGAAATTTAGCCAGGTGTTTTACCTGGCCCTTGTGCCTATGCCTTGGCTATTAACCACAACAGGTTTGGGCCTTGTTTGGTTGCGTTTGCACGCTGCCGCACGGCAATCGGGTCCTTTAGAATGAACTTGATTCAGTCAACCCAAAATTTCGACCGGCGTGTGACTGCCCTTTTCAGCAGCGGAACAAATACCTAGACAAGCGATCCGGGATACTGACGATTTGGGTAAAATACTGTAAAATCTTGTTTGCGTGTCTGTGCAGACCAACGTGAAACGACTTGGTGGGCCGCTAGGAATCAGCTCGTATCAGCGCACCAGACCTGGTACCAACGGTTCCGGAATTCCGAGAGGCTATCCAATATACCAGCCTAGATTCGTACAGCTGATCTGACGACCGTCGACAGCCTCGCACCTTTGGAAAAGCCCCGCTTTTCCGTAACGAATTAAATCTTTATAGCGCTATCTAGCAAAAGCACCTAATTCAGCATTATGTCTAAAACGTTAGCTTAACGCTACACAACAAGAACAAGTTCTGAGCTTACTTCCGTTTCGACGAGACGACAGACAAACTGGGTCAACTTCAGTCTCTCGACTAGGAACGAACCTACACCGTCGCTTTAACTGTCCAGCCGGATGGCCCTCTCCCTGCCGCTCCATATGGCCACCTTCCCAGTACCGGGGGTGCGGAGGCTCGCAGCGACGGCATCCATCTCTCTGAGCTCTGGCGCCGGGCAACGAGCTTCAAGCACGCAGGTAGCTCCCATGAACCTGCCTGCGACAAATTAAAAACAGAGCCAGAGGGTTTGACTTTTGCTCTTCTGTGCATGACGCAGAGCACAGACGCCGTTCCCATGAACATCGGCCCAACGGCCTTGCAAAATGGCAGTAGGCCACAATAGGCCAATTTGTCACGCGCCGGTCAGAACTCCCACAAGTGCCTTTCCACGCCTTGCACGCTTTCGCTGTTGCAGACAACACCAACGACGACTCCGGCTTTCCGAGGCCCTGCGCGTTATGGAACTATGATTGAGACGGAGCCGGAGCTGCGGAGGGAGGTGCGTGTGCGCACACGTTCATCACACTTCCACCAAAGCTCCCAGCGTGCTGGCCGATGGCGCATGCGGCTGTTTGCCGGCCTCTCGCATATGGCACCACATGTCCCAGTGAAGACTTAAGTAACATGTATCTTTCTCCCTTGCAATACCCGCCCTGTGCATGCCCCGTGGTTGCATGCCCCGTCACACCGGACGGCCACCTATTTTCTGTCTCCCGTCTTACTTTACTTGGCAATCCGCAGCAACTTCGAAACGCGATGGCGGTGGAAGGTGCCAACGTGGTCATTTGGCTGCTGGCCTCCCTCCTGATCTACCTGGTAGTCACCAAGCAAGCCCTCACGTCGTGGCTTCTATTGCCGCCGCTCCGGGAGGCTTGCAAGGGGGCGTCAAACGTCATTAACTACGCAGTGGAGTTGATGTGGGTGTGGAGGGACCGCTGAGTTCCGCCGCCAGAGCAGATCGCCACGCATTTGGGGCAGCCGTGCATGCTGCGGCCAGCTAATGAGGTCGGGGCCGGATGCACGTATATGGCCCACTTTTCGGCGCCCGGAAACATATTTTGTGATGTTGCCGGAGGTGTTGGATAGTGTGTAGATAGCGGCGGGTGGGATGATGAGAGCAAACAGCCGCTCAGTAGGACCCTCCTGGAGCCGTTGGGTTGTGGCGCAAGAGCGTGGGCTTCAGTAGCTGTTCTGCAATAGCCGAAGCCGATGAACTGTTGGGTCTGCGGGCTTTTGGACAAACAAGATTCTTGACGTCTTTACCTACTTTATCCTTGGTGGCGCAAAAGGGTGGTCTTGGCGGGGCAATCGTTTTGATTACCCCTGAAGAGGAGCAGGCAAACACGGATGTTTCCACGTCTGTGTCCATCACGTGCGTTCTGCACTCACGCGCGTCATCGTTAGGTTGCGGTCAGTTGGGTTGGGAAGGTTGCGGGTTGGCATGTATTGATTCTGCCATTTGGAGTGATTGATGAACTGGTTTAAATGCACCCTTATGCTTATATTGTAAAATCCTCATGGCAAGCCACAGCGCAACGTTTTTTGTCTGAGACCCGGCCTTCATTATTTTCGACAAGGTTAAACCGGACACCCGAGATCCAACGGCAATTGTTCTGTCGGTTGTAGCGGTTTGGGAGTTGCTTTCGGATAGAGAGTTGGAGACTGGGGTCTCATAGCAGTAGTCGCTTCCAGCAATGGAACGCATCTTTACGCACTACGTCCTATCGGCGAGGCCATGGAGAGGTAAAGTTAAGTGGGACCCCAGGCTTGGCCAGCTTGGCCCAGCACAGCGGCTGAGCAGCAGCATAGAGATACCGGAAACACAAAAAAAGATGACCGATAGCTTATGTTGTAGTTGGTACAAGCTATGGAATTGTACACTTCGTGATCTGTATTGAAATATATAAATGCCCGCCCTTAGAAACGTCGACAAAACGCATCGCATCACCGTCCTATTCGGAGCAAAGTTGTCATGGTAGCATTGCTGAGTTTTCAAGCCGTGTCATAATTGACCGATGAAGATAACCATCCAGCTCGTTGCTCCTCTTTGACCAAAGCAGTAATCTTGCTCCTTCCAAGCGATTAGCCTTATACCCTCTTTAATATATTTTAGAGTTGAGCAACAAATTGTCCTAGTAAACAATTATCATTGGCGAGGATGGCCGATGCGCTACGCAGTCAGCTGGAGGCAGGGCCACGAGACTCTCTCCTCGACGTCATCCTGAACAAAGTCGCAAAAGCTGGAAAGGTCGGCAATCTTTTGCTCTCCACAGGCACGGTCCAGAGAACTCATCCTACCCGTGTACTCCCTGATGCAGAATGTCCTCATCACACGGATAGTATACGTGGCACGTATGGTGCAAAGACACAATAGCATGGAAAGCGTCAGGCGTGAGTCACTGGGCGGAAAATAACAAAGCCTAGCGGGTTGCTACCGGGGGTCAACCGTACACATACCACCAAAACCGACCTTTCACAGCTCTTCCCCTTCCCCCAGCGTTCTCCCCGGCCCCGGTTTCACAGCCTTCCCATTCCTTCTGCAATGCAGTGCAGCTATCGCGCGTTATAGACAAACACGGGCAGGACGGTGAGATCACAGGCTTCTTACTGGTGTACCCTCTCTGCTATATCCACGTTATTGAGGTAAGCCCCCAGATCTTGGCATGGGGTTTGCCCAAAGCAAGTGCTGACATGACCTGTGGACTAATTTTGATGATCTTTCGGCGCTGCGGGGTTTGTAGCAATGGATAGGCACAATGGAACGTTTCCTAACTTCCATGTGCCTGTTGTCTCGCACACCATTGCAGGGGAAAACTCCGCAGCTTATGGGAGTGCTTCGAGACGTGCTGACCCAGGGTTCAGAATTGCGATTATCAGAAGCAAGGGTAAGCGCCTTGTCCAGGACTGGCTGTCGTGCACTTCACCCGTGATACCCTTGCAGGGCGCCATACCAGTTGGCCTGCCGCCTTGCCTTGCTGGACATGGGACTGTGGTGTACATTTATTTTGCTGCGCAATCAGTTTGACACACATGACGTCAGGTCCCTTGTCTGGAAGTCCATTGGGTCAGGCGGCCTGACTATTGTCGTGGCCTGCCTGTCGCCCCATCAGGTCATTTCCAGCTGTGAGGATGTGCCTGCGCGCTACTTCAACGCCTGGTACGCCGCGTTCGTGCCTTCCGCCAGCTCTGTGGAGGTGATGGACCCGCTGGACACATTCGGGTGCGTGTAGGTGGAAGGATGACAGGGAGGCAGGCAGTCTGTGTATGAAGAAGACTCAGGACTGGGGATTGGATAGCTAGGTGCGGGAAGGCGTGCTTGGTATCAAACGAGCTCAAAACGGGCCCCCATACCAGTAGCAGTAAGGGCTGAGTGCCTGGTTGGCGAGCGGTTGTGCCTGTGGGCGGGTGATGGGTGCAGTGGAGCCCCAGGCTTCCGGCAGCCCTACATCGAAGCTGGAGCTCGATGTTTGTTCTTAGGGTTGCATTCAGGCTGCATGTGTCTATGGAAAAGGCTGGCAGAAGAGATTGCGCGGATGTATCGGTGGGCTGTAGGGTCACGGGGAGGAATAGGGGCAGGGAGGAAGGTGATGGGATGTATCGGATTGGAACAGGCGTAGGCCCAGGGCCTACCATCCCCGGGTGGCCAGAGGAGGCCCTGGACTCGCGCCTCTTTCAAAGCAGATAGGGCCGGGTCTGAAGCCCAGGCTGGGGTATAAGATTGAGCGGTTACGGAGGGTTACTGGATAGGTGTTCGAACAACAGAGCTAAAGAATTTCGAATTGCCATGGGAGATGTGACGGATGGCAAGGGGCCGTGCAAACTTGACACGGCAGGTTGCTCCAGGATTGCACCAGGCTAGTATTGCAGGGTGTTTAACCGGCTCTATGCCTTGACCCTGCATGCAGGGCCGTCAAGTCCGCTTCAAATATTAATGCATTCCTTCGGAAAGCTGGCCCGGAGCTTGCTTCGGCGCAAGATGTGAGTCACATTCGCGCATGACCAGTTGTGCTAGGCTCGGTCAATACATTGCGACAACCGTGTCCAATCGAGGGTAGTTCTTAGGGGACCTAGGCAGATTCGCTCCTACTGCTGTACCGATCCATGGTGGCGCACGCTGACCCGTTGAGTAACCCTAGAATTGGCTTTGATACTTCAGACATCCCCCCACGTCCCTTGAGCCACCGGAGTCTTGTATGGCACACAAGTACTTAACGCTAGGTTTTCCGTGCCATGTTCAACGGTGATATCAGCCCGAGACACGGCGCAAGCTGAACTCCGTGGAATCGTCCTTGGATGACGTGCCGGCGCAAGAAGTCGTGCTGTCCCTCACACCCACCGAGGTCAGTAATGCAACTTGATAGCACGTAAGGGGCCACCGCATAGCTTACACGAACGTGGACGTATGCCTAGTATGTATGTTGTTACAGGGTGGTTAACTTCGCCAGCGGCCCCCTTTCCCGGGGCAGTCCTTGCTCTCCCCTGCTAGAGGGGCACCCTAATCCGTCACCCCATCCGACTTCAGAATGTATTCGTTGGGTTCGGCAACTCACCACCAGCATCCAACCAAATCTAGCGGATCAACGGCGCATCAACTTAGTTCCTGGTCAGCTCGCAAGTATGTTGCACCCTTTCCTAAGTGACTCTCAGCCGGTACCCCGGGACGGCGTATATCCTCGAGGATAACCCACATGCGGACACCTGGCTGCAAGCCGCATGCTGTGTTTGCTTGACACACGACAGCTGCAGCTTGTGACGGGTGGTAGCTACCCACTTTGCAAGGGGCTCCCCTTGTACAGCTAGGAAAGTTCACTGCCTAGCGGTCGGTTACATATGCTTTTATTCCAGATGCCTAGCGCAATTGCAACCCATAGAAGACATCATTCCTGCTTTTTCTTACGTGCCCGTCCCTTCTTCTCCCGGTCCTCAGGACGCACCCACCGTAGCTGAATACCTGGATATCTTTGACGCGCCAGTCAACGTAGACCTGGAGAGCGAGCAAGTGTGGCCTATGCCGGCGCCGCTCAAGTACTGAGAGCAACCGACCGGGGTTGGGCAGTTCGGGGTCCAGACGAGAGGCTGCCCACCCTCCCGGGTGTCCCGGTCAGGGCCAATTGTGTGCAGCATGTGCAGGGCCCGTGGACTGATTAGGACTAGATTATGGGGTTGCGTGTCAGGCCTCATTCAAGCTGCGTTATGCAGGTTAGGCTTGAGGATCCGAGTGCTGCTCCTTCCTCGGTTCGTCGAACCTAATCTATCATAGGACGTGGTGTGAGCACAGTTGACGTTCCACCTGAGATATGCCATGGGACATCGCATTTGAATAAGCAGTGCTTACATGGCTGCCTGCGCAATTACGATGCAGGCAACGGCTTTATGGAAGGCCACCTCCAGAGACCAACAACGTACTGCATTGTACCGACAGTGATACCATGCTCCGTGCGCTTATTTCCGCTAGGGCTTGCGTAGCTACAACGTCAACGGGCATGGAAGTCGAAGCCCCGCTCAGACTTTCCGTGCAGACATACCCTTGCCCTCCCTGTTGGCCACTCTTCGCGAAACAAGCAAAGCCTACAGAAGGATCATCGAGCTCTGCCACCTTTGCCAGTGCACAACCGACTTGATTCTGCACTACACGTAGGCTTCGCAGGCAGCTGCGGCGCCTAGTCCCAGCTCCTTGCGCGCTGCCGTCAGCACCTGGCGGCTGCACAGCCGAGACGCCACCGCATCTGCACCATGACTCCGCAGCATTGACACGAGCGCCGCAGCTAGCGCCTCTACTAGTGCAGGCCGCCCCTCCAGCACCATCTCCACCATCACCAGCAGTTCGGCGGAGGCCCCACGCACCTGCGCGAGGGACGCAGCCGTGATTGGAGGGAGAGCTGCGGCGCCTGCATACATCACCATTAGGTGATAACCCGGTGACTTATTTTATTTTCGAGTGCAGCTGGTCACGCGGTTGACGCATGAAAGCATCTTACCTGTGCTGTACTTCGCACTACGCCAGCAAGTCTGCTAACAACGAGCCGGCCAACTAACCTGGGAGTACGACAATAGGGCTGCAGGCAGGCCGCCGACCACAGTGCCTCTGGGCAGCAGCGGCACAGGGCCCTTGCTACCGGCTTGCAGCTGCTGCTGCTGCGATGCCCGTGTCCGAAGCGCAAAGATTAGTTCCTCCTGCGACGCATCCCCTGGAAAAAAATGCATCAACTTAGAACTTACGGTGCTGCAGCAAAAGCTGGGTGCAGCTATCACGAACATGCGCGCTTGGAGGATAGGGGAGATGGCAGCAAGCGTGATTGTGTCCCCAATCAACGAGAGGACCCCGTGTGGCCAAGGCTGGGGTTCCTTAGTCACGACTCTGCCGCTGGAGATGCGTTTCTGGCTGGGGTTCCTAAGTCGCGACTGTCCCGCTGGAGATGCGGAAGTGCTTTGGTACACCCTATTCGCCCAAGCCATCACTGCTGACGCCACAAATCACGCACGCCAGTGACAGCGCGCGGTACCCCTTCCCCCAAGGCCATCGTACCTGCTCCTCGGAATTGCTCTGCCGGCATGGTTCCTAAGAATATTGCGTGGCGATACGACAGCTGCCCTAACACCGACCGCGCCCATGCTGGCGCTCGCGCCCGCGCCACTTCGTAATGACAGCACACCAGCAGCACGTCTTCATGAACGCCGGGACCGGCGGAAGCAGACGGATTCTCGGGCGGCGATGAGCGCAGCACGTACACGGTGCACACCTTATCCGACGGCAGCGCTTCCCCGGCAGCGCAACAAGCAGCAAAGCTGTTGCCCGCGAGGCTTACTCCTGGAGTCAACACCGAGCCTAGCAACTGCAAGCAACGTACATGCGATCAAGACAACACAACTGAATATCGTCTACGGCACTGCTGCAGACACTAGGGTGGTCGGACTGCTAAGCAATTGAGCGATCAGGGGGCCTGGTGGACTGATCATGACCGGTAAAAAGCCTAGAGTGCACGTGTGGACGTGTCTTATGGGAAGTACGTGGTATGGAGTAGCCGCCCTGGAGCCTGCACGCAGTACCGGTGCAGTGTCGTTCCCAGCGGCAACACGGCACCCTGCGGGTTGTGAAACCCAAACGCGCAGCTTGGCAGCTCACCTGCTTTCCGGGCAGGGTGCGCAAGAGCGCACATGACGTTGGACAGGTCGCTACCAGCTGCGAGAATGGTGACCCAAGTAAGGGAACAGCAGGATTTCGGGGCGCAGGCGCCAAGGCGCTCAGGCGTGGGATACATGTCGATATTGGGAGGAGTCTGCCGACCTGGGCCTCAAGGATCACCTACCAGGACTCCGCATCTAATGCCGTTTGGATATAGTTCCTTCAACAGCTTCTTGTTCCACTGCGAGGATTCCCCCACAGGTTGGTGAAACCGTTAGTCGTTCCGGCATTGCGCCGCTGCACTTTCTATGACAGCTTACCACGCAAACGGCTGGACGTAAATACCTAGCTGCGGTAGACGTTGCAGATTCCTCCTCTTCTTGCAACACCGCCCGGCTTGGCGTAAACGCTGCGGCGCGCAGAGGCCTGGCTTCATAACTCTGCCGCTTCCGTTCATGTTGCTACTACTTACCATCGGCTTGCTCAAAGATATCCATCAATCGTTACAAAAAATCAACCGCTTTGGTGCGGACGTAATCTCGTCGCCGGGTCAGTAACAAGTGTTGATGAGGACGTGATCGTTACGAACCACTATGCATATTTCGGAGGAGTTACTGGTGTACTATGTAGCTTGTATGCTAGATCGTAGGATTAACCGTCGCCGTCCGCTTGTCGTCCTGCGTACGCTTCATAAGGCGATGGACGTGATACTTATTGCTCAGTACATATTTTCCCTGTTTCTAACATATTAAACAAATGAGTGAAGGGAGACCCATGGGGCATCCATGTTGCGCAGGAGTTCGCAAGTTGCCTTGTTTAACAGACCACCACTACAACCAAAGCAAAACGGTAGGCAAAACGAACTGCACTAAAAATAATTGGTATTACCAAGGAATTGCCAGACCAGTCACATTACTCGGTCGGTATCCGAAAGCTCACCCACTCGCACGTGCCCATACACGCACCAATGTAGGCAAGCCACACTCAAAAATAGAACCCTCGTCGCCTCTCACAAGCGCAACTCCATACATGCAGAACAGGACCATCAAAAGGGCAAATGGAAACCTTAACTAATTACGATCTCTCATGAACTGTCATAGCCAATGACCTCCGCGGCGTGTTCCCGCAGAGTTCCCGCAGAGTTCCTCTGTCAGGAACTCTCTTGCAACTGCAGAGCACTCCACATCTTCAATGGCACATACCAAATATAACCCTTGAACAAAACGTCAAAACGAAACATGAAAGACACTGGGACGCCCACCTTGCATTTCGAGGCTTCCGGCTTGGGTGTTTTCGCCCGAGGGACCAACCGCCCAATGTCCCATGGACGCAGAGAGCTAACCGTCACCTCATAGCCAAACACATGCTTTGATCGCTGATCGCTGCTGTCAAAATGCGTGCACCGTACTACATCTATGCATTCACAGCTTACAGGTCACAACCAGCCCACGGAGGGTCGATCCTGCCCTACAGGGTACATAAATCCTGCTATCGCATAACACTGCACATGATGATTAATCACCGAACACAGCGAGACAAGATCCTTTCAGCGAGGCAGAGTGCAAATCAGGGCGCTGCTACTGCGCTAAGGCTTAACCTCTCTGTAAAAAAAGATGGTCGCAGTGCCTTTAAAACTTCGACAGCATAACCATCTCGCCGTCGCGACGGACGGGCTTCTGCGGGGCGGCACCCGCCTCACCCATGAAGCGCACGAAGCGCGAAAGAATCTCCGGAAGTGTAGCATAATGCGCGTAGCTGATACCACGCTTGCGGCACTCGTCCTCGACTATCTTGGAGATGGCGGGGTAGTGCATGAAGGAGATCGCCGGAAACAAATGGTGCTCGATCTACGGAAAACGGGAATCAAACCAGTTAGACTGGGCATTATCGCGCTGCGAGGCGTCACGGGTAGCAAAATGCCGGAGGGCCAACTTAGCAAGGTTTCAGCAGGACATGCTCCATTAGTGCGCTTTGGCCCCGCCATAAGTGAAGCGGCTTTCAGCATGCCCATGTTTAGTCTGAAGGTGCCATCAGGGCGACTGGCAGTGCTCTACACAATCCCCAAGGCCTTTCACAAAGATCACCATCGACCATAAGCTCTCAATGCAATATGTGGGCAACTAACACGGCCGCGAACCCAGACCCCAACCCTACCTGCAGGTTCAGCCCACCGGTGAAAAAGTTGCCGACGACGCCGCCCCAGTTGGCCGATGTCAGCACCTGCTGCACGCCCCAGTCACGTTCCAAGGTCGGCTGGTCCAGGTTCTCACGGGTGGGACCCGGGTCCAGCGATTTGGTCTCAGGGACATTGTGCGACACCGCGAACGTGGTCGCCAGCATAATGCTCTGCAGGGTTTTATCAAAAGGTTGGTTAGCTGTTTACGGTGTACCCAACACTTCCGGCAACATGTAGCATACTTTACATACAGCAATACCATTCATTACAAACTTTTAGCGTCTCTAAACGCATTTAGGGCCATCAGGGCTCTCCCTAGGGGTTTTACGGTCATGTCCAGGTGAGATTTCTCTATCGCAGTTCAGTTCCGTTCCACCGCACCCACCTGTGTGAACAAGTATCCCGCCGCGCCTGCCAGCATGGCACCGGGTCCATGCAGGATGGCCGGCAGCCCGTACAGCAGTACGTAGTGCGCCAGCTTGCCCGCGACCACAGTCTGGCGCTCAAATTCCGAGGCACCATACATGGTTGCGCCCACAGTGCGGTTATCCAGCAGGGCCTTCCAGTCGCCCACCTGAAACACGAGCTGCAGGAAGGGGAAGAGCGCCCACTGCGCCAACCACCACAAAGAAGACAGACGGGAAAAAAGGTTTGGTCCCAGGATAAGTGCACGCAAGTCAGGATTGAATTGTCAGTAATTGCTTTACTCGTGTTTAGGCGCGTTAATGGAGCGCCCTTTCTGCACAAATCTCTGTATCATGCCAGCCGGAAGAAGTCCATTCCAGTCCTTGAGACGCTAAAGACAATAAATGATCTAGTCCTCTGCTCCCTGACTTTGCTCCTGTCGTACCATGTAGATGTGCTGGTACTGGTGGTACCAGTAGCGTGGCAGGCGGTCGTCGAAGCGCAGGAAGGGAAAGGCCGAGAAGACGTCCTCGTCGAACGCGTCATCGTTGCAGTGGACGTGATGGGACACCTGCATGGTCGAATAAGCAGCATGCAGCAAAAAGATATTGATTAATTACTTCATCGGAAATGCCAAAGCTAAACCTAGCTGTGTTACCTTCTCGAATAAATTCCGGAAGAGTGTGTGCCGGTATGGAAAGGGGGTGCACTGCAAGATCCACGCTGTCTACCTTCAGGACTACACGCAAGCGCACGACCACAAAGTTAGCCATGCCTCTTCCTCTCTCGCTGCAACCCAAATGGTACGTCACAGCTGAAAAGTTAAGTCCACCATAAGACCCCTTAGGCATCACCCGGCCAATCAATCACCTGGTGGTGGTACCGCCACATGAGGCTGGAGCCCCCCGACAGATCATTAGTGAGGCCCATCAAGTTGTTGACAATGGGGTTGGTGGACATGGCGCCGTGGTTACCGCAGTGCTGGATGGTCAGCCCAATCCAGGCGCCGGCCAAGCCTGCACAAATAGTGGCAGCCCAGATGCCATAACAGCGAGAAAGACTTGCATCCGTGGTGTATCCGTGATTTTGCCGTAAAGCGCATACTGCTTGCATAGACGTGGACAGGAGAAAATCATAAGAGCATTTGACTTTGACAACTGCTCCCCGACTTTATTGAGACGAAAGTATGCGCCACTGGAAACAGACTGTAGCAGCATCCGCACAAAAACCCAGTATGCATTCTCAATGCGACATGAATAGAATTACACATTAGCTCTCACATTAGCTGTCAACACAGACAATAATGCCTGGTAGACAAGGCACGTGCGTTTTTTAAGGTAGGTGGGCTCCCTGATCACACCCCTTTTTCTCTCACCCAGAAGTGCGCCAGTCAGCGGATTGGCGTCATATGTGTACAACGCGTAGGTCGCCGCTGCGTACGACAACACGGCGAATGCAGCGCCCTCGCTGCCCGAGCGGTGAGCACCCTTGATATCTGTGCCCTTAAACACCTCCTTGCGGACACGCTCCCTGGAATCCCAAACGTGCAGGCACACGTGCAAAGGCAAAAGTTACTCGTGGTATAGCGCTTCTCGCAATAAGCGAACCACAGCTGGTGATCACACAGGCGCCTGTGTGCCTTTCTCTTTATTGTAGCGCCAACGGAGTTCCTTTAGGCGCCCCGGCTGAAACCCACATCGCTGTTTGGGACACTGAAGCGCTGCATGCGCCACCTTGCCAATTGCCCGCTGCAAATCCCACACAGGCCCAGTTCGCTGGCCGCAGTGCTGCGCACTCCACCCTTGTAGAAACAGCGGACGGGAAGCCCACACACCTGATTGCGTTGTACAGCTCGCTGTCGTTGGGGCGGGGAGCCTGCGGCACTGCCTCCACCGGGAAGCCCTCCAATACCGGAAGGCGCTTGAGATGTGCCACGGCCACCTGCGGAACCAGACAGTCTGATCCATCAGCCTTAGCCATGGAATCCATCACCTTCCGGCCGGTCACATGAGGACACATAAGATTGCAAAAGCAAGGGTGCCGACTACTGCTAGCGTGGCACCTTGTTGCGGATGCTGTCAGAAGCTGTGGCAAACAGGGCACCGTGTGACGCACCTCCGGTCGCAGGTGGTAGGACTCAAACAGTGCAGTAGCGTCACGTCCCACCGCCAGGTTCAGGAGCCAGCGGCCGCCTGGGTGCCGGTCCATGTACGACGTCAGGTCGTATGCGACGCCGCGGTAGATGGTCCACCTGGACGATGACCATGTTGGCAAGGAGCAAGCAGAGTGGCATCGCGGCCCATGTCCCTGAGGTTGGGCTGCTGTGTTCGCCAACACACAAGGGCTACGCATACGCTGCGGTTCATCCGTGCAGATCCAGTGTCTGTGAGGCTATGTTTCGTAGCTTCCAAGCTGACACGTCCCGCTAAACACCGAGTGTTTGGGTGCGCGTGTGCTCTTAAGGGCTTGTCCATCCGCGTGACTTGGACAAAGATGGCCCACTTGCCAGAAGGTGTAAGAGCGAGAACAATGCGAGCAAGTGTTTGCGGCCACTTGATTTGATGTGATTTTGACAAAAAGGTAAACCTAGTTCAGTTATCTGCCCTTATATTTTGTGAACCGTGTGCCATCAACCCACAAATTACCCGGTTAACAACCTGGCTATAACTGCAATTACAGAACTTACTTATATTTTGCCCACTTCTCATCCTCCCAAGGATCGCCGCCACTGGGAATCGACGTCGTGGGAGGCGCATCAACGACGGGCGATGTCGCAACAGAAGGCTCAGCGACCACCTTGGTTACAAGCCGGCTCCCACGCCGAAGAAGGTTACTTGAAAAAGACTTCGAGGCGCGGCAAGAAATCAGTACAGCGCTCGGCTTCGCCTGCTTTGCAGGGATATTAGTAGACGCAACCACACACCGAAGTTATCGCTGATTGGGCATACAGCTGTATCACTGCGCTATGCAACAATAGTTTATATTTTTAATAGTGGCTCTTTCGTTTTCCTTCGCGCAACGCGTGTTGTTGTGGCCAGAAGAAGCCCAGCCGCGTAGCGACGGCGAGCGCAAAGACAAGTTCATATCAAATCCATCCGCACCTTGCTCGAGAAGGAACAGGCAGTTCTGCTGCTAGCGACTTGCATGGTGAATTGTTGTGCTCAACGATCAACAATCGCCTCTCACCGAACTCTGTCAATCAAAGCAAGACGTCCGCTTACGGCTTGCACGATAATCCCAAATCACCTAATAGTATCCCTCTATTGCACACATGTTTTGGTATCACACTATCTTCAACGACTGGCCATCAAAAAAGTTGTTTGGTACGGCGGGATCCAAAGTGGCTGTCCTCCTTGCCGCCAGTGCTTGGATATTTTGTAACCACAGCGCGCCACAGGCCGACAGCATACCACTTCTGGCACATCAATTGGGTGTATGGCTTTTGTGACAGTTTATGGCCTGACAAGGAATTGATGCGAAGTACTGTGGCATGAAGGAATCATGCCATGGTTTTTCATTATGACTAATATTGTGCATGTAGATAATATACTGGGTTGACACGGCAGTGCGGAACACAGCGACAGATGGCGGAAACAGCTGGTCTGCGTGCGTGGCTACAAGTGAGATAGCATGGCAAATTGTTTCCCAAATAGTAATGGTTATGGTCACAGGAATCGTCACCAATCCAAACGGAACTTCCCAACTGCCCCACTACGTGTGCACCTTCACCTACTTCCGACCCACCCCTCAACACTGCGACAACCTGTCCGCGTATCGCTGAAGTATCTTCGCATCGAGAAATACTTCGAATCCCTCAGCGCTGCTGGCCACGATGCCCAATCACTTGCCCAACTGAGTGATGCAGACCTAGCGGGGTTGGGCCTGCCCCTCGGTGAGCGCTGGAAGAAAACATGTACAACCTTATATATTATTGGTAACTAACACAAGTGAGCATACTTGGGGCCTTTGGGCAGGCCCGCGGAAGAAAATCCTACTCAATGCGGGCGTCATCCTCCAAAGCTGTCATAGCGCCCCCGAGAGCGCCGCCCGTGGCTGTGGGGCCGGGGCTCATCCTGTACAGTGCGGCAGGTCCGTAGCGCCTGGCTGCGAACTGCCGGCGTCTGCACTTTGCAAGCACTCCCCAACAGCAGCTGCGGAAATGACAACGATACCACCAGCGCATACAGCAAGCTCTGGAAATGAAAGCGCAGCCCATTCGCTGTCCTTGCAGCCGAATCAAATGCATCATCGGATTGCAACAGCATCCTTACCTTGGACAGGTACGTACGGCGCTCTGACTACATGGCTGTTTGCTCGTTCGAGCAAAGAAGTTGCGTTCGTCCTGTCACTAGAACGTTGTTGCTTCCATGCCTTGTCGCGCTCCACAGGCCCCTCCGCAATTCAACACCCCGCAGGTCCCGAGGGCCTCACTCCGCCGCACTCCTCCCAACAGCAGTATCCTCAGCCTCACCGTCAGCCACCTCCCGACGGCAACCTAGGCGTCAGCCTGTTCCAGGACCCAGGCCCCAAGCTGCCCATGCCGGCGGCTATGGCCGCCACAGCAAGAGTCTTGCAGTCCCGGCAGCTGCAGGCGATCCAGCGTCACGCACCACCACAGCACCCGCCGCAGGTTAAGACGGTTGCGCTCCCAAGCGCACAGTCGATGTCCAAAACGTCGGTCCCGGGTGTCGGCCCACAGGCACATCTCCAAACCGCCATACCGTCATCGGACCAAACCCCGAGCGCTGGCGCTGAGATCCATCAGCAGCCTGAACAGCAGCGACAGCAGCGGCATGCGCACCACTGCGCCACAGAGATCTCAGGCCCACGGGTCTGTTCCGCAACGAATGCAGACAACGGCTCTCAGGGGCTGCAGCACAAGCTAGGGCGTCTCATGTTGCCGCAGCGACAACAGCAAGAAGGATCGCCGCCCCAGCAGAAGCGGCAGCGGCAAATGGAGTCCGCTGCTGTCCGTTGCACTTCAACCTCACAGCCTGCAGCCTCTCCTCCGCTGTGCCCCGTGTTGCATGGAGGTGTGTCGCTGCCCGTTGCGGCTGCGGTGCCTAGTGCTACTAAGTCGTCCGGGCGCACGTCCGCGGACCCTATCGCTGGATCCGCCCCTCGAAGTGCTAAGGGATCCGAGGCAGCAGAGCGCTGGGCGCTAGCGCAACTATATCTCCCCATGGAACCCCATTGTTCCGGACGGCAAGGCGGTGGTGCTGCAAAGTCACTCCAGGGTGTGGGTACGTACCCAGGTAGCGGTGTGGAGGACTGCACCGCACCGACGGCGAGCAGCGAGGGCGCGCGGGCTGGTGTGGCCGTGACGCTGTTCGCCGCACAGCGCGGTGTCCTCAAACGGTGCCGCGCGTGGGGCGGGGAGCTCGGCGCGGCCGCCGTTAATGGCAGCCAGCCCTGCCAAACAACCGAACCCTCGGCCCGTGGAGCGCAGTGCCGGCAACCAAGTCAGCTTCACGAGCGGTGGAAAAGTGCATGCTGGGCGGACGGGCAAACGCTGTACACTGCGGCTGCTTCTGCACTGCCCGTGGACTGTAGCTTCCGATCTCTGAGGAACACCGCCGTAGCTACCACCGCTGCACACGCGACCGGCACCGTCGCCGTGGGCGGCGGCGCTGGTGCAGCGCATCAGTCCCACGGAGTGGCAGAACCTGACGCCGCTGCGGGGCTGGTGGCGGCTGCGGTTGTGACATCAGGCCAGGGTGGGGGAGCGGAGGTTATAGTTGGGGCTGCCTTGCACCGCACGCTAGCAGCCATACCTGCTGGTGATAGTGATGGAAGGGATCAGCGCCGGCGCAGCAACGGCCAGCATTGCCCGGACGAGCTCCCAGCAACGCAACGCTATCCTGGAGGTGGCGGAGACACGAGTGGCGATAATGCAACGGGCGCTGCGTCGTTGCTGGATGACCCGCGCAACTATGAGACGCCGGAGCTACTGGCCCAGCTTTTGTACGATAATGCGTCCCGCACGGCGGAGCGCGGCGGCACAACGGCAATTGGAGCTGCTGGGCAGGATGCACAGCATCCCGCATCCGGAGCAGCACCACGCAGCCAGCCGGGAGCAACGGAGCGGAACACGGGGCCCGCAAACATGGGCGCTTGGGGATCGGTTGCGGGAGCAGCTGCTGGCATTGCTAACGGCGTAGGTGCTGGTGACGTTGCTGCGGGTGGGGATGATGGGAATGGTAGCGGCAGTGTGCGGGTGCCTCGCGAGCAGCGACTGGCTCGCCTGCGGGCCCTACGGGAGGAGGTGGCTGCAACGGAGCAGCTGCTGAAGACCCTACGGCGCATGGTGGCTGAAGAGGAGGCGGCGCTGGAGGCCTCAGCTCCGACGGTTATGGCTGCCGCAGGCGGCGGTGGAAACCGAGCTGGGTCTTTACCACCGCAGGCTGTAGTGGCACGTCAGGCACAGGCAGCCGAAGCCAGCATCCACCCGCACACACACGGCTGGGAGCAGGGGCCACAGATGCGCGCGGCGGGGGAACGGAACCGCGGGTCTGCGCAGCGGCCACTAGGGGCAGACCCCTCTTCAGTGGCCGGTAGGGGTTGTGGTCCTTACCGGGGGCGGTCTCCCGAGTTGGAGCATCTGCCCACTCAGCAGTGGGACTCGGGCTTGATGCTGACGGAGCGCCTAGATATGCTGGCATGAGTGAGAAAGGCAACGGCTGCTTGGAGGTCGAACGACGATAATGCGCAAGCTCTCAGCCAATTGCCAGTGTAGCCTCTCACATTGAGACGCACACGTGCATGTTCGAAACATCGAGCAGGAAGTCGGCAGTGGTGTCTGCCCCGACCAACAAACTCGCGAAACTATGGATGAACACAGCCCTACGCCTGAACACCAACTACCAACTGATGTACAACGAATACATGAAGCCGGCGCCTACACAAAACTTTTCGCACCGACAATCCTTTCGGATCTGCCGCAACAGGGTGTAATGATTCCTCCAACAAGGTGTAGCACATACATACATACGTACATGCATGCATACATACGTACATACATACATGCACATCTACCCCTGGCCATTCCAGGTGAATTGTGGCACGTCCAGGATCCGAAACTGGTGCCAAACCACGCCCTGTATGAGCTACCAGTGCCCTTAAAGCCCCGCAGGGCTCACCAGGTAGGAGTTTGCAGGCACAAGAACACACACATACACCTCTTCGCAGTAACTACTGTGCTAGCTAAGCCTGCGGACTCACAACCCGTCCGAGAGTCCCAACTGTAAGTGCCTCTCCTGCCCATCTTGCCCATAATCCAAACATCCAACAACACAGCAATAATTGGTTTTCCTGTCCTAAGCCCCCGTCGATATCGCTGCTTCACCCTTCCAACCTAACGCAGAGCCATCCCGACAAAAACTAAGCCCAGCAGCCAAAGCGCACACCCCAATCACCTTCGAATGATGCCGCGGGTCCTGCAAGATAGTCCCCATCCATCCAAACCACACCCAACTGCGCACAACCCATGCAACCGGGTACACTATTCCACCGCGATGTCTAGCTCGGGTATCCGTGTCGCATGCCACGGCGCCTCCAGCCCCTCCAGAGCAGCCAGGAGCGACTGGGCTCGTGGCCCGCAGTCCGCTGCCACACCCGCAGTCACAGGCCACTGCGACTGCTGTGATGGCATGGCGCCGCGTCCTGCAAGTCTACCTGTGCCGGCGCGGTGCAGAGGCGGCAGCAGCGTCCGCAGCTGTGGAAACTTGGGTCCTGGAGCCATCGAAGCACCCGGAATACTTGCCGTACAGCTTGGCGGCGGCCGGCCAGCTCCTTTGGCGGTAGTGAGTGACGGTGGCATGTTGTCTGATGTGTCGTACAGGAGTAGCCAGACACAGTCCGGGTCAAGGGCGGCCACTGCGAGAAGGGTGCCCTGCGCCGCCTCATGGAGAGGTGGCGGATGACTGGAGCCCAGGAAGGGGAGCGAGGCCTGCAGCGCCACACACATGCAAGTGTACATTAGTTTGGCAAAGTGGGAAAGAGGGGTTACGGAGGATGCCCCAAGCTCAAACCCATAAGAGGCCGGGATGAAGATTAAGGAGTAAGGGAAGCTTGGCCATACATATCCTCATGACTCCTACCCTCACCCCCACCAGGGCCCCATCCACAGGAGGCAGGTAACCCAGCACCTGTCATGACCACCTGTCATAACTCTGTTCCATTCCCCGGGGCTTCAGCGCGACGCACCTGTGCAATGCTCCAGGTTAAAGTGCGCACCGCCACCCCGGCATCCCGACAGCGACACACCGCCTCCAGGCAGCGCAACGTGGCCACTCGCACCCGGGTAACTGCGGCAGGAGCCAGCGCTGCCGTCACGTCCTCCCCGCCGCTGATGGTAATGGGTGAACACGCCGTGCCGAAACCGCCGATTTCCAGGCGCTGCCGCGGCACGCTGCGCGCCGCGTCCGTGCCCAGACTGAGCAGTCCCGGCGTGTGGGCCGAACCATGGGTCAGTAAGCGCTGCAGGACGGGCCAGGCCTCCTGCTGGAAGCGCCGCGCCAGGAACGCGCCTCCTACAGCGTCGGCGTTGTCAAGAGGGGTGTTAAGCATAAGTAATTAGCTGCGAAAGAACACGAGGAACAGCAGCGTAAATGAGAACACACCAGCATGATCAAGGAAGCAGATGAATGCTGTAAACCTCCAGCGTGCCAGGGAACGAAACTTGGCATGTTGAGGGTCACAGAGGAGTGGAGGGTTGGAAGGGCAGTTGCCCGAATGCACTTCAAGAGGTTCAGCGGGCCGAACTGCACACAACGCCAGGGTATTAGGTGCCCAACAGCCGCTCACCAGCCACCGCTACCAGCTCCGCCAAGGCCGCCACGCCCCGCTCCACCATGGGCGTCCTGCTGTCCCGCAGCGCCGCCATCAGCGGGCTCCACGCCGTTGCCACTGCAGGGAGGACCTTGGGCGTCTCCGGGCGCACTGGCCGCATGCGCGCCTCCGCGCCGCCATACTCCTCCAACACGGCTGCCTCCCCCTCCACGGCCGGTGTGGCTACCGCCAGCGCTGCCAGCGCGCCCCGCAGCACGTCCAACGCCATCACTGCGGCGCGCAAGTCCGATGACATCATCAGGGGCGTCGCAGCGTCGGCAGCGGCCCCCGCTACCACAGCCGCCGCGTGCAGCCTCCGGAAGCGCAACTCGCTGTCTTCTAGCTGCCGCGCAGTCAGTGTCAGCAGCCGCTGCCGCCCCTCGCCTGCCGCATCTTCGCCGCCACCGCCAGTGGCGGCATTATGTTCCATGAAAAACTGTCGCACGTCCTCATGCCGGCTACTTGCCGCCTCCGGCGCAACATCTGGACCACTGGCAGGTCCCCCGGCCATCGATTCCGCTGCGGCTTCCTCCACCAGGTCCTTGCGGCGTGCCTCCGCCGCCAGGCGGTTCAGCTCCGCCACCTCCCTTCGGGACACCTCCCCGGCGTCTGTCGCCTCGCCCGCGGCCCCAGCTGCCAGCTCCCTCAGCACCGCCAGGTAGGAGTGCACGTAGCTGGGCGCCCAGTGGCGGGACAGCGGAGATAGTCCCTGTGATAACAGTGAGCAGTAGGGACAAGGAAAGCACGGGAGGCGCCGTGTGACAACAGGCACGTGGGTTTCACTGCGGCAGCAGCGCACGACCTGAAATCTCCCTCGGCGACTGCGTGGTACGTCAGTCCCAGATGCTCAGATCCCCTGACGGAGCCCTGCCACGTGGCTTCAAGGTGGTCCATGCGGCAAGGTGGCCGATGGGAAGATGGAACCTTGCCACCAATGAGGGCTTACGGAAACACCGGCCGGCTTTTCCCATCACGTCATGACCCCTGCTACCCTTGCCAGTCCCCCCCCCCTCGCATCCTCGTTCAATATCTCCTCCGACTCCCTCCCCTACCTCGACTCCCTCGCTCCCTTCCGTCGACTCCCTCCCTCCCTCTTCCCAGGTAGGTAGGTCCTAGGCATCACTCGTGCGTACCTGCAATGTGCGCTGCAGTGGCTCCGCCATGAGGGGCAGCAGTTGCGGGGCCACTCCCGCCCTCCGCAGCAGTGCCGCCAACAGGTGGGGTGCTCGCGGGTGTCGCTGCAGGTCCCGCAGCCGGGCGCACAGACTGTCCACCACGTAGTCCGCATTCGCCCCCAGCAGGGCGGTCAGGGAGCCGCCGTAGCCGCAATGCACACAGATCTGGGGTCCCAGCGTACCAAGGTGTTGACGTAATGGGCCAACGACAATCAAGCTAGCCGGGGAACTTGGCAGGAAATGGCAAGCACGCGCAAATAGGCGCCCGGAGGGCAGCCAGGATAGACAGATAGACAGGCAGACAGACCTGCAGACAGACGGCAGTGAGCGCCGACACAGGGAGTCGTCAAAACCTAGGGAGACCCCAACTCAGTGAGACACCTGGGGTCCAGGGAGGGGACCTTGTGGCAGGCGGCAGCCTGCGCGCCTCCTACCCCGCCCCCGGCCCGCTCCTCCATCCCCGCCTCGACCGCGGGGCCCAAACCGCAATTTCCTCCCGCCCCCAGTATCCGACTCACGGACTGCAATGCGGTGTCCGCTGCCGCCGCAACGGGCGGTGAGGGGTCTCCCAGCAGCTCCAACAGCGGCACCAACACAGTCCGTAGCAGCCGGCCCTGAGCCACGAACCGAGGACCCGCAGCCCGTGCCGCTGTGCCAACAACTTCCAGCACCACCCGCAGCAGCATCACATTCTCGCCGAGCGCCTGCGCCGTCAGCGGCCTGCGTGGCATCGTCAGGTCTGGACGTACGACTTCGTCGTACGTTAGCTGCGCAGCGCCGGAACTGGTGGGAGTTCCGGTTGGCCTTCCGCCGGCTTCGTTGTGTGTGGGCAGCTTAGTGATTGCCGGCCGCATGAGATCCTGAAGCATCCCCAGCAGAATGCTTTCGAAGGCCGGGTCAGCGGTGGGGAAGGTTGGCGGTAGCGGTACCTTCCCAACGTGTGCTTCACCGCCACCCACGTCGTCCCGGTGCTGCGCCTGCAGCGGCGCGCCCAGCGGCGGCGCCCACGCATTGGACGCCCCTATAATCACCTCCGCCGTCACCGCCGCTATCGCCGCCGCCTCGGACTGCCAGCTCTCGCCACCAGGGGGCCCCAATGCAGCCGGCGTTGCCGCAGCGATGCAGGCGCCATAACCATCCTCCAGATCATCATTATCAGCTTCCGGCGGCCCTGGGAAAGATGAGCTGTCACGCTGAGCAGCGCCGATGGCAGCGGCGGCGCTGCCCCGCGCCACCGCACGGCGCATCTCTATACAAAGCTCGTCCACAAGACGCCTCAGGACACTGCTCGTAAGTCGCTGTGACGGCACCGCGACAGCTGCCTCCAGGTCCGCCGCACGAGCCAGCCTGCCAAGGCTCCTGACCATCGCCGCCAGCGCAGAGTACGACCGCTGCGAAGCAAGGTATAGCATGCCCAGCGGCATGCGGGGAAGCTCTGCTGCAGCGACGGCCCCACCCGCCAGCGCTGCACCTGCCGCGTCTTTTGCCTCCGCCGTCGCTGCCCCTGCCCCCGTCGCCGCCGTCCCAGTACCTGGCATTCCGGGCGCGGTTTGATTGGGTGCGGCTGCTACCACCGACGGTGCGTATGATCCCGCCTCACCGCGGAGGTGCAGAATAAGGGTAGCGGCGTTGCGATCAAAGGCGAAGCAGCGGAAGAGCCCCACCAGCAGGTCGGTCAGCGCGGCGGGCCGCAGCAGCAGCCACTTTGCAGCCAGGTCGGGGCCCGCAACTAACAAAGCTGTTGTCAGGCAGCGCGCCTGCACCACTGCCTCAGCCTCACCGGCGGTCACTGCGCGCAGCAGGTACGCGGACGTAGCGCTCTCTGCGATCAGGCACTGCAGGCCGGGTAATGCTGGCGGTAGCGGCGACGGGGCACTGGGTGCAGCGGGGATGGCCGACGGCGCGTCGCCGCTGCCGCCGTTTCGGGCTTGCACTACTGGTGACAGTGGCAGCGGAGCGCCCTGGTCGCGCCCGCCGGCGCCCTCGTCAGAACCGCCGTGTAAATCACGCTCGTTCAAGTCTAGAGCGGGCTGTTCCGTTAATACACTATCGGACATAAGGCCCTGCATGAAGCGCTCGAATTCGTCCTCCAGCGCCTTCAGCTCCTCCTTGTGCCGTGGACCGGCAGCAGTGCCGTTGCTGTGGACTCCCCCTTCCATCCCATCCACGGCAGCTGTATTCCCGCCCGACTCGCGACCATCCAAGATAACCCCAGCTGCAGAATCCCTGTTCACGGGCATCGCAGCAAACGTGGCAGCGGGCGCAGCTGTCCCAGCGACGGGTCGGGCTTGGCGCGCAACCCATTCCTGGCACGGCGCAGCCACCTGCTGCCACTCGTCCTGCACCAGCGTGAACAGCAGCCGCAGCAGCACTGGCTGCGAAGGGGCCAGCGCGCGGCCACAGCGGTCCAGCAGCTGCATCAGGGTGGTCGCTAGCTCCGCCCGTACAGCGGGCCGCGGGTGGGAACACAGCGGCGGGAGTGCCCGGGTCAGCAAGGCATTCACGCGGCTGCCTGTGTCCTCGAGCCAGGCCAGGGATCGGTCCACTCGGAGGCGCCGGGGGCGGGGCGGCGCCGCGGCCAGGTCCTTGGACACCGCCGCCGCGGCCGCTGGGACGGGAGGATGAGCAGCGCCGCCGGCACCTGCGGCGCCGGTTTCGCTGGCAGCCGCAGCTGCCGAGGAGGACAGACTGAGCTGTTTGAGCGCGGACAGCGCATCATCAGCACTGCGGACATTCGGCAGGGATCCAGCGGAGACGACGGCGGCAGTGGCGGTGCCGCCGCTGCCGGCGGTCGGCCCCATGATAAACGCCGTACTCTCGTCCGACAGTACGGTGGTGATGGCCGTACGCAGGCATGCCAGTGCTTTCACGGTTGCAGACGCCCCGGGCGCAGCGCTGGGTCCACAGAGGGCGGCAGAGCTGCCTGAAGTGGCGAAATGCATTGCCCGCCAGCCAAGACAAAACAGACAGGCCGACTAAGTGACAGACGCACTGCCTGACGGACTGACATGTATGCATAAAGCATTTACATCATTGACCATGACAACCTTTCTGGTTGGCAGGGCTGCACGTCATGCCGCTCTTTCCAGGCAGATGCCCGTGATGCCCCTACACTCTGCAGGTTAACGTCCGGCAAATGCATAGCCTCCAACTGCTGCAAACTGTCGCGCTACCATAAGTACAATCATGTATAGTCGCGTGTATCACGTGCGCGCACGCGCGTGTGTGTGCGTGTGTGTGGGGGGTTCAACAACATACATGACAAGGCGCGCCAACAGCTGCAACGGGAGAACCCTTTTGGCCCTTCGTGCAACCAATCGTGGGTCCATTGCCACCCTACTCCCTGTAGGGCCTCTGGACTCACCCGCCGTGTACAGGTGTTTTGACAGCCCCGACACGACCCCGGGCAGGAAGAACGCCAGGACATCCGGGTGCGGCAGGGCGGCCAGCAGCTCCCCAAGGCTGGTCAAGGCGGCAGCACACAGCGCCTTACTGCCTGGGGACGGAAACGGCTCGCAAGGGTAAGCCGAACCGCAGACAATTGAAGCAGATACCCGAGATAGACGGGTCTCGCGGGGGAGTGCATGTGGGACAAGGGCAAGGATGCACTGCATCTACGGGTTCAGATGGTAATGACAACGAGGGCGGGGAGTTGGGCCAAGCAGCTGAGAAGTGGGAAGCGGGCTTAGGGCCGCATCAGGCTTGCAACAGTTGGATGCAAGCAGCTGTAGAATTGCTAGTATCGTTGCAGAAGCTGTTACTGCTTTTTGCCTGGGAGCAGGAAGGCACTTGTCGGGCGCCCAGCCGGCGTAGCGGTGCATTGCGAGTGTGGCTCCCGCGGGGGAGCCAAGCCCCACCCCACAACAGGGGCGTTTACACTCAGTTCGCAGACGGCAAGACCCAACACTCCCCCCTCCTCACAGACAAAACCACTACACCCGACCGGAACCATTAGGCGACATGTGCCAGGCACCAGGCGCACCTCGGTGACCAGCCAGGACCTCCCGCTCCGAAACCTCCAGGGAGCTATGCAGCAAGTAGCCAGCCAGGGGTGCCAGCTCCTCGCCACACAACACCGCGCCGCCGTAAGCAACCCCGTCGCCGCCGCAACCCCGTATACCACCAGCTGCTGCACCATCATCGCCACTGGAAGGCGTAGCAGTCGCAGTAGAAGCAGCCTGCGCAGCCGCCAACGCCAGCGGTGCCAACGCCGCCACCAAGCAGCGCTGTAGCGCGATATGGACCTCATCCGACACCTCCTCCCGGCCCAGCTGCAGCAGCGGGGCCAGGTGCTGCAGCGCCGCCACCGACCGCTCAGCCACGAGCCCTGCGCCGCGTGGGACTTCCCTGTCCGCCCTCCCTGGATCGCCACCGGCACGACCGCCGGGAGCTAATGCTGCTGCCGTTGCTGAGGTGCGTTCCAGCAGAGCGAGGAGGGCGCCTGTTGACGGGGTGAGCCGGGGAAGACCCCGGTGGTGGGAGGGGAAGGGGATCGGCATGTGAGCACAGGCAGCGAGGGGAAGCGTGGGCTACAAGTGCGGTTCGTTTCTTCTTCTTCTTCTTCTCCAAGGGAACACAGGAGCAGCACATTGGATAGAAGCTGGCGTGGGCGTGTCCTGCAAACGGCCGTGAGCCCCACTGTGAGCGCCCTTGCGATTCGTCGAGGGGAAGCGGGCGGTGATGCCACCATCGCCACTGGATTTCCGTTCCAAGGACCTTGTACGTCACCCACCCAGCAATGCCTCCACCACTCGGTCGCTGCGGCAGGCTGCGGCTACCAGATCCCCGGTGCGCTCGCCACCAAAGCCGTAGCTGGCGTCGCCGCTCCCGCCGCTGCCGCCGCCGTCAGCACTGCGCGCCGGCCTTGCTGCCGCACGCGATGGTACGACCGCATCGACGAGGATCATGAGAGGGAAAGCCACATAGTCCCAACAGCCATCAACACCGTCAGGGGGCAGCTCTTGCAGGAGGTTACGCAAAGCCACTAGCTGCGGCTGTAGCCGGTCAGCCTGGTCCCGGAGCAGCAGCAGCTGAGTGGTGATGGGGCGAAGCGCTTGGAAGGCGGCCTGGCGGTGCTGCTGGTATTCATAGTGCTGTTGTGTGGTGGATGCGTAGGGGATGGGCCAGGCCCGGGACGGTGCCGTACCGCTAATGGGTATAGATGGCATGGCGTTGGCCCACGCCCCGCAGATGTTACCGTGCAGGGTCCAGGGGAGGTGTATGTGGCGCAGGTGCCACGATGATGCAGTTGTTAAATGGTCTTGAAGTTGTTAAATGGCCCTCCTGCTATTGAGCCGCCCTACTGCCCGTGTATAGGTCCCGGGAAACGGAGGCTAAAGCCGAGACAGCCTCTACGTTAGCGTGATGTCCCACAGATTAAAACCCCGATGGCTACAAGTGAGGTTCCTAGTGCTAGCGGCACGAGGCGGAACGATTCTCCCAGAGCCAAGTCAGCCAAAGCATTAAAGACGAGGCTGCATGCGTTAGCTGCTGGAACTAACACGGATATATCCGAGGAGCCCAGCAAGTATATGAACAATCCGCTCCCACTTTGGTTCAGTCCGTGCGGCACGACAAATGAAGGGGTAAGAACCCAAGTTCCAAGCTTTGAGATCAAGCTTGCATTAGGTGTTGTACAGAGTTTCTTTTGCACAATATCGGAGCCGCGCTTTACAAATGGGTTGGTACTTCCCCACAGAAAGCCTACAAGCAGCGCAGCCAGCGTCCCACGCATGATCGGTCACATCAAAAAGGCACTTCGTAAGGGATTACCCGGATGGATTCTGGCAAATGCACACTTTATTTTACTTGTACGAAACTTCGGAGCTGTTGGCGGGAGCTGTTTTGGGAATGAAGGGCACAGTAAGCTACGATGCCAGATGCTACTGCTTTAAGCGTACTATTTTCTGCAAAATAGAGAATATATGAATGTTTAATTTGCCAGCGAACAAGGTTTTTACCTGGCGCCCTCCAGCAAACGTACCAATGTTTCGTTAGGAGCATATCACTTCTGCTTTGACGAAATGATTCGAGGTACATAATAAAGCGCCATAGGATATGGACAGCGAGGTTGGCCAAGAGGAACCAAAGTGGACCTCGCTGCGGGGCGCGCCGGGGGACTCGATGGACATACTATGGGACAAGTATGCAAGGCTATCCCTCATCGCAAAGGTCAGGCACGCTCGGTTGGCTTCTGGTCCGTTGGCGTTCGCCATGCTGCGCGTGCTTCGGCCCGACACTGTTGACGGCAGCCAGTGGCCGCGGATGCAACCTTTATTCCCAGCTGCGCTGTGTGACTCCTTTCCCCTTTCCAGGCTTACAGGCTGCGCCTCGCACAGCCAAGCAGCCATGTGCCGCCCGCGCCCGCCTGTGGTCCCGTGCCTCTTCCGTTCCCGCTGGACAGCGAGGGTGTTGCGCAGCTTAACGGTCATGAGTCGAACAACAGCGCTCGTAAGCATCCACCGCTGCCGCAACCACAGCAACCAGCCTGCCACGATGCGGCGGCAGCCGCCAACTTGACCCGGATCGCTGATCTGGGTAACCATCAACACCAGGCAGGGGCTCAGCCGCGGCCCTGGCAGTGTCCTCCAGGCGAACCCCTCTGCCTGTCGAGCTTTAGCCCATGGGAGGGGGTTGGCCCATTCCCGCAATCCGAAGGTGACGAGTGGAGTGGCCCTAGAGACCAGCAGGCAGATGCTGGGGCGGCTGATCACACGGTCGCTGGCGCCCTGACAGCACCGGAGGTGAAAGTCGTCGCGTTGGACGTCCAGCACTCAAAATTGGACCCACAACCGCGGCCGCTGCACGTGTCGTCCACACATGTTTTGACACCTGAAGCCGCGGAAGCGCAGCTGCAGGCTGCTGCTGCTGCTGCTCCTGCCGGCGGCGGACCCACGGACGTGTCTCGTGCCGCGAGCTCCACTGATGGTGCCACTTCTCAGCGCAGCGCAGGCCCCTCCGATCGCGACGTAGCCGCAGCTAGGTCAGAAGCTGCTGCTGCGGAGCTCGAGGCCGAGGCTGGGGAGATGCCGGGCCGGGGTGGCGACGGCGATGACGATGTCATATACATGGGAAGTACCCCCGGTGATCCCGCTCTGTACTGCGAGTGGCTGCAACGTGCTCTCGGTGGGGGCCCCAGCCAGCGCCCACCCTCCAGTCGAACGGACCGGCCGACCAGGCAACGCAGCATCTTGCATTTCATTCAGCCATGGCCCTCACAGCAGTCTACCGGCTCCGGAGGGGGTGGGGCGGGGGCGACCCCAGGCGGCAAGGCCCCCGGCAGGCAGAGGCGAGTCGGCCTGTTCCAGTCGCAGCGGCCCACCTCCCAGGTGCTTCAGCCCTGGGCACGGGCGGTGCAACCGTCACCGAGTCAGGAGCAGCACCAAAAAGAACCAAAGCCCGTGGAACAGCAAATAGTTGCGGTAGCAGAAGGTGCGACAGCGGCGGCTGAGCAGGCTCGAGGAGCACAGGTGGACCATGCTGCACCGGCGTCTAGACCGGGACCTGGGCCCGAGGCCGCCGACGACCAACCCGCGGCTTCCGCTGACGAGTCACCTTTTTGCATGGTGCAGGTGCAGTCACCACTTCAGCCGCATCCTCCACCCTGCCAGTCCCTTCCCTCCCGACCCTCTGGTCAGCACCTGGGCAATACAGGGTCCGCGTCTGATGCGCTTGCCGCGGCGCTGCCCCGGCGCGGCTCCGGTAGCCTATTTGCTTTTGCCCGAGCTGGTAGTGGCGGAACCATCACGGCGGCGACCGGCGCGACCATGACCGCGTGTGCATCGAGCCGCCTACCTTCAGCCGCAATGCCTGGGCCACGGAACGCATCGAACGGCTCTCAGAAGCAGCCTCTACCGCCGCTGCCGCTGCCGCTGCTTACAGCAGCCCCTGAAGCCCAGGCGGCGCCGGCCTGCGGGGCAAGCACCGAGGCACCGCTCTCAGACTCACCAGACCCCGGAAGCAGCGGCGAAGACGGCGATGGCGGCTCCCCGGCTGCCTGGCGGCTGTTCCGTGGCCCATCGCGGGTACTGCGCCGCGGCAGGGCTGCCAACCGTGGAGGCGCTGGCGGAGGGTCTCGCCGCACTTCTCGTGTTGTTGGGCCCGACAACGCGCAGCTGCAAAGCACGAGCGCGCCTGTATGGCAGGCAGCGGAGGTTGCGACGAACCAGTTGGTGTTGGGAGATCCGCAACGAAACTTGTCCGGGGCCGAGCAGGATGCGGTGGCAGGCGACCTCATAGTGGAGTCACTGGCGGTGCATGTGTTACCCACCATGCAAGGCGGATCGGAGGCAGTAGCCGCTGGCAGCCTGTCGATGCGCGCCCTCCTGGATGCGACCCTCGCGGACGTCCCGCCGCCTTGCACGGGTATTGCACCTGTGCCTCAGGACGCGGAGGAGCAGCAAACAGAGTTTCATTACGATATCTTCCGGTGTGCGCAGGTGCTCGAAGTCCAACCGCAACCGCTAGGACTTACGAACCTTCTCACGAATCAGGGACACCACCGCAGCAGCGGCGGGCACGACGAGGGCGGCATTGGGGTTTGTGTGCCCGCATCCCACGGCGACTCAGCGGAGGTGCCTGCGACAGGCAGCGAGGTGTACGTAGTGCCCGCCACGCCGATGTCAATACCAGGCAGTGAGGCTGCACCACCGCCATCCGGGCCCAGGTCTGTGGCAGCGGCAGGCAGGGGCAACGCGGGCTTGCACAATGCGGCCGGTAGCAGCAGCGGCGGCGGCCCTGCACATACCTGCGGCAGGGACGGGCTGGGTAGTTCGACGCCATTGGGGCAGCCGCCGCAGGGGGACTGGGCAGCGCTCCGGCAGCAAAGTTGGGCACAGCACGGTACCACAGTCGTCGCCGCGACGCCCCTCCAGCCGAGCCGCTCCGCCTCCCTGACGGCAGTGGCGGCAACACCAACGGAGCTGGCCAGCACACGCCTGGCCGACGCCGCCGTTGGGCAGGAGTACGGCACCGTTACCCCAATTCTTTCACTACACGGCCTAACCGACGTCGCTAAGCCGACAGGTGCTGTCAGCACTACTAATGCTGCCGCCGGCGTCGCTGCCTCTGAAGCTGCGGCTGCTACTCAGCCGTCCGAGCGGGCCGTTCGGCTTCATGTAGCACACGCTGGCCGCTGCGGCTGCGGTACGGGCGGCCACGACGAGCTGGCTCACCCGGGACGGGTCTTGCAGGTGCATGTGGCGCTGGACGCGCTGGCGGACAGGCACTTCCATGGTGTGGACCAGCAGCGGGTCAGCGCCAACTGCGGTACTACTGTAGGCGATGGCGGCCGTGGCTGCTATCTTGCATGTCTGGTTGCTGTGAATGCATTGCCGGGTGCTGGGCCCTTGCCGCTGGGAAGTGATGGAGAGGCGGCATCCTCGGATGCGCAGCAGCGGCCACTGCTGGCGCTGTATACCTGGTGGCTGCCGCCGAACGGGCCGCCAGTGCTACACAGCGAACTGGCCCTCATGCCGGCGTCGGCATTGGTGCGGCGCCCATCTGCTGCAGCTGGCGCAATGCCTTCTGAAGTGGAGGCGGCGGCAGTGGGAGCTTCTGGCTTTTGCGGTGGCGCGCCCTCGACAGGAGTAGGCAGCCTGAGCGGGCCGTGCGGTCGACCGGACGATGTGTGCAGCTCATTTGGCGGCCTCGATATGCGAACGGATCAGGCTCTGCGGTTGCTAGTTACGGCCAACGGCGGCCTTGGTCTAGTGCTTTCCGGCGCTGTGGACGTGCCAGCCTTCCGGACCAGCAACTCACGGGACGGCTCTGCGACCAGTGCCCCTCAGGGCGTGTGTGACCAGACCCGCGAATCGCACAGGGATCATCAGCGCCATCATGACCGTCCTGGCAACATACAGACGGGACCCGGACCTCCGCAACCGTTGTCGCGGTCTTGCCAACGCCAGGGCCCCCATGTCGGTGAGTATGATGCCCCGGTTGGTGGTGTGACTGGCCAAGTCAAGCTGCTCCGGTTCCAGTGCGGCGCCTGGCATCTGGCGCACGTGCTGCACAGCCCTGCGGCCGCTGTTGCGCTGCGCTGTTTGGCATGTACGGCCTGCACCGTACTTCCACCGCAGCCGACGTACGGAAGTGCAGACCCAAAACCGGCTGCGACCCCAGCTCCTGCATCTGCTACTGCTGGCGCCGGTTGTTCACTTGGGGTTTGGCGGCCGCAGTCATGTTGGCAGATCGTAGCGGCGGGGGTTGCGGGGCATGGTTGTGTGTGGCGCCTGGACTCCTCCCTGGATACCGTACTGCAGAGGGAGCCGTTCCCACCGGCACGTTGCGCATCAGCATCGTCGCTGGGAATGGCAAGTGAGGTTTTGGAGTTGGCTGCCCTGCCGCACCAGCCTCGCCTGGTCCTCGGAGCGGCAGCGGATGGCTGCCTAGCACTGTGGGACGTGGGGACGATACGCGCAGTGGAGGTGCGACCGCCGGCTTGGGCTGATGGCGCCAGAAGCCCGAGGCTTGCGGTGTCGGAGGCGCCGGCTCTGCAGCTTGCAGCGGCGGCTCAGATAAAGCTGCTCACCGTCGTCCAACCCCCAGGCTGTGTGCTTCGATGCCTTCATCCGGTAGCAATCCCCGGCCTGGAGCCCCGGATTCAGCAAGCCAGGGAAGGCAATGGCAGAGCCACGTCGGAGGCGGAGGCGAATTCTAATAAAGGCGGCATGTGCGATGATGGACCGGGGGAAGAGTACATGGCTGAGACCAGGCGCGACCAGTCTGAGGACTTAACAGCTCACCTTGACCGCCCAGAAGATGAATTTTCAGCGGTCTCGTTTCTTGCGCGAGCATGCGGGGCGCGAGCCAGAAATAAAGGATTTGGGGCAGCGGACGGGTTGGATGCTGGGCAGTACACGAGCGGTTACGTGACGCCGGTGCTTTTGCGAAAGGACGTGGTGGAGCTGGGTCAGGTCATGGGGTCTCCGGACGTGACGTGCATGAGTGCATGCGCTGGACTTGGGGCGGTGGGTACGCAGCAGGGGAAGGTCCTGGCTTGGGACTGCAATCAGGGCGCACTTCTGGCCGGCTGGCAAATGCCGGAGCCAGTTTTGGCAGTAGCGGTGGGCAGCAGGATGATCTTTGCGGCAGCGGGTGAGAGGGTAATAGTGGGGAGCATTGAAACAGTCTGAGCGAGGATGCCATGGATTTGAGGCGTTGGTACTGGATACGAGTATGGCATTTCGGTTATCGATTACACACTCACATTTATATCATTTACTGCTGATTATTGATGTCCCACAGAGGACGTGACGGTCGCTGAAATGACAACTCTTCAGCTTGGGGGTCGCTTAAACGGATGTTGTCGAAATGTTTGTCCTGGGCGAGCTGTCGCCCGTGCTGTTGGCAGGCTATCAGCTACCGCGGCGCCTGTCTTGGACATGCCTTCTATAACAGATAGGGAACGAGCTAAGCAGGCCCTCTTAGACCTTGTAAAGTTCACAAATCGCGGTCTTGGTGTCCTGACTTTTCAGCGAGGGCTTATCGAGGAGGCTCAGGTATAATCATGAAATGCATCTAGTTATCCTTGGATCCTCAGGCGCTGCGAAGACTTTGTGTCAGCGAAGCAAGTTTAACCGCAGGTGCGGGTAGAAAGCTTCCAAGGCCCAGAGCTAGAGTACTCGAAACTTCCCGGCAAATGGAAGCTGATTTATACAACTGCTTCAGACGTGCTCCCTATCTTAGAAGCAGAATATTGGCTCAGCCCAGGCCCCTTATCGGGCTTCGGCATTCCTCGTCCGTTGGAGGTCGGCAACATCTACCAGCGATTTACCAGTCCCGATGAGGGCGTTGTTGAAAACATTATTAATTTCAAAACCCCGGTGACGTCCCTCACGTTCACCGTGGGTGCAAGGTATGTGGCCACCAGCATAGACACACGTCGGCATAGACACACAAGCAGGCGGGGGACAGGGCTCAACGTTGGGGAGTTGTTATGTGACCTATCCCTGCGTTTGCATAATGGACATGCACAACCCGACGTTGGCAGCCCCACTTTCGGCGGGGACTTGGAAGTTACCGCCGTGCTAGCTTGCCGGTGCGTTTGGACGGTATAAATGAGTTGGCTTTTGGTCAGGAACATCCATTTTTTCCGGCGTGTGGCCTCCTAAAGAAAGTGCGTGCCTGTGCACGATGGTGGCCTCTCCAGCACCGGACAGGCGTGGAAATAGTTCCGGTTGGGGTTTAGTTACTCCCTGCGATGCAACTGCACACATGATAAGTATGCTTGTCACCCCGCTCCACCGCCACGTATGTAACAGATACGATGTCCGCAGCGGCAAGCGCATTGCGCTCGTGTTTGAGAACGCCCGGCTTGGTGAGCTGAAGATCAGTGAGGCGGCGGAAGCGCTAATTGCTCCGGCACTGCTGCCCAGGGGCTCACTGCAACACATGATCCTGCTGGCCCTGAACGAGTTCCAGCTCAAGTTCCAGTTCCGCACTGCCGCCCAGCTGGCCAGCCAGGCCGTCACGCAGCGGGACAACATCGCTGCCGGATACCTGTTGTCGTACCTGGACGAGGACATGCTGATTGGCAGGGCCATCGGACTGGGTGGAACATTTGTATTTGTACGCGAGGTGTAGGGGGTGCCAAACATGGCCCTACTAGTGCATTTCAGTGTTTTATTATTCGGTACTGTTCTTAGAAATTTAACCGGCTAGGGAGGCAAGCACATAGCGATGGGTATGGATAGTTTTCTTGGCTGTGTGCGCTTGGTTGGTGTCGTTCGGGAGTGGAGACTGGAAATTGAGAGCCATGGTGGATATTCGTTCGCGTTCCTTAATCACATGATTGGAGGAATATTAATCACTAACGGTCGTGTTCGATTTTCTCGATGTTGGTTGTACCATGCAGCGCCTCAGGTCGACGCCACCTGGGGCGATCGTGCCTTTGTAACGTTGGTAACGTCACCCTCGCGTGGTTTGAGGGAAGCCAGATAGCCCACCACTTATCATGTAGGTGCTGCGCAGCTTTTGTACCTGCGTGCTTAAAAGGTGGCACGTGGAGGAAATGTTCCAGGCAATGGATAAAGTACATTGTAACGACGGCTGGCTTTGAAGCTATGTAACCCTGGGAGCTCAAAGCTTAAGAAATGGATCCGAACCAAGGAAGGACGCGCTTGGATGCAGGACGGCGTCATAATCCGCACAACCGAACTCGATGCTGCCACTACGGTTTCGATCCGCCCAGTACGACACGCCATGCTTATTGCCTGCGAGCGCTTTGGTTCGAGCTCAACGTTCTTTATATCCACGAAGCATTAAAGGACAAACCAGGATTGCAGAGAGAAGATGCTAGTTTTCGTGCCGTTGTTGCTCCTCACTCTTGCAGCCAACGCGCGAGTGGACCAACCAACTTGTGATGAGTTAGGGTACGTATCAGATCAACTAGATCATGGCATTTCAGTGAACAAACAAATCCTTAGCTGTCAATCTGGCTCACACATATTGCATCCGTTCCGGCTTCGAAAATCGGTACAGGTTTACTGGAGAGCAGATATGCAGCGACTGTGATGTACTCGCGCAATACGTGAAGGACGAGGAGCTCGTAGCAGACTGCAAAGCCTGCTGCGCCAAGGATGCGGTGACCGTCAAGTACACAAAAGCGGAACTGCTTGTAGATCAATGGCGCCTAGGGTGAGTAGCTCCCCTAACGACCTTGGGAGGTGGAAGAGGAACGATAACAGGGCAGTACATGTGTGTATGGATCACACATTTGCACCGGAAAACTCCCCGCCGGTGGCGTTCTTGTCCCGGCTCCCTGTAGCCTAACCACTACCTAATCCGTTCTCACGGAGATCCAATCGATGTTGCGTGCAGCTCTCTGCAGCAAATCAAGGACTTCATCGACAAGCGCTCGAGCGCATATTTGCCTCATCTTAAAGTGAGCTACACCAGTAATGGGGCTGCCCCGCGGCTGCGCATGAACGGACCATCCGGCACAGAAACCATCCGCATTGACAATTGGCGCGCCTCCAATATCGCGGAGTTCCTGGATGAGCGATTGGAACGCGGCGGAACGGCCAAGACCGCGGTCGCATGATCTACCGCTGCAAGCGCGCGAGAAAGGGACACGGCGGACAAAGCACTGCGGAGTTCCCTCAACTGTTTCGGGGATGCATGGGATTCGTTTACCGCTGGCTTTCCCAGTCGACGTTGCGCATCGATATTGCATGGCAAATTCAAAGAACGACCGCCAGGCATGGCTGTAACGCGGAACGATTGTGAGCGCGGTTTCTATGTGGGGGGGGTTCGCGAAGCTGTATGCAAGGGGCGTCTCTCACTAATTGCCAGGCTGGTTGCTACAGGGGTGGTACATGTTCAATCGTTGCATACGGCATCATTAGCAATTGCTGGTAGCCATCATCTGACGCATTCACTTTTCTTCCTGGCGTCTGGCGCCCTGACCAATTTACATCATGTAAGCTTCATAGCCGCTGTCTGCCCGCTTCCTGGCTTCCCTCTGTCGCCTGTCAGATGCCGTACGTCAGCGCACAGACGTTAACTCCCCACGGGACGCAACGCACCAACCATGGATTACACGCTACTACCCCAGGCTAGTTTGGCAGTCCACACGCTGCGACCGTTCGCAAGGCTTCGGCATGTCAAACCCCAGGCGACTCTCAAAAGGAATGCTCCACCAGGCCCGGCTCCATATGTTTTGCATGGTATCCTGGTCTCAATTTGTAGAATTGTTCGTTCTATCCCTGAGGAAGCCGCAGTTGCAATAACCGCCACCAACAAATTCCCATTCGAAATGCAGCATACTCGCTTCAAGGCGGCCGCATCGCAAAGGAGCCTGAAACTTGGACATTGGGCTCCCCTCCGGGCACCGTGGGTCCTCTGTTTAAAAGCCTGCGATGCCAACAGACATCCTGTCGCGTCGCTTCCACCATGACCATGTACGTCTGACGCAGCGACATGTGCTACTTAATACACGTATTCATCTAGTTATCGTGCCGAGCTCCTGCCACAACTAATTGCCTCACGCTAGCTCGACGTGCTGCGGTGGAATGTTCCCCGCCTCAGCCCCGCTGCCAGCGCCCGCTATGGGTGCCGCAGCAGTGCCTGGCGCTGCCGCCGCTCCCTGCTGCAGCAGCTCCGCAAGGAGCTCCTCGTTGCCCTGCAGCGCCGCCGTTGCCTCTGCTTTGACTCTCGCAATGCGGTCCCGCAGCATGGGGTTGTCCAGCCTGACCATCCGGTTGGACAGCACCGCAGTCTGAACTCGCAGGTCTAAGGCCTGGTCGCGCATTACCTGAGCCTCCAAAATCATCTGGAACGTAGGGAAAAGGCAGCGAATGATGCCGACGGTGTTGCCAGTGGAAGAATGAGTAAATGGGTCCAAGGGATAACTGACTTCCTTAACAGGTGGTGCCGGAGTTTTAGCAGTTATGCCGGAGTGCGCCTCCAAGATGATTGAACGACGTTGCATCGGAAGCCGCGGACTCACCGGTGCTGCCCGCATGTACACACTGCGGGCCAGGAGAGGCCCCAACAGGTACTGTAGCTGCGACAACATCCCATACCGGGGCCCGGAAAGCATCAAGGAACCCAAATTGTCATCTTGGATTCCCACGTGGCCCCAAAAGCATAGGTCGCTCGTCCAGCTGTAAAGGCTATGCATGCAGCTGAAATGACCAAATGTGTTCTGTATTTGGAAATGCAAATTATAAATTAAAGCCTCTATCAATGCTGCGCCATCAAGGACAAGTCGCAATGAAGGCATACACCGTGTCTCATTCCGCACGACCCCATGCGATTATGCAGCTTCCTGCTTACCATCTCAAGCGCCTTAATCGGGTCTGCCAGGACAGCTGCAAGGCTGACGCGAGCAGTTGCGTCCCCCCTCAGAGCGGAAGCGGCGGGCGCGGCCGGTCCGGGCAGCGTTAACGGAGGCGGAAGCGACAGGGATATGTCAGGGCCGGAGACGGAGGCTTGCCAGGCCGGGCGTGTGTCCGGAGCTGGCCCTGGAGCTGCTCCCATAGCTGCACCGCCAGTTCCCAGCGGCAGGCCCTGCACCGCCGCCACCGTTGGTGGAGGCGCAGAGGCAGGGACGGCTCCCGGTGCAGCTGCCATGATAGCAGCCGTCACGTTAGGCGCAGTGGGACTCAGTGGAGAAAGCGGCATTGTGTGCACCGGCGTGGGCGCGCCACCGATCGCAGCCGCCGGCGTTGTCAACAACGGAGTGGTAGGCCCCGCGCCGGTGGGTGCCGTTGTGCGGAGGGCGTGGGGGGACACTACGCTGGTAGCGGTGCTGCCCACTACCTGTGTAACAGATTTGCCCGTTCCAGTGCCATCCGCTAGTGTGGCAGGAGCAGCTTCGGCTGCTGCCGCCGGGCTGGCGGAGGGCCGGAGCCCCAGGACCAGTGCTGGGCGGGCCGAGGGCGGCTGCAGCACCTTGGCTGGAGCAGCAGCTGTCGAAGCAGCTGTCGAAGCCACTGGTAGACGACTGGGAACAGCGGCCGCGCCGGCTGGCTCATGTAACTGGGGCTGAGCCGGTCGTTGCGGATTCTGCCGCGGCGGCGGTGGCAGCGGCAGCAGTGACGGCTGTTGTTGCTGCAGTGAGGCGCCTGTCGCAGCTTGCGGCACCGGCGCCGGCGCTGGGGGTTGAGCAATTTCGGGGTGTGGCCGTTGGGCCGATACTGCTGGCGCGATCGGTGCCGGCTGCCTGGGTGCTGAAAGGTTTAAGGCCGGCCGGCTGGCTGATAGCAGGCCTGAACCTGTGGATTGCTGCTGCTGCGGGGTGGCCAGGAGCCCGCACGATCGTGGGCCGGTGTTGGGACCCGATGCGGAGCTGAGACTCTGCTGCTGCGGCTGCGGCATCAAGCGCGGGTTTTGCGTCGGCTGCGGCTGTTGCTGCACCTGGTGCGGCGGTTGTTGTAACAATTGCAGTGTCTGCGGCGCGTTAAGTGGAAGTTGCGCAACAGCGGCCGGTGCGCGCGGGGCTCCGATAAGGCCGGGGCCCGCCAGTCGACGCTGGCTCAGGGCAGACGATTGCAGGGGCCAGAGCGGGTTGGCTGCCGGAGATGCTCCGGCAATATTGGCACCGGCTCCGACTGCGCCGCCGGTGCTGTTTTGCATCGGGTGAGCTTGGGCCGGGAGCGCAGACGGCACGGAAAGGGGCTGCGGACTTGCAACGCGGCCGCCAAATCCCAAGCCGGCTTGTTGAGGACGCGACGGCAAAGATATAAGTGGAGCGGGAGGAGCCTGTGTCGGCGGGGCTTGCGCCAGCTGAAGGTTGGGCTGCTGCTGCGATGGTGGCAGCTGCGGCTGTGGTTGTAGCGGCTGCGGCTGGGGCGGTGGCGGCCTCGCCGTCAGTGCAGGCCGTTGCTGCAATGGCCACCTTGTGGACGGCTGCTGCGACGGTGCCGGTGGCGGCGGCTGCGCCTCCGCAGCAGCGGGTGCGCTCCCGCCTGCCGGGATTACAGGCGCGCGTGCTGTCACTTCTGCCGGAGCGTGTTCCAGCTGCGCGTCTGCGCCGGTGGGGGCACACTCGTTGTTGACCGCGGTGATAGGAGCAGCCGCGGCCACCGGCTCGGGCGGGACGTCCGCGGCAAGGATCCGTAGCTCGATCGGCAGGGGAAGGGTTGTCCGTGGGGTAGCTGCTGGAGCTGCCGATTCCTGCGCCATTTCCTACCATTTGGCATCGATATGGGTCACGGTTGGCACGGCGGCAGATACCAAAACAAATTTCGAGTTATCCATCCCCGTATACCACGCCACAAGCACTTTTAACTACCTGTTTATGTTGTTATTTAGGGTTGACAAGTTTAATGCCTAGCGACCAACATTGCGCTACCCTGCCGCAGCGGCGGCACTCAAGAGCCCCCCGCCTCCAGCATTCCGACCCGATCGCCTCTTACGTCGCCTAATCCCGCATATCGTCGGTCGACATCCTGCCCAAAGAACCCGGCTATGTTACTTCTGGCTTGGCAGTTGCTCATCCCATAACTTCCTCACCAGCAAAGCGTTGGAATTGCCATCCTCGGCCGCACCGGCAAGTAGCGTCCGCCCCTGGACTACGGCTTGGTCGCTCCTGCAGCGGAAAAGGGAGGAGGCAAGAATCATTTGTTGGAGCGCATTTTTGGGGGAAAAAATCTTCGCCTGCCCGCCGCCGTTTTATATGCAAGCCTCAGTATTTCGTGTGACGATCGGTGCCGCTAGACAGCACGCTTGCATTTCCCTCTGCGTTCCGCTGCGGCATTTGCTACGGTACGGTATTTGCAAACGAGGGCCAGCACAGCCGTTTAAGGTAGCCTGCTGCGGAGGATAGGACGTAAGGACAAATATGTAACTGGATCACAAAACCAAGTGCAAGGAGGATGCAATCCCCTTTGGCATTCCTCCCGCGCGTATTCTGTCATCTGCCTGCTGGTGTTTCACCAAGCTGAGCGCACCGCATGACAAGGCCACCGCCATATTAACGGGGTGCCGAACGCGTTCCATCATGCCCTCAAACTCAGAAAATTCGGCCAGCAAGATACCGCATCACGAACCCTACCTTGCTGCTTGCTCCACCTCTATGGATCTCGTGGTGACCTCGGTAGTAAGAGGGATGTCCGCAGCTTGTTGTCCAATGTCAATCCTCGGGCTGACCTCTGCATTCCCAATTATTGCTGGCCCCATCCCGCCATCCCCCCGTTGCTCCCCCCGGCAGCCGGCATCGGCGAGGTCCGCATCGCCCGTACTGCCGCCCTCACCCGACGCCACGGCAGCGCCCATCACATCCGCTGGGGCTACAGCAGCCGCAGTCGCTTCCGCTCCGCTCCCCATCATCTCCATCGTGACATGCTCCGCGGGCTGGGGTTCAGCCTGCGCAATGCTTCCGCTGTGCTGCGGGGGCTGCTCCTGCACATGCATCTGCTGTTGTGGTGAACGTCTGACTGCTTGTGTTGCTGTTTCGGGCTGTGGAACTGGGTCGAGCTCCGGAGCTGGGTCGTGTTGCGGAAGTGCGTGTGCCTGTGGAACTGGATCTGGTTGTCGAAGTTGATTGGGCTGCAGAGTTAGCTGTGGTTGCTGGTGTGTTACCTCCAACTGCTGCTGCTGTGGCTGCTGCTGCTGCGCTGGCTGCTGCTGTTGTGGCTGCTGCTGCGCTGGCTGCGCTGGCTGCGCTGGCTGCGCTGGCTGCTGCTGCGGCTGCGGTGGTGGCGGCGGTGGTGGTAGCTGATGCTGCAACTGCTGCTCGGGGCCGCCTCCGACAGCTGCGGTCTCCTCGGGCAACACTGCGTCCCCATCCGCCATCAAGATATCGAAATCGTCGCCTTTTGATGGGGACAGGGACGGGCAAGGGACATGGTGCATGTGGGTCATGTTCGGGTCGACGGCCGGCGCCATGAGGCGTCCGCGGGCTGGGTTGTGATGACAGTTGGGTCCTGACGGGACAGCGCGGACCTGGTGTTTCTGACAATATTTGCTCTGGCCACGGCTGGTATGGGCCAGGGATGCTCTTCCGCATCCATAGCTAACATAAGAAGTACCGTGGACCGCTGGACCACATCAACCCCTGCTGCCGGCCCACCGCACACACGCTTGTGTTACCCAACAAAGGCCATCCAATCGGAATCCGTTTTATGGAGGTATTTAGCTTTCGGGCAACCGCTGGGCCATCGCCACGCCATGACCGAAATCACGACTGACGCCTGTTGTATAAATGGACATAACTTACTTACCGCCTAGGTTAAGATCGTCATCCGCGCCGTCAACATTAGGGGCTGGCGCGGCCTTGCTAGCCACAACAGGTGCCGCAGCAGCAGCCGTCGACGGCTTCGGCGCAGATGGCGCATCCAAGTCGTCATCTACATTAAAATCCTTGAAGAAATCATCGTCGTCGTCGTCATCGTCTAGCAGCGACTTGCTTAAGAGTTTGGAAGCCTGAGGGGCCGCGGACCTGCAGGCAGCAGCAACGGAGTGTCGGATAGTTGAGCCAGCATTAACCCCTGTAGATTAGCTCAAGGCCACGCAAAGCCTTGCTCTTGGTGCTGCCAAACACTTTGCCATAGGTCCGGACGGACCGTTTATGCCGCCTCGACTTACTTAGGCTTACTTGGCGCCGCGCTTCCGCTACCACCACCCTTGCTGGGCTTAGAGAAGAAATCCCCATCATCTGTCCGTTACACGGAGAACCAAACGAGTCGAAAAAAGGTTTGGTCAACAAAAAGGTTTTCCGCTTGCTCAGCCTTACCCGCATCATCAAAAAATCCCATCGTGATAGTGGCCCTGAGTACCAATTTCCGCCGTCGCTGGTAGGATGTCGTGTTGTCTATTTTGTGGATGTTCAGTAAGCCTCGTGGAGCTTTTGCTGGATCCAATGTTTGGCTTGGCGCGAAACGGTAACATCCCCCGCATGACCCATGGGCGCTAACAATATGCACAGTCTCTTGGCCACATGCCAATACATCAGGTAACTGAAACAGTAGCATAAGAACGTATCCTACGTCAGGGTGATTACGCGGCACATGCGTCGATTGGAGTTTGCCCCGACAACCCCTGCCATGCGCGGCCCGAGCTCTGCTTTCGGTTTCCTTACGGAAAACCCAGGGCTGTGATTCTGGAAATTGCTGCAGGATTGGGAGACTGGACAAAGTGTTATCTTCTCGTCACGGCAGGGCAGGCGGACGCCCTTCCGGGCCGAGGGCACTCGGTAAGAAAGCAACAAAAGTATCGGACGCTGTGTTGCCCTCTAAACGTCAGTAGTGATGTCCCTGCTGACAATCCTAACCTTTTCCTGTGGTGATCCTTTCGCAGAAGGCGGTGCCGAGCCGCGGTGCTGCGAGGTCGCGGTGGTGCTGCGCTGCTGCTCGAAATGTTGCCGCAGGTCGCCGGTAACAATCATCCATCCTCTTTGGAAGCACCTCAGCAGTACATCGCACATCATTTTTCGACGCATCACTTCCAGCAGGTTCAGGCTAGCAACTTCTATGCCAACAGCCAGTTTGGTTGGCCGCTGCAAGTCGCTGCGCAAACGCCATACTCTCTTTCGTGTCCCGCTGAGGCTGCTGGCAGCATTGTCGCGCCAGGCTGGCAAGTGACTGCAGATCATCAGGGTTCGCCACCGTTCGGAGATTGGCACTCGGTTTGCCCCATGGCCATCGCCTCCCAGCCGTGGCAGCCGACCCCGCAACATCAACTCCAGCAGCAACTACACCACCAGCCCCCTTCTTCACATGAATCACTGCCGCACCTCCAACACCTACACCAGCATGAACAGTTGACATGCATGCCGCTCCTCAACACTGCTGGCTTCCTTGCGCATCATCCGCTCAACTCCATTGAACCCATAAGTGCCCATGGCGAGGGCGCCATCAGTACATCCCGTGAACGCCGTCGGTCTTCGCCCGGTGGGTCCCTAGCGGCCCATACGTGGCCTTTGAGAGGTATGATTAATCTGCGCAGTCCGGCTACCACCGGTGGGTCTGGCTTCCGGTGCCTCCCCTTCGGTGGGGCTCCCGGCGGTGAGCTGCCATCCGAGGACACCGCAGGCCCTACCAGCGACGCCGCCACAGCGGCTGCTACCATGAGGCCACCCTCGGCACGTCCCAGGACGCAGCATCAGGTCGAAGGCGTACTGGAATGCGGCGTCGCGACTCCGTCTCAGCCGCCATCTCAGGTGCAAAATCGAGGATTACACAACAGAGGCGCTGCGACCGACGCATCGCCAACGCCAGCGGCTGCCGCTGCCGCAGGTTCAAGCCCCTGTTGTGGTGCAGCTGTGCGTGTGCACGGCGCAGGTTTTGCCGAGCGGCTTGCACAGGTCCATGTCGAGCAGCAGCTGCTGCAGCATGGACAGCTGCACCAGCTGATGCAACTAAGCCACGGTGGCGCGTGTCTCGAACCAGCGCTGAATCCAGGATTGTTGCCGCCGCCTGGCCAGCAGGCACAGCCACAACCACAGCCTCAGCAACCTGTTGCACTACATGAGCAGGGCCATCAACAGTCACTTTCGTTGCCGCCCACAAACGTCCAGCTGCAGACATGCGCGGCAGCGACACAGCGGCCGCTGGCTCCGCCGTCGGCTCTGCCTCAGCAACTACAGCAGCATGCGGACGAAAGCGCTGTGCAGCGGACCCTGGGGGAGGTCTGGGCAACCGGAGCACACGCAGACACGGCTGCGGCCGCGCTAAGACAACCATTGTTGACGACGCCTGCAGCCGCGGCAACGGCGGCGGTAGCGCCGGCACTGACGTGCGTCCCCAGCTCCGTACCCCTCACTTCCGCCATCAACAGCTCAGAAAGCCCCAACGGAGCCGAGTACGTGAGCGGAGTTGCCGACGCCACCGCCATGCCGGTCATGTTAGGCGCGCAAGCTGCCACCGAGCCGTCTGTGCAGCAGCTCGCCACAACTGGCGCTGCCGATAGCCCGCCGCCGAGCTGCATGCTGGCAGGGGATGGCGCTGGCGGCGCTACCAGTCCGTTTGGAATGGACGCTTTGTACGGCATCTGCTCACCTGCAGCACTGGACTTAAACACGCCTACCAGCGGCTCGCCGTTCATCCTCAGCCCCCTGATGCGCCTCCAACGAGAGGACACCGGGGGCCTATCAGGCTGGCTGGCATCACCGCCGTCGGCGCTGGAACGCACCAACACAAAGGAAGCTGTTGGCGGTGCCGGTGCCGGTGCCTCGGGCTGCTGCCTTGCCGGGGCGCACTCGACGTTCTCCGCTGGTCGCTTCTTTGGTTCGATGAGCTCGCCTGCCAAACGGGGTGGGGATGAAGCCGGTGCAGCAACAGCCGGCGCGATGGACACGTCAGCCAGAGCCGATGCGCAGGGCGGTGAGCCGGGTTGCGCTCATCTTCCCCGTAAGAGCACCGAGGACGCGGCCACGGCAGCCGCCACCGCCGCAAACCCTGCCGATGTTGGACCAGTAGCAGCGGCGGGACCGGCGACAACCTTAACGGCTGAGCCTGGCGACCAGCAGCTAGGAGGAGGGGACATGGATGCCGACAATGCCGCGGCCGCTTTGCCCAGCTTTGGGAGCTGCTTGCTCACTGTGCATGAGGAAGAATTTGCGGGCTTGTCTAGTCCTGGTGTCGTGCATCTGCAGACCTGCAACTGGCTGGGCATGGGCCTCGGGTCACCTGCGGCGTCCTTTGGGCCGCCCCTTGGGACCTTCCTGGCGATGCCGCCGTTCCTCGGCAGTCCCCCTCCGTCGGGGAGGGTGAACCACGACGGCCCTGGCGGTGGTAGCGCCGGCGGGAATGGCAGCGGCGGCGGAAGCGGCGGTGATGGCAACAGCGGCGATGCCAATAGCGGCGGCGGGAGCGGTGGCGGTGATCGCAGCGGTGGTGGAAGCGGCGGCGATGGCAGCGCTGACGGCAGAGGTGGTGCTGATGCCGCGACTATGGCTCCTGCTGGCAAGGAAGACTCTTCAGACCCATCGGCACGTTGTCCGGATGTGTATGCGCCAGATGCAATGGTTGCCCAGGCGGATGGTGGAATCAAGGATCCGCCTGAGGAGGTTGACTTAGCGAGAGGCGGCAACGAGCTGGCAGAGAACCGACCGACTTCAGCACAGCGGCGGAACGTCAGCGAACGCCCCTGTAGGGACACGGCGCTGGCGTGCCAGGATTGCCCGCCGTCGCCGCTGCAGCAGCTGCAGCAGCAGCAGCAACAGCAGCCCGCCGGGCCTGAGGGGTTGAGCGGCGCCGCGGTGGGTTTGCATAACCGGGGCGGCCGCCGAGCCGCCGGCCAACCTGTGCCTGTCAACCCGGCGCTGGCAGGCCGGAATGCAACGGACGATACGATGCGGCCGAACCATGGACAAGCTAGTGGCACACAGCAAGAGACACCCGCGGAGGCCCCTCTGGCGCCGGAAGATCCTGGCCGGGATGGCCCGTTGGCAAACACTTCAGAAGCTGCAGCCGCCGCAACAGCAGCTGCGGCGGCAGTAGCGGTTGCGGCTGCAACACCGGCAGGCGGAAACCCCGCAAAGGACGTGCAGAAGGAGGATCTCGTACAGCGGCTTTACAGCACACCGATGCATGCGGGGAATGCCCCCGAAGCGACAGCAGTTCAACCCAAGGTGGTAGATAACCCGGCGGCTGCAATGGGGCCGGCCCCCAACGATGATCTTGCACTCGGCCGAGAGCCTGGAAGTGACTGCCGTAGCCCGCAGGAACCGGCGGTCTTGCCGTCTAAGCCTGGGCCACACGTGGAGGACAATGACGGCGCTGGTGGTGCCCGCAGCAGTGGTGTGGCTCCTGCAACTAATGCCGGTGCAGCTTCTGCAGCTAATGCAATGGAGTTACCGCAGGGGAAGGAGAACGCTGCAGGCGCGCCCGAGGCGTGCCAGGCTGCTCCCGCAACTTTTCCCGGCGCTGCGGGTATGGCTCCCATGCTGGAGGTGGTACAGACTGCGATGTCACCGCCGGCTGCAGCATTCGCGGTGTCAGGGCGTTACGGACGCAGGGCGCGAGCCCGCAAGCTGCAGCTTGAACTGGACGTAAGTGCTTGCGGGCGGAGTGATCCAGAGGCTACTGCTGCTGCGGCGGCGGCGGCGGCTACGGGCCAGGAGGGCAGCGCCGCCGTGCAGGTGCCGTCGGAGGCATCCCCGCTGAAATTGAACGGGGGAATCTCGACAGGATTGGGCATTGCTGAGCTGTCTCAGCATGCCCCGCAGCACACGAAGGTAGAAGGCGCCGGGCAGGCGTCGCGGCGGGCTCCTTTCCGTCGGGGGGTGCGCTCGGGAACTCGATCGGCGATTGCTGCCGCCCTCGGCCCTTCGGCGACGGCCGAGCCTGCCGAACGCATGATCGGCTTGGGCTCTGCCGATGCCGGCAAAGCTTCAGTTGAAGGAGCGTCCGCGTGCCTCACTCCAGCGGCAGCAGGAGCTGCAACTCCCGAAGCAGGCACGATGGGGATTCCAGAGGGCAATAGACACAGCGTTGCTGCAGCCGCACCTTTTGCGGATGCTGCCTCTGCGGCAGGCACTGCAGCCGCCGTTCCAGCAAGTGGGCCAGCTGGCAGCGCACCTGCGGACCCCTCCTCATCTGCTGCTGTTGTCCCCGGAAGGATGGGGAACCAGCAGTCATCTGAGGCGGCTGACGTGGCCACACGTCGGCGGTCATCCAAGAGGCTCTGCTTGCGCAGGCTGAAGGCTAACCATATTTGCGAAAGGCCGGAGGCGGAGCAGGCGGGCACGGCAGCCGAAATTCTGCCTGATTCTACCCGTACTAATAGCAATCAAGCGCAGGATCAGGCGCGACAGGAGCCGGTCCGGCCATTGCCGACGCCGGACGTGTCAGCCGAGCCCCTGCGGCTTGCCCCGCTGGAAGGGCCCCCGCCTCCACAATCGCCAGGTGCGCTTCCGGATTCGGAGCTGCTGCCAACTATGGCCGGCGATCCCATTGGGAATCCGACTGCGGATCCCGCTGCTGGTCCGCTCCCTGAGGCGCATGGGAATATCGGCACCGCGGCAGGCTCGGCGACGACAGTGAAGCCTGATGTAGAAGTACCGGGAGGCAAGGCACCACCGGTTGCCAAAGCACCATCCGCCGTGGCCGCGCCTCCATTGGCCTGTAAGGGAGGCCCGCCTAGCAAATCGGAAGTCGATGCACAGCTTGTGCTGCCTCCTGTTACCCGCAGCCAACACGCGGGCGGCGGCCCCACGCGTCCCATTCGTGGCGCCCGCGCCGCGGCGTCCCCGACTGAGACGGAGATCGAGGCCGGACAGGACGGTATAAAGCCGGCCTTGCCGGCGCTCCGCAAGCGTCGCCGCCTTCGCGGATGTGGCCCAGTGGATCCGCCAAGCAGGTCTGCGCCTGTGTGTGAGGATCCAGCGCTGCTGAGAACTCGGAAACAGGTTGGGTCGCAGGTGCAGCCGCAGGTGCAGCCGCAGGTGCAGCCGCAGGTGCAGCCGCAACCTGGCTCACAGCAGCTGTCCTCCCAGCCACAGCAATCTCAACCAAAGGACCAGAGGCAGCACCAGCCTCAAGTCCAGCCACGCTTTCCGCAGAAGAAGCGTCCAAATGAATGGGACCTGGAGCTGGAGCTCAGCAGGGAGGCCGCTGAGAGCCGCCGAGCGCCAACCAAGGCCTCGGGTCCCCATCCAAAGGCCACTGAAGCTCCGGCCTCTACCGGTGCAGCGCGGCCCCCACGGCCTCTCCCCCGGACTCCGCAAGAAATGCGTCCCGCGCCGAGGCCCAAGCCCGCGCAGCAGAAGCCTCTTGACGGTGATGACATCTGTGGTGAAGTTAAGGAACCAACGGCCAGAGGGCGTGGCCGTGACCGTCGGTGCCTGGCCACCGTCGTCGGTGGCCAAGCTTCTACAACAGTAAATGGCACTGGTGAGGAGAAGCCTGTCGATGACGCAGGCAACACCAGGATGATGGGTGAAACCAGTTCACAACTGCCGCTGCAGCAGCAAGTGGCGCCGGCGACTGCTGCGGAAGGCGTGCCTGGGACTGAAGGCACGCGGCCCTTAGGGGCGACGATACAGAGTGAAGAAGCCCTTCGGGCTCAGTTGCCGCGTGCGCAGCGCGAACCACTTCTAGGCCTTGATGCAGCAGCATTGGCCCCAACGAGCGACGCGCTCACGGCATCTCACGACCCTGACAGAGACAGAGAGGCTGAAGCGCCTCGCTGTCAGGCTGATCCTGCTAAAGCCGCCTACCGCCCAAGCTCCTTTACCGCTTCCGGCGACGTGGGCGTCGTCGCCAGTGACCATGTAGAGGAGAGCAATCGTGACTGTGGTCCGCCAGCAGGCGGTGCGATGCTCTCTGACGCTGCTCTGACGCTGGCGGCGGCAGATCCGCGAGTTCCCGGAGCTGGATCCAATAGAGCGATCGTTGGTGGGGACGTGCCGACAGAGGAATTGGGCAGGGTAAAAACTGCTAATCGCGGCAGACGGCGCAGACCGCCCCCGCCTGTTACACCGCCCTCGCCTGTTACAAAGAACACTACTGCTGCCGGTTGCGGTGTACATGGTGACGAACTGCTGGACGATGACCCACGGACCAGCTGCATACCACCAGAACCAAGCGACAGCCGCGCCGCGGGTGGCTTTGGCGCAGACGGGTTGCCCGTCCCCTCACATGCAGCTGCCCTCCCTGCTGCGGCGGCCCTCACGGCCGTAAAGGGCCGCGGCGGTGCAAGTGGCAGCAGTAGGAGCGGCGGCGCCCGCGCCCCGCACCCCACTGGGCTCTCCCAGCAGCCTGGCGACAAGGCAGGCTGTGCGAGGCGAAGGCAAGCAGGTACATCGGACCAAGTGGCTGCGGCCGCGGAGAGCGAGGATCGCCCTAAGCGGCGCAGGACGTGCCATGGCGCGAGCAACCCGGCACCCATCACACGCAGGGCGGCTGCTGCGGCTGCAGCTGCCGTGGACGCTGCAGCAGCAATAGCACCAGGATTGGGATTGCATGGTACCGCAGCTGCAGCTGCAGCTGGTCAATGCTTCGACAGGCTGGAAATCGCTGATGACACCTGTGGGGACGCTCCGTTACGCAGGAGACCTGCAGATGCGGTCGCTTTGGCCGGTCCGAGCCGCACACTGGTGCCAGCGCCCGACAAGGAGCCCACAGGCCTTGAAGCCCAGGGCGTAGCTTCACCCGCCAATCCAAGACAGACGGATGACGCCGGTAATGGCGAACTGCCTGCTGGCGCGCGTGCGATGGCGGACGCCGCCGCCGCGCTGCGGCTACTCAGCAAGAAGCGCGGTCCACGGGGCAAGCCTGTCGCGGCCGACGTACACTTGGCGCAGTATAACGAGGAAGGAACGCAGGCAAGCGCGCGGCCTCAGAGGCGATGCGTGGGGCGAGTACGGGACGTAGGAGGGACGTGCGGATGGTGTTTGTAGAATGTAACGGCGATAGTGGTAGCACGGGTGCCGCATCCGCCCCGGCAGAGTGATGGCAATTACTGGAGCGTACTCGCCCTGTAGCAGTTGGGGTTTGGAGCCGATTACAGCGAACTGGGCTTTGGAATGTTGTCTGTCCCTTGGTTGGAGTACTGTTGCTGAGTGATAGATGCTCCAGTCGTAGCTCCACACACACTACAGTGATTGCAGTTCCATGCATATTTTGCTTTCCTGTGCCCTCCTGCCCATCCTCGAATCTAACGGCCTGTTTATGCCCTGTGGGCGCTCAGCCAGGGGATGCGACCTAGGGCTCCCCAGGAAAGCCCAACCGAGGCGCATAGTATCCGCATGGGCTCCTGCCTAGAAATATAACATCGGCGGCGCCGTACTTACCTGCCGTCCACCGCCCGGATGCCTAGGCCGACACGCGGTCTGACTCACCTTCGCTCACGGACTCCGACGCGGAGCCGCCGCGGAGACGTGGCCTGCGGTCCAGGGTGGCCGCTACTCCTGCGGCTCATGACAGAGGCCGAGGGCAGGGACGTGGCAGAGGGCGTGGTCGAGGGCTTGGAAGGGTCGACGGAAGTCAGCGGCCACCCAGGGCGTCAACCCGTGGCCGTGCGCAGGTAAAGGCCGGCACAGTTGCCGAGGAAACGGGCGCGCAGAACGTGGCAGAGCAGCGCGACACCCCTCCCGAGGCAGCCGCCATGGACGAGAACCTCGCGGAATCCGGCGGGCAGGAAGTCGCGACAGGGAGCAGAGCGGCCGCGGCCGTAGCGGCAGCTGCTGCCGCTGCAGCTGCGGCGGTGGCTGCTACAGGGCCCCCAGGCGAGGGTGGCTCGGCGCCGTCGCGGGGGCCAATAACGAAGAAGCGCGGGAAGCGCCAACCGGGGCAGGCGAGTCTGGCTGGGATGCAGCTGCGACCCCCTAGGAACTCCTAAGCTGGCACTTATTCCTGTTATGGCAGGGCGCAACAACTACGGCAACGCTGCGCTGCAGTGATCTGTTTTCTACATACCCAAGAGTATGGATTACATCACGTGTCTTTCCATGTCCTACGCTTTGGATGCACTGGCCAACACTCAGCAAGCTATGCAAGCCTAGGTAATGAGAGGTAATTGACAAGGTACCATGCACCTCCCCCGATGCCGTCGCCCTCGCTCTCCAAAGATCCCGAACGTGCTGGCGGCAGCTGCGAGCATCCTGCTGACCATGCAGCCCGGTGTCAAGATGTACGAGAAGATCTTCCGGCAGGAATTTGGCAACAATCCCGACACCAGCAAGGCGCTGCGCCTGTGAGTACAATTGTTATTGCCATATTGTTCTGCTTCTGTGCCGATGTGCCAGATGGGAAAAGGCTCCCATGGCAGCCGGTTGCGCCGGGGCCAGAATCCTGGGTCATCTTAAAGGCATATACGAAAACCCAACCCCCAAAAGGTGCTATCTCTTTCGCCTCCGCCATCGCGGATGTGCCACTGCCTATAATCCGGGATGCTATATAAATGTGCGTTGCTTCTGCTCACGTCACAGGCTGTGGGAGCGGGGTCATGTTGAGCGTACCGGCAACGGCTTCCGGTGTGACCCGTACGGATACACAGTTACGTCAGCCGGGCTAGAGGCGGCTGCAGAGCAACGTCAACGGGAACGCGAGGCTGAGCAAGAGCGGTTACGCCGGGAGCCCGCTAGGAACGCAGCGACTGGGGCGCTTGGCGCAGGCTTGATGGTTTGAAGTATGCCCTCCTCTGCGTGTTCGCAGCATCGCAGGCCGGTCCAGTCAGGACACAGCGCGAATCTGTTAGGCGTGGCGCGCTGGATGCGAGCGCAACGCCTTTGCTGGCGTCTAATAAGGAGAAAAGTGCACCAAAGACTATATGCGGGGATCGTGCGGAAATTAGTATACACTTGCATGCAAACGCAGGAGTAGCGTGCAAGGGCGTGCGTGCGTATGTTAGCCGCGCGCGTCTGCGCCGTGCATGTGTCCGCAAGCATTCATACTTTCAGTTGGAGCGCAGGATGGGGTAATTATAAAAAACTGGCCGCGTCTTGTTACACATATCGAACAGGGTAGGCGACTGATCAATAAAATTCACTAGACTTCGGCAATTGGATTAAGCAACCGATCTCACATAGTCCGCCCAGTTGGAAAGCTCCCGTTGGGCTGTCCCAATCCGATCTGCGTGCCAACGGCATCCTCGTCCACGACTGCCTTTTGCAACGCAGCTGAGGACTGCACGTTAAGCTGCCTACGGTACATTTCCGCTCATAATATAATGCGCGAAAAGATGGCGTGTCATGCAAGGCACACCGGCCATTCGTCAAAGCTGTCACGCATGGTGTTTGCCCCTGTAAGGCATGGTTCTGTCCATCCTCATCGGCCTATGTAGGAAAGCGAGGGACAATACCAACTGCTGCACCCATTTCCGCACTCCTCTATCGAGGGTATCCTCAAATTCCGCCAAGAACACCATCAATGCAGGACCCCGGGAACTATCATGCTGCACCGTCCCATGGGTCGTCCCAAGCCTGGCGCTCCCCTGTGCCTTCCATATTGTTGGGGAACGCTTTTGCTGTTCAGCTGCACCCACGCAATGATCCATGATCCCCCGGAGGTCACCGGATCTGCTGGTCTGCAGCCTCGGCGATGAAAGGTATCCGCGCCCATTGACCAAGGAAGCTGCTTACGACACCGTAAGCGACCCACATGGTCGTGAAGACCCAGATGAAGCTCTGAGACTGAATGTATAGTTGTGCACCCCAGCCTGACGCCGGTGGTGTCAATACCGTCTCCAGCAGCCGCGGTAGCGCCAGGAGGATGTCCAGCAGGATCGCTTGCACTGCATTGAACCGCACGAACCGGCTGAACCGCGGGTTATTAACAACCCCGATGTAGAGGCCGAAAAATGCGATGAAAGAGCCAAACGGCAAAGAATGGTACAAGGCCATAGCGGGAAGGAACGGCTGGATGGCAGCCTTGGCAGCTGGATAAATATGGAAAAGATATCTTCCATAAGAGACAGCGTCGAAATATGGCAGGATGTAAGGCAGCGCTGCGACTACACGGTCGACGATGCCGGGCGATGGACTCCAACCCCCTCCGGCTGGAGAGTACCGTGCATGTGCTATCACTGAAGGCTTACGCCTGAGCGTAGCAAGGTTAGGGAGGCATACAGCAGCGAAGGGTAGCTTTGCGGCCGTATACGCTCCGCGCTGAAGTGGGCAGCTAATCCGGGTATGCATTATGGTCAGCTTTGGTCTATGCCAGAATCCAGTAACAAGTGGCAACTTTTATTAGAAAGGGTGATGCGTTCCTTCTGCTGCTAACTAGAAATTTTGGATCCTCCGTACGCAAACCAGCGGAAGTTGAGAATTCCTACAGCATTCCATGACTCTTCCCGTTAATATTGTAGCGCGTTGGTTTACAGACTAGGTGTAACTCTTAATACTATGGCTGAGACTACTCTAAAAATTGCGGTCGTGGGGCCTTGTAGGACAGGCAAGACGCTTCTATGCAGAGCTTTAGCTGAGCAGCCTATACTGCTTGGAGAGATGGCGTATCAGCCGACGGCCGCGGTCAGGTGAGCTGCGGGCGCATGTCGAGCTTGCATGCCTACGCCTTGACGAAGATCCGCTGTTAGTTTGACTCTTAACTATCTGTTGGACGCAGAATACAAGAGATTAGCAGAGTTTTAGGTATCGACCGTGTTAAAGTGCAGTTTTGGGACTGCTCGGGCAGCGTGCAGTACCAGTCCTACTGGCCCGTGCTGGCGAAGGTGACACATGCCCGGGCTTCCAGGGCAGCCGCCGCGCTGGCATGCAGCTGGCGCGCAGCTGGCTGCAGATGGCAAGCATGAGCCCCGTATTTATGCGGCCTTATCCTGCATGCAGGAGCTGGACGGCCTGCTGCTGATCATTGACCCCGCCCGGCCGGAACAGGAGCGTGAGCTGGAAACCTTTTACCGCAACTTCGCCGAACCTAACAATCTTTACACTCGGCAGTGCATGGTGATGGCCATCCAAGTGCAGAAAGAGGGAGGAGGTCTTGGAGGCTGGCAAGGTACGCGGTAGAATGAAGCTGGGTTGTCAGGGCGGACGGCAAGGCCTGGCCGTGAAGGGCCTGGCCAAACGAATGGACGCAGTCGATTGGACATGCTGTCATGTCACATATTGACACTTGCAGGTTTGCAAGGAGGCCTGAAGAAGCTGGCGCAGTGCTACGTGGCGATCAACCCTAGCAGCCCGGCAGCGGGCGTGCAGGTAGAACGGGTAGCATATGACGAACAGTTTGAAGCTTCTGGGTACATTTACAGGCTACAAGCCGTCTATACTCCAATGTTTGGGGCAACCCGTCCGCGATTTCGGCAGCCACTGTCATGTGCAAGTGCAGAATCCATCACTGCAGTATGGTAGGAAAACTGGATGATTGCTGAGCCTCGACCTGCGCGGAGTGCTGCTAAATGCTTGACTTGTTTCTGTCACTTCCACCAGTACTTTCCTAGCATTGTGTTTAGGCTGTCGTCCCTGCGACATTTGTCCCCCCTGGCTCCGCCCTCCTATCGCCGGGAACCTTCGTGGCCTGCATAGTCGGCCCATGTGATGTGTACCGCTGGCTTTGCAGGAGGCGTATTCGCATCTGGACGTCCTATTCCAGGGGGCGCTTCAAAGCAAAAAGGAGGCTCTTGAGAGCTCGTACATGAACCAGGAGGACTCGTAGCCCAAAGGCTTGATCTTTGGCGATCATCTGTGACCATACTTTCTGTACATAGTCGCCTTGCGCGTCAGGGCTAGGACTTGGGGTCGGTATGCTCCTTTTCGTTGGCAATACAGCACGGTGGACCTGGTGGGCCGTCCTGTGGGTAGCGACAGCGTGCCGGTATGGGCGACACTCGGACGTGTGGCTCTGTTAATCGGGACGTCCGGAAAAAGAGTGCTCCCGGTGGATTCCTAATGGGAATGCAAGTACCAGGTGCATTCCCATGTCATAGAGTGCATATGTTCAGGACGTCACCAAGTTTATGCTCGCTCTTCGGGTTTGTATAATTTCCAAATTTGAGGATGTCGTTATGTAGCAAGACATAAATTTATTGGAAAGGCTTCACATGTGTAAGGCAGTCACCTGTCCGGGCATACAGTGTCAACGCTGCTTTCTTAACATGGAATCATGTGCTGCTAGACAATAAGCAAGACTGGATAATGGCAATTCTCGGACTGAAATTGGTTGCCTAGTACTGCAGGCGCCGTACCAGCCACACCACATAGTCCGCCGAGCTCTGAGTGATGTCTCTCTTTCGCTTTACGCGACGCCGTCTAAACGCAAGGTGAAAATATAAGATGTGGGCTGATATCGGAGAAGCTCTCAGGTGTCTTACGCGTTCTTTTACTTTTGCTCTCCCTCCAGAACATGGCTGATCGCGGCGGTGAGCGTGGCAGCTTTGGCCGTGGCTTTGGTGGACGTGGTGACCGCGGCCGCGGCCGCGGTGCTCGCCGCGCTCGCGGCAAGAAGGAGGATGAGGAGAAGTGGGTACCCTGCACCAAGCTTGGCCGCCTCGTGCAGCAGGTCAGCCTAAAAACAACTTTCAGCATGAACTTTTGTTGCCATGGTTTAAGGATTATGATGCTATTAGCCTGTAGGATGGCATAGAGGCGCCGCAATGATGGCGCCGCCGCACCTTCTGCAATGATTTCTTTGGTTTTCTGTTTTGCAAGCAGCAAATTAAAAAGATTTCCTTTCCAAATGATTTTCCGTTGCGCAGGGCAAGATTAAGTCCCTGGAGCAGATCTACCTGTTCTCTATGCCTGTTAAGGAGTACCAGATTGTGGAGTATTTCCTGGGCTCTGCACTGAAGGATGAGGTTATGAAGATTATGCCCGTGCAGAAGCAGACGCGTGCCGGCCAGCGCACCCGCTTCAAGGTGCGAGGCGGGGCTTGTGTATATGCACAGGAACATTACCCCTACCAGCACTTCTGGCCCCATATTAAACTCTTGACGACGCACTTGCTGTATGAACATGTTTTGCTTTGCGAATCATCAGGCTTTCGTCGTCGTCGGTGACCACAACGGCCACATCGGTCTGGGCGTCAAGTGCGCTAAGGAGGTGAGGTTGGGTGCGATCCATAGGTCTGTGATTTAGGTAGTTTGATGCGTCCAGGGCGTCAGCATTGGCGCGAAGCAGGAGCTATCCTAAAACCCTAGGTTCGCCTAGCCGCACGTCCCTTCAACCGGGCATGAGCTTGCATAAATGGTACGGCAATTGTACGAATTCATTGACCAATACCTTCGCCTTGGCGAATTGACATTAGCCTAGGCTCAGTCATGTCGATCTGTGGGTCTTATTAATTAGCGAATTGATTCAAGCAGCCTGCTGGGAGCTTAGTCTGGGGCGATCTAGTGTCAGCGTGTCCCGACTGGATGTTCGGCACCTGTACTTCATCTCGGGAGGTTGGTACGGTTTGGTCCTGGGTAAGCTATTGGTCCTTACGGTCGTGCAGGTTGCCACCGCCATCCGCGGTGCTATCATCCAGGCTAAGATGTCCGTTGTTCCAGTCCGCCGCGGTTACTGGGGCAACAAGATTGGTAAGGTGCACACAGTGCCTACCAAGGTCACGGGCAAGTGCGGCTCCGTAACTATCCGCTTGACGCCCGCGCCCCGTGGCGCCGGTATCGTGGCGGCGCGCACCCCAAAGAAGGTGTTGCAGATGGCTGGCATTGAGGACTGCTACACTTGCTCGCGTGGGTCGACCAAAACCCTGGGCAACTTCGTGCGCGCCACCTTCAACGCTCTGTCGAAGACCTATGGCTTCCTTACGCCCGATCTGTGGCGGGAGAGCAAGTACACTAAGGCCCCATTCCAGGAGTTCACGGATTTCCTGGCGAAGCCTACCCTGGGCGAGGCTAAGGCTGAAGCGTATGCTTACTAAGTGTACTTCGAGCATGTAAATCCTGCGGTCAAGCTTTCGCCATCTTCGTTCCGCACACTATCCATGGAAAAGCATGCCGCACCGCGAGCAATGTAACTTCGCTGCTGCGTTACCGGTTCTCTATGTCCCGTCTATGCCTGCCAGCCATTGCGCAGACATGCTCAAATTAGTCAGGGTATTTTATTACTCCGCATTCCTGCGATACTTCGATTGTGCCTGCCGTTTCCCACCACGAAGGAAAATGTTATGGGACTGATGGGATCGTTAAATTTCGCTGATCGGCGAAGCGCAGGAGCGGCCGTAGGATGTGCTCAACAGTGATTTAAAGTTGTTGGTATTTGAACACCGAATGGAGGGGGATGCATGTGAATCGCAGAACAGTACCCACAACGCTCTCATACGACCCTGAAGCTTGCGTGTATGATCGGACCGTTACCATGCGAATTGTATTGCCATTCCTGCACAGCCAGGCACGGCAGTCGGGCCCCAGGCGAACGCTTGTCTCAGCACCGGACCCACTTCCCTTGTGTTAGAAGGCGATGGATAGCTTGAAGAGAGTACCATATGAGATTTCTGATAACCCCTCGATAACTCGTGGCAGTGTCATCTAGACTTGCAAACATAATCATAAGGGGGCTGTGGGAATAACGAAAACTGTCGTGGTGAGCGCATGCTGTCGTACATCGCTGCTCATTACCAAGACTGTCAGTCGATAACTACAGAGCTGTCGTCTTGCAGGCATATGAACCTGAAGATCAGCTATTTCTTTTCGATATAAGAACAAGGACACAACGAGCACACAAGGCGACACATATCCGCATGACCCGGACACATGCTCCAAGGGTGCTGACACGGTCATACACAATTTGCTGCTGGGAGAGACTATTCTTTACTGGTTGCTGCAGAGCAACTTCACAAATCACGTGGGCGGAGCCGCTGCATGGCTCGTACCTAAGCTGATAGATATGACGTCTGTGGCCCTTGAGTTATGAATGACACGCACGGCTGAGCGCTATCGACTAGGAATGGCACTCGAAGCGCCAATCGACTCTCCACTACAGCCAGGCGTCCTTGCCGCATCGCAGAGCGCAGGATCAAGCCATGCAGAGACAACAGAGCTGTGGACACAGGGAAACGCGGCGGTCCACATGCTGCTGCGGCGGCTGCCGTATTGTCAACGCCCGCGTATGCATCTGACGTCGTGACGGCTTCCGTGCGTCAGGACAACCGCACGTCGTTGGCACTATGCTAGCGTTTATGCGAGCACGCCCAGGCCGCTTCGCGCTCGACTCGGCAGTGCAGCTTCTTTACAATTGTCAGGGTGTTCGACACCGCCGAATCCGACATACGGGTGCGCGCTGCGCGCAGTGCTGGTTGCAAAGGGCATTAGAGCGCCTTCGATACCTAGACGAGTATCATCGTTTCGACGGATGCCACTGGCCACTGGCGGTAGCTCCTTAAGTACGGCTGCGTCGAACCCAGAGGCGCCTAAAACCACTACAGGCTTATGTAAGTCGTGCAGCGAAGTGCCATGCAGGTGCTCGCAGGCGCCATCATACTCAAGTGCCTTCGCTGCTGCCTGAACCCCGGGACACAGATGGGGACACGTCCGCGACAAAAGATCCAGCATAGTGACCAAAAAGATAGCTACGAATTGGATGAGGCTTAGCTTAATCCAATAAGCGAACGTGAATTAAGCTGACAGGTGCCAAAGGCATAAACTCACACTTATAGTAACACACTAATGCACACGAGGCAATCTTCTTTTATAGGACAAAGATATAACAGCTTATAGTGTGCGCCTTTGAAAGGTAATGCCTTGGCAAGCCTGTACGGTCCGTACCTTGCTCCAGGGCACAGGGAAGCAAAAGTCTCTCAGGCTTCCTCAGAATTCCCCTTTCACACAGGCGGCAGCCTACATACCCAAACCGTGGCAGGTCCCTCATGGTGTCTTGCTGAGGAGGGCCCCAGCCTATCACCCTATCAAAAAAAACCGGGCAACCGGCAAAAAAAACAGTAAAAGCCTCTCGTGGGCACAAAAGAATATATTCTAGCCTTCTTTCCAACCACCCAACTTTTCATCTCCGACGCCGCCGACCGGCCGCGCGTCTCTCAGTAAAGAATGGCGACCACCGAAGCCGCCGCTCCGGCCGCACAGACGACCGCTACTCCTCTGACAAATTCGTCGCTCTACGTGGGTGACCTGGAGAAGGATGTCACTGAGGCCCAGCTGTTCGAATTGTTCTCTTCGGTAAGCTGATAAGCACGGCGGCGGACATCAAGTAGCGCTGGGTCCTTACTTGGCTGCGGCGCTCAACATCCTCAGGTTGGCCCCGTCGCCTCCATCCGTGTGTGCCGTGATGCCGTGACGCGCCGCTCGCTGGGCTATGCCTACGTCAACTATAACAGCGCTCTGGACCCCCAGGCCGGTAGGCAACCTTGGAGCTGGGCCAGGGTTTCAGGAAATACAGTATGTGAATTTTAAAATATATTATCAGTTAATTTTGGAAGAGCGTGGAAATGGCTTGAACGTCAACGAAGCTGTATGCGCTCATGGGCCAGCTGATGTCTTTTAGCTGGTGATCCTGATGCCTGAAATGGATTTGACTATTGCGTGCAGCGGAGCGGGCCATGGAGACGCTGAACTATCACGTATTAAATGGCAAGCCCATGCGCATTATGTGGTCGCACCGCGACCCCTCGGCCCGCAAGTCCGGTGTGGGCAACATCTTTATCAAGGTGAGGCGAGGGAAGGGGAAAGGCGGTTCCAACTAGTGAAGAGGGTGCTGCGATTTGGAGACCAAAGGGGGGGCTAGGAGGGGTGATGTGCAGCTTTAATGAAACTCGCAAGCATGACGGCATGCAGTATGAGCACCTGCATATGCTTGTTGGGCTTTAAACATCTTGGTTTTAGGCAATTTAAGCCTTGCGCTCAGGAGAACAAGCAGCGGTAAGATCCAGCAGCCTGGCTGGAGCGGATTTTCTGGCGAAAGCAGCGATTCGTCAGTTGCATTTGGTCTCCATGGTGTTGCAGTGTTATGGTCTTACAGCAGCATGCTATCAGAAATATGGCGTCCCCTGGTATCGGCTACCAACGTAGGATCCTGGTTCCAGCCGACTACAAATGTTGTCCTGGGGGCTGCAGTGACCCCAAACGACTCAGCAGTGGAATAGGGGACCGTCTGATTGTCAGCGCGCAGAGGACCGTGATACACGTTCGGTAATGGTTTCCGTGGTCGAGGTTCGGTGCCCCGGTCCCTGTGGCAAAGTTATGTTCCATCAGGGAACGAGAAGTTGATAATGTGGATGTGTGTTACATGGTTGATAATGTGGATGTGAACGCAACAAGTTGCCCTTCATGGATTCGGGTCTCTTAAATGTTGGGTGGATGCAAGATCCCCACGTGGATTGGTATTTCACGCTCTTGCATCCCCGTGCTGGGAAATATCCCCGGGAATGGACGCAGAAGGTGGACTGATTGGGTGTATCTCCTTCCTGTATGGGTAACATGTATAAAATATCATCATCTGCCACGGAACTAGATATCTCTTCTTGGCATGAAGGAGGAAGGGGCGGGCGCGGGTCTGGCAACTCGTGAAACTTTAGAGTTCGGCTGCCGGTGTTGTAGATGTTCCCTTCAAGGATTTTGTCAAACGGTCTGCATTATTGCATGTCCAGGTATGTTCCTAGTTTGGTCGGTAAATCTGATCCCCCGCTCCATATGTATTCCCTCGCACGTTGCCCTGCCCAGAACCTGGACAAGTCAATCGATGCTAAAGCGCTGCATGACACTTTCTCCGCGTTCGGCAAGATCCTTTCTTGCAAAGTGGCCACTGATGCGAACGGCGTGTCTAAGGGCTATGGCTTCGTGCATTTCGAGGATCAGGCTGCTGCTGACCGCGCTATTCAGACGGTCAACCAGAAGGAGATCGAGGGCAAGATTGTTTACGTGGGCCCCTTCCAGAAGCGTGCTGACCGGCCTCAGGTGGGGCAGCAAGTAGAGTGGATTGTTTAGACGGTAGCCCTTTAATACGGCATCATATCTTACCCTGAAAAATTCTGTAACTTCCCGCAGGGCAAGGATGTCTACACCAATGTGTTCGTCAAGAATCTGCCCGCGGAGCTCGGTGACGATGAGCTGTCTAAGATGGCGACAGAATTTGGGGAGGTGACCAGCGCCGTGGTCATGAAGGTCCGTATTGCGATGCGATGCAACGTGAAAGTGCAGTTGTAGCTGCCTGGTGGGCTCGCGTCAGTGCAAAGCAGATTGCCCTAATCGTGCTTGGGTTTTCGTACATTAACGAATTGGTGTGTAATCCGAAAGTGGGGGCTCCTTTAATTACGCTTGGGAGCGCGCAAGCGTATCGGCAGTGTAGTGGGCCTTAAGCCAGTGAGCAAATGCCGGCTGGGGGTAGATGTGTTTGCGCTACCGCCCTTAGGTGCAGGCGTGGTCGAGCACTAGTGGCCCCCAGCAATTCGTTAGATTGCGAACAGGATGCAAATACAGGTTACGGTCATCGCTGTGGTAATTGCTAGCGAGCCAAGTCAGGAAATCGAGCGTAAACTAAAATCCCAGGAGTCAGCCTTTTTTCAATTACGCGTACTTGGCTGTTGTGAAACAGGACGAAAAGGGCAGCAGCAAGGGCTTCGGGTTCATCAACTTCAAGGATGCTGAGTGCGCAGCCAAGTGCGTTGAGGCTCTGAACGACAAGGAGATCGGCGGCAAGGTGCTGTATGCGGGACGCGCCCAGAAGAAGACTGAGCGTGAGGCGATGCTGCGCCAAAAGTGAGGATGGGTAATGGATTCCAGTGGGAAGGGCTGCTACACGTGGTCTTAAGCCGTGTCCAACAAGCCAAGGTCCAAAACTTACATGTGGATTTCTTTGTTTTGCAGGGTGGAGGAGAGCAAGCAGGAACGGTACCTCAAGTACCAGGGCATGAACCTGTACGTGAAGAATCTTGCCGATGAGGTTGATGACGACGCCCTGCGCGACCTCTTCACCAGCTGCGGCACCATTACTTCGTGCAAGGTGCGTCTATGCTGCGGGATTATGGGAAACGGATCTCAGCGATGTTCCGGACCGGTATGTCTCCATGATAGTTGTGTTTTGCGAGGCACAGTTTGATTTTGTGCAAGGGCGCATGGACGCCTCATGCTCAGTTGTAGCGGTATTGCGTGTGCAAACAAGTTTGGGCATTGGAAAGCAGGATGCCTTCCTGAATATCGTGATAGACCTGGACACTCGATTAGGTTAGGGGACTTACTTAGCAAGCAATGTGCGGCCTCTGTGAAGACTTCCTTGTAGGCATCTTGATGCTTCGTTCCGTAAAACGTTTATGGGCATTCCGACGTAGCGGCTCTTCAATTGACCTCCCTTCAGGTCATGAAGGACACCAGCGGCAAGTCCAAGGGCTTCGGGTTCGTGTGCTTCACTAGTCATGATGAGGCCACCCGCGCCGTCACGGAGATGAACGGCAAGATGGTCAAGGGCAAGCCCCTGTATGTCGCTCTCGCTCAGCGCAAGGACGTGCGCCGCGCACAGCTGGAGGCCAATGTGCAGAACCGCCTTGGCATGGGGGCGATGACTCGCCCGCCGAACCCCATGACTGGTAAGGGCTGACTTCTGGAGGGGTTGATAGAAACCGTTTGGTTATGGGCGCGTCCGCATCTTCGGACATTCCATCCCATCAGTGTACAGCAAGGGAGCTGCAGGAGGGAGTTTTTCGCTTCAGCAATGCAAATAATTCTTGAGCGGCGTGTCTTGTCCCTCGCAGGCATGGGGCCATACGGTCCTGGTGCGATGCCGTTCTTCGCTGCTGGACCTGGTGGCATGCCTGCTGGACCTCGCGCTCCTGGCATGATGTACCCGGGCCCCATGATGCCGCCGCGCGGCATGCCTGGCCCTGGTCGTGGCCCGCGTGGCCCCATGATGCCGCCGCAGGCGGCTGCCTTTGGGCCCATGATGGCTCCACCAATGGGTCCCGCCCGCGGCCGCGGCGGCCGTGGCCGTGGTCCCATGATGCCCATGGCACCGTACCCGGGCCCCGGCCCCGTGGAGTTTCCGGGTGGCGGCTTCCAGGGCCGTGGCCGTGGGCGCGGCGTCCAGGGCCGGGGCGGCCAGGCTGGTGGCCGCGGTGGTCAGGGCGGCCGGAACAGTGCCAATGCCAATCAGCAGGCGAACGTCAATGCCGCCAAGGCCGTGGAGTCTCCAATTACAGTTCCTGCGCCATCTGTCGCTGCTGCCTCTGTGCCGGTGCCCGCTGTTGCTGTGCCCGCGCCGGAGCCGGAGGTTCCCGCTGCCCAGCAGCCGCTGACCGCGGCCGCTTTGGCCGCTGCCGCCCCAGAGCAGCAGAAAATGATGATCGGCGAGCGCCTCTACCCGCAGGTGGCAGAGCTGCAGCCTGACCTGGCTGGCAAGATTACCGGTATGCTGCTGGAGATGGACAATGCCGAGCTTCTGATGCTTCTAGAGTCGCATGAGGCGCTAGTTGCCAAGGTGGATGAGGCTATTGCTGTGCTGAAGATTCACAACGCAATCCCGGAGGTGCCGAAGGCGTAAGGGCTGAGTCTGTTGCTGCATGTTAAGCCGGAGCTCTCCGCCGATGCTGTGCTTCGGCCTGGGTGGTATGGATTCCGGCTGTGGTGGCGACTGCTTATGTCTCTACGGCGATGGCCTGGTTGCGAAGATGAGCTACGGTATGCAGGGCAACGGCGTAAATTGAAGCTTTGCGTCGTAACGAGTGTGTACGTTGCTTGTTGAGTCATCTTTCCAAATTCTATTGGGTGTAAGGTACGCTTGTGGCAGGCTCATTCCCACGGTTGCGGCAATATGCAATCAATTGCGAAGGACAGGTTGTCGGAAGTGAAGGTGGATGGATCAGTGCGACATTGCTGTCGGATTTCCAGTTCGGTATTTCCTTTAAAGTAGCTGAACATGTTCGATTGCATCGTGCTGTCGTGGATCAGATATTTGGAAAGGAATACCGGGTTGTTAACGAACTGGCCAGATGCTATAGTTCCGTGTATCAATCCTGTAAAAGCCGGGTCTCTAAATTTTCTTTACATCCGTAAAAAACTGGTGTATAATCTACAGCAAAATTTTATTATTGGAAATATTCTAGAAACAACCTAATAAATTCTCAATAATCTATTTCATTACTTGAAATAATGTCGTAGAATCTGTGCACAGCAAGAATCAACTCAGTTTTCAAAACTTCAAACTTTTATATAGGTGCTACCACGAACCTGCCCCTACCATTCCGGACCAGATTAAATCCACCGGACACGAATAAACGACTACCCATAATTAGACATCAGTTCACCACACATCCCGCTGATATCGACCATAATCTGACAGCTCCTTCATGATCGACTCAGCCTGCGTCCCCGTGCAACCTTTCGTGTTCTGCACCAATGAAATGAACGCCTTGTGCACGTCCTTAGCCATGTTCTTGGCGTCACCGCAAACGTACAAATGCGCGCCGCCCTCTGAAATGAGCGGCCATAAAGCTGCTCCCTGGCTCTCCAAATGGTGTTGCACGTAATCCTTGGCAGCTTGGTCCCGGGAAAAGGCGAGGTGAAGATTCGACAGAACGCCCGAGGCCACGTAACCCTCCAGCTCCTCCTGATATATGTAGTCATGATGCCGCGAGCGACACCCGAAAAATAAATGGGCGGGACCTAGTTCCACACCTGCAAGAGATGCATAGCGTGAGGGACGCATGATGCATTGAAGGTGCATAATGCGCGAACAAACACGACTTAAGAACTCCCGTATATAAATCCCTGGTCCCAGGTAGGAAAGCATTAGCCTAGCCGTCGAAATGTTTCGATTCTTTAAGTAATACTGCCTTCTTAGGATTGGCCCCACTTAGCACCAAGCCAACTAAGTTTTATCACCCCCCTAATGTTAACAGCTCACCCGATGCTAGCTGTGTTGCGCGTTCCTGAAGGAAGCCACGGAAAGGTGCGAGGCCTGTGCCCGGGCCCACCATAATGAGCGGTGTCTTCGGTGACTGCGGCAACTTAAACTGCGAGTGCCGCACAAATACGGGCACGACTGCGCCCATTCCATGCCGCTTCAGCCACGTCGAGCAAACACCCTCGTGGACGCGACCCGTAGGCATCAGGTCGCGCACCACTGCGCAGGTAATGTGAATGCTCGTAGGATGCTGCTTGGGCGAGGAAGATATTGAGTAGAATCGTGGCTGAAGGCGCGGCGCGATGCAGCCAAAAAACGCTCCGATAGTGGGCTTTGCGGACGGGAATGCTTGCAGAACCTCGAGCAGGCTGCGGTGCGGTTTCCCAATAAACTCGGCATAATCCTGTTTCCCCAGGGACGAGCCCAGGTGCGCCAGTCGCGCGGCTTCCTCCCGATCCGCAGCGAAGGTCGACAGCGCCAACAGGGCATCGCGATGTGGGCTGGAGAGTACATCAGCAAAGTAGGAAAGCGCCGTACGGATGCTAATCGGCCCTGGGAATGGAGGTGGCAAATCGCTGCTTCGACCACTGTCACCAGAGCTAGTGCTTCGGGGCATGGACAACACGATGCGCGCGTCCAGGTCGAAACCCAGAAGGTCCGCGACTGCCTTCACGGCAGCTTCTCCGTTCTGGGCATAGAGGGCAATGTGGTCACCAGCCTCATACGAAATACCGGAGCCGCCGACGTCCACCTCCACATGCACGCAACTGCGGTCTGATTGGCTAGTGTGCAGCTCCCGCACAGCCGTAATCTTGGCCCAAAACGGGCTATGGACATCCTTGCCGGAGCCGCTGGGGAAGGCTGCCACCTCACGCGTCTCCATGCTGCGTACGACATCAACATCGTAAGAAGGCACGCATATAGGTGCAGCGTGATGAGCACCATGGTCGACGCGCGTGCCAACAAGCTGGGACTTGTCCAGCACGTCCAGCAGCTCCGCGCACCATTTCTCAAAGTCATCATCAATGACGCCATCGTCGTCGCCATCACCGCGACGGACGATTGGTGTTGCGCCGCACGTTTTAAGCGATTTGTACACCTTCTTGCCGACGGCATTAAAGTGCTCGTACTGCTTGTTCCCCAGGCCGAAGACGGCGTACGAGAGACCCTGTGCAATACCGGTTGAACACCCCGACGCGGGTACAGCGGTCTTGTAACTTCGCAGAGAATAACTTGCATGGACATATGCGACAGCTGCTATTGCGCTCTAATTGCAACTTAGAACAACACTTAGGGGAGGTATTCAATAAATGCAATTGGCGCCTTTACGTCAGGCTCTGCGCGCAACAAGATAAATGCAACATTAAACCCATTCATTCATACCAACTTAACATAAAGATTACATGGACCTCAGACTAACTCCACAACCTGCAAGAAAGGCTCCCTTCCTCCGCTCTCCACTGCTTCTGCCTCCTTTAGCAACCAGGAATAGAAGACTGCTGCGTTGTCAGTGGGCTCTCCATCTCCGTATGTGGCCATGCAGAACACCACAAACTTTTCCGTGACGAGTTTCTGGTCTGCCTTGTACGTCTCCACATCGCGCACATCCACCACAGTGCTATCGCCATAACGGCTGCGCAGGTCGTTTCCAAGTTGTTTGGAGAAGCGCTCAGCTGTGCCCGTTTGAGTACCATAAAGAATCCTAACGACGGGCTTGCCAGGGTCGTCCGCGATTGACGGCCGCGGCAGAGCGTAGCCGTTAACGCCAGCCGAAGGCACTGGAGCAGTGCCTTTTAACGTCTTCCTACGAATTGAGAGCAGTGCTAGAGCCGCCACCACCACAACAAAACAAACAATCAACAAAGCTTGTGAGTCCATCCTGATGGCAGGTTTATATTAGCCAGTATGACCTAGCTACTTATAGCATTCCCTCGGTTCGGCAATTATACAACATATCAACAAGGTTTGCACCATCGTTAAAGTAAATTGAAGGTGACCTATCATTATTAGGCAGTCAGATGTCGGATCGTACCGTCCAAATTGCTATTTACCTAATAAGCCCCCATGGCATCTTTGCATAATCTCCACACAGCTGCTTTACAACTGAGCAAAATCATTTGGTCATGTCAATCATTTTACTTAGTCCCTTACCATCGTGCGTATAGCTTTCTATGGTATCAGTTGTGCGGACCGCGGGCCCTAGGAATGTAGGAGACATCGATGCTCATGACCACCTAATTTTCTGTCAAGTTTGACCAAATGATCCTAGAGGCATTAAGGAGGCTTTTTGTTGATCCGTGTATGACCCTTTTTGATTAGTGACCGTCGACAGCACGTGCGGCTGCCAGCGATATCGGTCATGGCGGGCAAGGAGAAGCGTCGTTATATCAATTACCGGGTGCGTTTCCTCCGTCCAAGGGACATATGGCAGAAGTGCGCTGGCGCGCCTTAACAACATATTCCATAGGCTTGCCTGCTGATTTGCGTTTTGCGAATTGTTAAGCGGTGGTTTCTGGTTATTAACATTCGGTAAATATGAATTACGCAGGTCGACGCTTATTTGCGCGACCGATTTCTCCAGTCGGGGCGGAAGCACAAGCCCCGGGAGCTATGTGGTGGCGGCGAATCCCTGATGCGGTGCTTCAACCACATTAAGTTTTGCATTGTCTGCTGCGCGTCACTCTCTCAGGCGGTGGTGAGGCTATCGAACCGTCGCCGCAGGGCCCCGGGACGTGGTTTCCGTGCAGTTTTGTATACCCCCTCCCCATCGAAATCCCCTGTAGGCTCCATGGATGCTCTGTGCCGTAGAAGTCTTAATCGTGCTGCTTATCTACTTCATGGCCACGTCGAGGTCCCTGGTCATACACCACCACCGCTTCTCTTTTACCCGGAGCTTGGAGGACATCGTTGGGCTGTCTTGTACCCGCGCTGCAGTACTGAGCCTGGCCTATGCTGTCGGGCAGCGCTCCGTGCACAGGTGGGTTTGTGTTCCAACCGCAATCGGGAACCTGGGTTTGTGTTCCAACCGCAATCGGGAACCTGTACGTAAAGGATTGTCACTGTCAGGCAAGTTGACCCGTCCGCATTATCGGGATCACTCTTCAAAACTGCGTGTATGCCCCACCCCACCCAACTCCGCCTCGTAATTGCAGGCCGTATCTGTATGCCGCATACCTGTTGGCGATTGCATGCATCCCCTACATCGCCATGAAAACCATGTTATTCCGCTACGGGTCGGACAAAGTAGCGGCGGCTGCTATCCTGGTGATTACGGGGCTGAGCAGCGCGTGCCATGTCTTGGCAGCCAGGTGAGCCCTTTGCACAGGGCCATGTATAGGCCGGCAGGGGGGTGGCGTAGACCTAATGCGTAGACCTAACCTGATGCCTGCCTCGCCTTGGTGCGGATGGCAGTGACGAAGAGGGGTGACCATATCAGGACATGTATCAGCCCATATATACCTTATTGCAATGCCTTGGTGACGTTTATCGAAAGTTCCGCATGCGCTGATCGTGTCATGGCCAGAATTCTGCGCTTGAATGGCTTTGCTTTTCTTGTTGTGCTTCCAAAGCACTGACCTTACTTCCGGACCGGCCCGCACGAACAGACGCACTGTGGACTGGGCTCGGCGGCGCTACCAGATGGGTCTAGCGGGCTTTGGCATGCCATGGGAGGAGGGCGAGGACGCGTGGCTTGCAATGCGGCGACCCGACTTGGAGGACCTGACTAAGACCAGCGATGGCGGCGGCCCCGACGCATCAGACGACGTCCCGGCGGAGATGCTCGCCGATGACGATTCCAAGTTTTTGGAATTGGAGCCGGGGCTCAAGGTGCATTACAAGGAGGTGGCGCCACCATCCACGGCAGCCACCATCGCGGCTTCACCCTTCGGTGGGCCGGATGGCGCCACAACGGGCATTGTGCTCGTGCATGGCTTTGGTGGTGGCGTATTCTCCTGGCGCCATATCATGGAGGCACTGGCAATGCAATGCCATTGCAGGGTGATTGCGTTTGACCGCCCGGCTTTCGGTGAGTCGGTTAATCAAAGGGCTTAGGGCTGTCGGCTTGTACCGTGCCCTCTCTCGGGTCATCTGAAGGTAACACGGTAGAGCCTGAACATGAACAAGCATATCTAACCCGACCCAACCCCATGCAACCCAACCTGACCCAGGCCTGACATCGCGGCCAAAGGCCACCGAGCAGAACAACCCTTACACGGTTTCATCGCAGTCGCAGCTGCTGTTGCAGCTCTGCAGTGCCTTGCGGCTACGGCAGGTGGTACTGATGGCTCATGCGGACGGGTGCCTCGTGACACTCCGGGCGGCAGCCACATCCGCCAGGTATGGCTCGCAAAAGCTTATTCCGAAGTAAAAGGGTGGGACAAGCCGTGTGCCATGACGTCTGTACGGTGTGGTTTAAAGGTATGCTGGTTAACTTTGCGAGAGGATGAGCTCTCGTAGCACCGACGTAATGCCTTCAACTTGAGACGGTAACTCTCCTTGAAACGTTGCATCCTTGAGTAATGTCACATGAACATGAGCACATTTATCCGCTGTAGCTTACTCCTGTCCCCTCGCTGCACGCGACCGTGTGTGGTAATGTTGGCCACAGCTTCTATCAACAACGGGGCATGTACCTGCACCCACAGCAGCTCATGGCACCGCAGCTTCCGGCGTATGAAATACCTCATTACATGACCTCGACCTTCTCCGTGGCACTTAAGGCCCCGGAGCGGGCCCGGACGGCGCCGTCGTCCTCCTCCTCGGACGACTCGCCGAAGCTCATGCCAGAGGCGCCCGGCTCACCCCCTCCTGAGCAGCTCCTGTCGTCCTGTCACCATGCGCAGCTGCTGCCGGCAGGTTCTGGTCAGGTTAGCCTTTTGCCCCAGGCGCTGTCCTCTGGGGGTGGAGGCGGTGGGGGCGCCCTGTCAGCGGCCGCCTTCGCAGCCGCTGGGAGCGGGGATTTGGTCCTTCCGGCACCCGGGGTCCCCTCGCACCAAGTGTCGTCCGCGTCGAGCGGCCCTGTCATCCTGGTGGCGGAGCCGGAGGTTTGCAGGAGCGTGGTCGCGGCTGAGGAGGTGGCGCGTGCGGGAGGCTCCGCCCATCAGGGCGGAATGGCGCAGGGTGGGTGAAACCCGTGTTAAGGTGTTGCTGTATTTTTTAAGGCACGGTGGAAGGCTTGCATAGCGCGGATCCGTGCAGCAATGCGCTAGGAATTTGCCAACCGCCCAGCAACTGAGCAGATCTTTTCTTGTCGGAGATGATGGGCGGTCTCGGTCAAAAGATGTTTGCCCTCTGTGCGCTTGGTACCTGGTTCAAGTTGACCGACCCACCGCCGTTCTCTTTCGTCCGGTGTTCCGGTGGGGCCCCTTTGTTGCAGGTTTCACTGCCACGAAAGGTCCGGGGCAGCTAGGCGCGGGAATGGGGCCACACCAACACGCAAGCCTAGGCGGCGCGTCGCATCATCACCACACTCACCACCACCACACACATAGCTTTTGCATGGGGCTGGGCTCGGGCTGCGTGACCTTGGGAACTTCAGTAGTTGACTTGGAAGCTGGCACGGCGCGATGTGACACGCTGGAGATGGACCAAGCATCCACCACGAGTACCTCCTTCACTGCGGCACTATCGACCCAAGCTCACCATCGGCGCGCACAGTCAGTGCCGGGGCCCGTGGGCGCCGGGAATGGGTGAGTGGCCTGACATCGGCGGGCTGAGATGAGGGCAGGAGTTTCTTAGTAGGTGCAGCGGAGATTCCATGTTTTGTGACCTGCTTGATGCCGCTTTCATCCTGCGTCGCCCTAGGCACATCATCAGCATTTACTTATCTTCCCCGCATTGTCTATTTGCTTCGCTTCACGCGACTCAACCTCCGTTCCGCGCACTGCAGCTGCTCCACGCGCTCATCTGAGGTGTGGGAGGCGGCCAGCTGCTGCAGCAGCCAGTGTGCGCACCCGTACCAGCATCCCCAGCCCATGCCGCGGGTGCTAGGGCTGGTGCTGCTACACCCCAACCTCAGTGGCGTCATGGGCCCGACCTTCTTCCGCATCCTAGCGCGCTCCAAGCTAGGCAGGTCCATCCTGAGGCCACTGCTGCGTAGTGAGGTGGGCGAGGTGGCCAACCGCCGCGCCTGGCACAACACCGACAAGCTCACTAGCGAGGTAGGCGGGTTCTGTTACTTTGCACAGGGCATGGGCGGCTTAAGTGCGAGTATGTTACACGGTGGGGGCTCATTCAAAGAGGTCCCTCACCCAAGTCATGCAAGTTCTAGTCCAGCCGAAGGCCCATAAGACCTGCGAAGGTGGTTCACGTGCCATCGGGAGGGCATCGTCTGATCGGGGTTAGCTGGAGGAGGTGAGGGGCAAGGACGTGAGCAACGCCGGCTCGCATAGGGTTGTACCCTTGTCCGTATCTGTATCTACGTTCTCGTGTTCAATCTGTACGGCGCGGTCAACATGAATCCCCATGAACGTATGAAGGTCGATGAGAAACTTGCCATTGAGGGCCGCGGACATGCAACCGACGCAGGTGCTGGAGCTTTACAAGACGCCCCTGCGGGTGGAGGGCTGGGACGCAGCACTAATCGAGACGACTAGACAGCGACGGGAGTCCTGTCAGGGCGACCTGCCCTCTTACTGCAGCAGCGTTGAGTCCATCCCGACGCTGATAGCAACAGGTGCACGCGGCGGGACGTGGGATGGGACATTTGCGTACGACAGGCCATCCCTTGTTGAACACGCAAAAAATGTAACGCACCCCTGTTTGTTACTCGTTATCGGCCAGCCGCGTTAGCCACCAGGTACCGCGACTGTTGCCGACCATCCTTGCCTCATAAAAGCATGGAGTCAATTTGAGATTACCTGGCATCAGAAACCTTGACGTGTCCCAACCCCCTGCGGGCTCAACCACCTTCCGATCTCTACGCAGGTGAGCACGACCGCATTGTGCCGCCCAGCAAGTCGGAGAGTCTGGGGACAGAGCTGCCTCACGCCCATCTAGCAGTGCTCCACGACTGCGGCCACCTGTCTCACGAGGAGGCCCCCACTGCGTTGCTTGAGCACCTGGTGCCCTTCTGCGGCGAGGTTCTCTGCCACTCGTACACGTACGCGGCAGGCGGCAGGGTAGGCTTGGCACCCGCTGCGGTAACCACGCCCGTTGCGGCATATGTACGGAGTTAGAGTTTTGGAAGTAGCGTGGCGTCCACTCGTGCGGTATAACCCCCAGCCTAATCGCCGTAGCGATTCAGGCGGGCACCAGGTGGACAAGCTGCATTATTGCCAGGCTGACGCGTGCATGAGACACGGGCGCGCTGCATGCTACTGTTGGTAGGTGGTGGCTCGGGTTTCCATTATTGCTGCTACTGTCGCTGCTACTGCCCCGGCGCAGCCTCATATGACGTGGGCGCCGTACGTTGCCGTCTGCTTGGCGCCTGGCACCTCGCTACTTCGTGCTTGTTGAGTGATTGCCGTTGACAGGTGTTTGGCAGACAGACAGACAATTATTGTGACAATGACAAGCCTGAACCGGTAATTAGGAGGCGGGGAGCATTGGAGGTGTGCGTTTCCTTTGGTTCGCTGTGTATGCCAGAAACAGCCTTGTTGTGGGAGGGCATGTTTCCTTATTCACCTGAATTGAGCGTTGCGCGTGTGGGGATGTCTTGCAGATAGATTTGGCGTTGGAAGGTGGTCGTTGACTGGTCTGGTCGGGTGAGAGTCAGGGCGGTCCTGACCATCAACGCAACGGAACCGCGTTTATGCATCGCCGTACGCCGCCGGGGTGCATCTAAACTTTTTCCAAGCCCTTGCACGCAAAGGGTCGGGAACCGGCAACTGTGCATGTCACTGCAGCATGGCGTGTTGCTGAGCGGGCCTATGAACTTCATTTTTGAGTCTTGGGTCCTGGAGGATTCGATTGCGGGATCCCCAAACCAAGGCCGGTGCTACGCGGTCACCATAAGGGTTGCTGGTTGCTGTAGGAAAGATTAGGGTATGATGGGCTCAAGGTGGGGATTGCTTGGGTGCTCACGTTCATCTTTGTTGGTTCTGGGCCTTCCTCCAGTTGTGTTCTCGTGGCCTTGACTAAGTCGGCAAACCAAGGTAACCAAATAAGGCCGCATGGCATAGCAGCGGTGGCTGCTTGCTAACAAAAATCTAGGAGACGGGTATGGGGACGTCTACAGAGGGGCAGCAAGCCATAACTGGGGATCGAGGCGAGGGGTGAATTAGGTCTGACGTACATGTGGGGGGCTTGCTTTCAGCACAAATTTCCGGGGTTTGTTGTACGGTGCCGAGCTGTTGCATGACGTGCTGTTAACTACTTATTAACCGATTGCCTGACCCGTCCTTCGTTGGGGAAAGTGTGGTTCGGGCCTTGTGAAGTCGTTTCCGTGCAGATGAGATGACGCATCACACGAATAGGTAGGTCCTAGCTGTTGGTTGATTTCGACCCATCATTATCGTTCGACGTAGACTCTTGATTCTGTTTGCTTTATTTCTTTCGATGTCTTGAACGATGTTAGCTTATTGCTGCTGTAGTGATGCAGTGACGGTGGACATAGGAATGCAAGTGGACGTTTGGCAACGCGTGAATTGATGAATTGGTCAGTGGTGTACAGTGCTCATGTGGATAAAATACTGTGCGTTTGCCTGGTGTTCGGAACGAGTCCTGCTCCAGGGACGGTCTGTGGGTATGGCTGTACGGTTGGACGTGCCTTTTTAACGACGGAGGCAACAAAAGGCTCGGCGGTCGCAAGCTTCCTTGTCGTAGGGAAGACAAGTCAGGGATTTCAGGCCCCGCATACCACTATTGGCTGCTTCAATAAATTACAGCGCGTAACGCAGGTCAACTGTAACAAGATGACGTCTGCACAGCCAAACTAGATACTTTTTCGAACGTCAATCGGTGCATGGCCCTGGGTTACAGCCGTGCAACCCTGTCACAACACCGGCGACAGTCGACGGGCACTATACATCTACCCGGATACACATTGTCATTAGGGGGCGTGGCCTGTCCTTGCACGACAGTGTGCAACTCTTTTTAAGCCATGGGAACAAGGATAAAGGGCCCACGGGCAGGTCGTAGGTTGACCTAGCTCTCGGCGTCCGCGTCCTTCCCAATGCTCGTCATCCGACTCAGGGGTCCATGCGTATGAAGCGCGGGCGCACACAAGGGAAGGCTCCCTGTGTACACAGTTACGAATAGCCCAACATGCACTGTGCAGGTAAGCTGCTTATACATACCCAACTTCCCTTCTCATACCAAGACAATCCACAAGAGGCGCGTCCACCGCTTTTGGCCAGACGTAGCCATACAATATTGGTTAACGACAGCTGGAAGTGCGACAATATCGGCTCACAAAAAGCATACGGTTTAGGGAACTATGGCGACGACACCCTTTGCACCTTTCGCATGTCACCTAGCGGCCCTACCTACGGTCCTCCTTGTGTGCCCAGCCCAACCTGCATGCTATACCTGCGTCGCTTGGCTGGGGTCCCTCGCACATCGCGGGTGCAAACACATACTATAAATGAGTGTCGTGCGTTACCAGCAGAAATGTACAGATCGGCCAAAGCATTATTGCACGCTATGCAGCGAGTTGCCGGCCACGCAAAGCACAGTGCACGTGTGCCAGCCAATTAGGCAAAGTGCACGATGTACTCGGGGTATGCCTGAGCAGCAGCACACTGCAGCTCCATTACCAAGTCGCTGGCGTACATACCCTTGGCCTCCCAGGCTGGGTCCTCGGCAGCCTCCCGAATAATATGCGGCACGAAGCGTCCTGCAGCAGCAGCCGCTGCGCGGCGCTTCTCGCTTGATTCCCTGACCAACTCCATATCCATTATCGAGTGTGCCTTGGAGACCTCGCCGCCGATGCGGCCTAGCTGCATTGTACCCGGGGCCACCCGGCACAGCAGTAGTGCGCAGCCCTTGCCGGTTGCTTCTGTCCCAGGAAGGCCTCTCGGCCAGGCGCTTGCCGACGGCATCGGCGTGTCCTCGCGCTTGTGTCTCCCTGCAAAAACAGCGGGGCACGCACAGAGAGTTCGGTCTTAGAAAACATAAAAACATCGACGCTGAGGCTACCAGCACGACACAGCACCATTGGATGCGACCGGACCATTGGCGGTTCCCCTGTTCGGGTTTACCGCACGGCAGTCGAGGCACAGGAACTGAATCTCGGCCAGACATGCTCGTAGGGCAAGCATGTTCGGGAGCAGAGTTTCGTACGGTGCTCTGCAGTGTACCACAGCGATAATAACCGCAAGAGTGCAAACGGCGACCTGCACACTTCTGCAGGCAGGTAGTTGAGGTTACTGGCCAATCCGTCGGCGCACCTGGGCTAAAAAGCGATGGAAGCGCTGAAAAAAGTGAGGGCACTCGAAAGGATGGCAACTTAAACCGACTGCTGGTGGGCTCCTGGGCAGAAATTGATGAAGCGGCGCCCGACCTGCTGTCCATTGTGCTGGGCACGACGGTGATGGCCGAGGTCGCTGTCGATGCCGGTGCCTCCACAACCGTGGGCGCAGATGCTTCTACAGCTGCTGGTTTAGCCTCAGCCACAAAAGGCTGCACCACCGGCTCCCCTCTTCGTTCCATGTCCTCTGCCTTTTCCAAAGCCCATGCCGCGTTGGCCATGTACAAGGGCTTCCTGCCATCATGCCGGGCCGGGCTCCTTACTGGCGGTCAGCCCTCGTTTTAATTTAACGTTTATACTATTTGAGAAATGGGCCAATGGCTCCTTCCATGCGGTTGCTGCGTGCTTCGTTGAAGCCAACAAACTTCCCGGGTGCATCATCTGCTGCCCACTCACCGTTCGAGGGATTTGAATCCCTTGGTCGCAATATTGGCCAATTCTGCCTTTGCCACGGGACACCACAGGTATCGCTCCTCCTGCTGTTGGGCGCCGCAATTCTTCATCTCTCCCCGCCTGCGAGTATGTCAACGGGTTCCAAGCCGCGAAGCGGGTTGAGGCAAAATTTGCTGAGCCAAGGGACAACCGCTACAGGTACCAGTCCGTAAACAAACCGCACCGCTGCCAATGGTGCAGCAAGCGCATATCTCCTCCACGTGCATGAACGTGCACCCTGTAAGCGCATCCGGGGCACGGATAGAGGACTTGAGCACTCCTGACTTCCGTACTCGGGGCCTTACCTGCTGTCGTACAGCTCCCGTAACGTTCGGTTGTTAATGCGCACGACGCAGACGATGCGTTCTCGGTGCTGGAGGCTATCCTCCTGGAGGAGGTTAGGCAAGCACGCCGTAGGCTTTACTAGGGGCATCCATGCAGCCAGGAGTCACTGCGTTAACAGACGGGGCCGGCTAGGAGATCGATCCAGGCCAAGCAGTAAGCCTAAATTGGCTTAAAAATCAACATATGCAGCATTGGGAACGTATTCGGGTAGGATTGGTTAAACCCTGCTTCGGGACACTCACTACAGAAGAACCCCAAGCGATTTTCCCACCTGAGATGCAGTGCCATGGAAAGAACCTCGATCACTCCTGCCTCACCTCGAAGCGTGTTAGCACGCGCTCTAGCTCCCGCTCCGTGGCATCGGTACCTACTGGCTCAGCAGCCGGATTGCCGTCACATGTTCCTGGAAAACCTATTTAATGAATTCATCGCACACGAACGCGTACATTGGCTAGTTGCTCATAAACTACTCAACATGAGTTCTCCATACATGCAAACCTGTGGAATGCCCCATTTACGGATAATGGGTATGTATAATGCCAACTAACTGTTTAGTTGCATGACTAATCAGCTGACTCTGCTATCTTCTCACGCGACCCACATCGCAATCCTCCGGATACACGTATATTTGTATGTTTTATCCGTTGTTTGAGGTCCTATTGTGGCACCAAGAACGGAATGCGCGGCGGCATTGCGAGACGCGGGATCATCCCGATGCCGCAGCGCATTCCTATTCCCGCCTATTTATTAGAAGTCAATAAAATTATCAGCGTGTATGGGGATAATGAATAGTCAAGAACGCAGGATACTAGAAACGCGTTCTTGGTTTTTGTTCAGTTCTCGCTGTCCTCCTGACCAACCGTGGCCAAGGCATGTTCTCTTGCATCCCGACTTACTGCTTAGCAGCACGTGTGTTTCAATGCCACAAGGTTGCCAGTCCTGAAGTGTCCACGCGACAAGTGAAGCACCATTCTTAGGCCTTGTGCAGTCGTCGATAGTCAGCGCTGCCAAGGCGGCTCCCGTTTGTGACGCTACTTCCTCAAAGATGTCTTGCGAATCCATGGATCCGTCCTTGTGCGATGTCTTGCGCTTTGCTCGTTTCCTCCTCCAAATAAGTAGGCCTGATGAGCGGTCCGCCGAGAATCTCGCCCTCGTCTTACGGTATTTGTCTGCCCTCGTGCTTCCTGAAATAATAGCGTTTCTTCTGTCTTCTGCTGTAGGTGTGCTCCGCCGTGTCAGTCGCTTTACAGGTGATTTCTTCTGGACCATTTGGCGGGGGACGGAGTCAACAACGTTACGTGAGAAATCTTTCCGGGATCTCCCTGCCCAGTCCCATGACTTCTCCGGTTTTGCGTCCTGGGCGTTCATGAGCATCCTATGATCGCGATTGCAAATCAGATAGGCAAGCCCCCTGTTCCAGGATATCTTGTCTCCCGCCAGCCTCCGGTCAGCTCTACACCCAACCTACCGCCATGTTCGTAATACTGAAAGTTTTTTCGGGATTTATGGCTGACGGAACCTTCTCACGCCAACAGGGAAGGAGTTGGATGGCGAGAAGTCAGAGCCGAAAGGAAACAAGTAGCTAGCACTTTTTTTAGTTGCTGTTTTTTGTATGGATGAACACGATAAAATCGCAAAGCAATATTGTGCATGAGAAACGACCGGTACCAACCGCAGCAATTATGCACACGAAAGAAGAAAACAACGACCTGGTTGATAAGTCCATATCATGAACAGGACGCTTATACTAATAACATTTAGCACCTTAAGTGATCATACATAGGCATTAAGCAAGTTTCTTGATGATAACGGTCCTAGGGCCGTTAGGAACCGGAAGTCTCGGAGCTACATACGTCGCATGCTTTCCATTTTGCATGAATCCAATACCTTATATACATCAGTTGCATAGGAATCATGGCATCCCTAGCCAGCCAGTTTATGCTGCATCACTTGCATGCAATCGTTTGCAATGGCTGGCGTTGTTTTTGGCATGCTGCGTCTGTGCTATGCAGAATTATATGGGACTGATGTACTGCGCGCTTATGCTCCACCATCTTGCATGGGCATACCGAGGTTATGTTTGTACCGCTGATGTTTAGACGTGAGATGTGCAGCATAAGATGGTACGTCATGAGAGGAGAAGCCGCTATTGACCGGTAAGCTACATATAGTATCAAGTCTACAAGCCTACATTCGACAGCCCGCGGCGCCAGACCTCAATGCTATCTCATACGCGGATTGCTCACGGACATGCATCACCTACTGAAGATTGCACACGACAAAATCGTGAGGCAAGCTACACATATGTGCAGACCACACATCTATGATACAAGCACATACAAGCACGGTGGTACAGGTGATGTACACACCCTGCACAAACAATACAATAAAAATGTTTCTGCCAAGACAAGATACACAAGGGCATAACATCACCGCTCACAAAACAATATCCTGCAGTACGCGCGAGATCGCTCCGACAGGCGGCACGCGATATCTGCTAGGCAACGAATTCAAACCGGTGTAGCAGGTAAGGACCTGACCCAATACGGTCCCGATTGCAGGTTCCCCTTCATCATTTAAAAGAGTGACCATCGTCATCACAATGACAATCATAATCAGGAAGACTACGAAGACATCGCCTGCAAAAGCACTTCTAACGGGACAGTGTCAGGCAACCTCTCACCTTATGCGCCCGCATGGCCTGCTCACAATTCCCACACCAATACATACTGATAACACCTGCCGGTAAATAAAAAGCATCATCAAGCTCCAGGAACCACCACTTTTATCCCCTCAACTCCCTCTGCGGGCATGGCTGCTTCCGCCTCCCCACTCGTCTCAGCAGCGGTATCATCCTTCACCTTGGCCCCCCCCTCCTGCCCGGGTGCCACTGCCTCCTGCTCGGGTGCCGCTTCCGCCTCCGCCTTCACCGCGGGGGTTGCTGCCGCCTCAGCACGCGCCAGCATCCAGTCCTTAATGTCCTTCCGCACCTGCTCCTTCTCCGGGCCATGCAGCAGCTCGTGGTACCCCCCCACCACCTCCTGCAGCGTCACATCGGTGCTAGATACGTGCTTGAGCATGTCCCGAAGTGCCTGTGTGCAGACGGGCACATGGGGGCGGGGGGGTTGATGGAGGGCAGAGGGACGCAAATAGGTATCATGCAGGTTAACGGAATGGAACGCACAATAGAAAGGAAACCAAGTCTCACCCTCCTACTACCGGTTTCTATTCCCTCCCCAAATCTAAGCCACGCGGCCGAGAACCTCCTATTGAACAGTGGAAGGTCTTCCCCGCTGGAGGACCGGTACGGCCTATGGTTCTTGTCGCCTGCACGTAGCTTCCCAACACCTGGAGACGTTGGCACACCCCAAACACTTAGCCAGACGGCCGGGAACAACGACGCGCGACAAAACACGGCCATGGCCCTACCGGCAGACTCGTGCAGCGGTCTGATGTGCCGTGTACGGCGTAAATGGGCAACTTCAGGTTGGCGCGCTTGGCGACCAGTCCACGGAAGCCCTGCGGAACCGGCCATGCGACCAAGGTGGCCAAGAGAGGTGTGACGCACGATGCTGACCGTCGGAGGCGGACCGCAGCACAACACGGGGAGGCGGCCTTTGCAGCCAAACAAACAACATATTTCACCGTCAAGGGAGCAAAAATAGCTGGCTGCAACAGCTACCCAATCTATCCAGGAGCAGCCGCGCCGCAGTTCTTCCTATTACCGACCCCGACTCGCCTTGAGCACCTCATTGCCGGACAATGCTCGCACGTTGCCCTTGTAAATCATGGGATCCTCCAGGTACTCCTTCACCTGCGGCAATACCAGCAGCAGCAGCAGAACGACAGTAGCGATGCCGCTTAGACAGTGTCGTCCCCTCCTTTCCTCCATGAGTCTCAGTCCTCCGGGGCATTCCTGCGCCCGCGTTTTGTCCTCCGTGTCCCATGGCCTGGCTTCTCTCCCACGCCAAAATGCCCCCACCCTCCAACAATCCGCACCACGTCCGGGTCCTGGCTCATGTCCTCTGGGCGCACTGCAGGCACCAGCTTGGCCCGGGGGAGGAGAGCCGCCAGTATATTACCCAGAGCTGCCTGAATACTGTGGAAAGGGGTTGATGCAGGGTCGGGTTGTGAAATCAGGCGGAAGCAAACCCTACTAAACAACGTAGCAACATGCACAGCATGGGGTTTAGGTGCGTCAATCTTGAGAGCGCCAGGAGGAACGACGCCTCGAAACGGTGAGGAGGGCCCCGGACGCATCCATCCGGGCGGATCGGCGCGTAAGCCATGTCGGCACGATGGTATGGGCCCCTATCAGCACGGAAGGCTAAGCAACGCATCCTCGACCGCTGCCGGGAAACAGCTCAGCTTAAGCACCCAGCACGCCCAAGGTGGAGCAACAGTTAGCAACGCGCGCATCCGCACGCTGCGATAGCGCCGTCACACGTACCGCAATACGGGCGTCCATTCCACGTCGACAGCTGCGAACAGGGACATGGTGCAAACCAGGATTAGGAAAACAGAAGCCGGTGGAAGGCCGGTGGAAGGCGTGGTTGGTGCGGGTGATTGCATGCCCTGGGCCTGGCCCACACTAAGGTCACCGAGCCCTGTGTTTTCATAGCCCACCATCCAATCAGCCCCTCTGCCACACGTGCTTCTCCGCCGCCCAACGCACACGGCACACACGCACAAACACGCGTGAGCGCCAAATGGCCGAAACGCCAGACCTAAAGATCTACAGATCTTTAATTGATGAGCGCCGCCTTCCTGCCTCCTGTTTTCTCCTTCGGCATGTCAGGTACAGGTCGCTCAGACATGACACTAGCTCGTGTCACCAAAGATGCAGGTCACGGGAGACAGGAGCACAGAAGTTTTAACCGCCAATGCTGGCTTACCATTAACGCACACATGCATCGCTTTTTTGTACATCGTTTCCCGTAATTCCCAAAACTCCACCAATCCTCTTACCTGGTGACTGCAGGATAAGGCCCTTGAAGGCTTCTGGTCGCTCCAGAGCCGCGTACGACGCCACAAGGCCACCTAGGCTGTTGCCGCCGATGAAGACGGGCGCGGTGATGGCCTTCTCCGCTAGTGCCGGCAGCAGCACCTTGTCATGATACATGAGGGCGTCCTCCACCAGGTGAGAGAAGCGGCGCACCAGACCGCGACCGGCGTCATCCAGGGGCTCCGAGAGGCCCATGCCGTGCGCGTCAAAGCCGAACACGGCAATGCCAGAAGCGACCCAGTATTTGGCGCCTGAAAGGTGAAAGGAGGATGCGAGGTTCCGGGTAGATGAGGTGGGGTTATGGGAGATGGCGCAGTGATGGGGGAGTTTAGGTATTAGGGTTGTGGACAAGTCATGAAATCCATTTGGTAGGGAATTTAAAAGTGCCCCAACCGCAGCGGTTTGAAGCAAGCAAAGCAAACGATTTGCCTGTATGTTGCTTGGAGGTTTCCCGACATGGTCCGTGGTATCATGTCGTGCGATGGTGAAGGTCAGAGATTTAAAGCGTAACGTCTCCCCTCAAGTGTAGGGACAAGTAAGCACGGATGCAAGTGCAATTAACCTCTCAATATCGCAGGTCCCACGCACAAGCAGGAGCGGGGCAAAGTTATTCGACTGGCTTAAGCGTTGGACCGTGCCGCGCTTGCAAACGTATAGGTGCGAATGATTCATCATGCATATGTTATTGATAAATAATATTTAGTGATTTATAGCAAGCCCAATGCAAAACGAGGTTCCGCGATATTCGCCAAGTGACCAGGGTTCTGGCAGTGGCCGCATCCAACTAAGCAGGACAGCATGTCGTAACGCAACTTACTTCCTTCAAATCGATCGATGTATTCTGCAGGGACACGTGGCAGGACAATCGTTTGAGACAAGATTGTTCGAAAGCGATTCCATTGAAGCTATCCCTGAAGCTATCGGCTTGAATAGCTCCACGCTCGTAGTTCGAATATTACTTACCGCCAAGGCCATGGTTCCATAATAGCACAGCCTTCACGTCTCCTTCCTCCGGAGTCCAGCTGACGGTATAAAGCTTCTGGCCTCGTGCATTTGTAAACGAACCGCTGTTTTTCGACATGGCTGCTTGTATGTCTTTCTATGCTTTAGGAAAGTTTAAACTTAGCGCCTTAAATCAGCACGGCTTCACTTGGGCGCAGACAGCGTACGTTGCCTTTCACTTGACAACGCCCGTTCTCCACTTAAAGGGAAGAGTTATTGTGGCACTGAAACAATGATCCATTTAAAGCATACATGGAGGCGCCTAAAACACTGAGGCAGTTGTCCAGCACTTCCAACTTCTAACTACCGAATCCTTGCTTTCACAGTGCATTTATTTGCCCACTCGCAGTCATAGTGTAAACCTCTGTGGACGTTTCCTAGCTTCATTACAAATTTATTATCTTTAAACGCAGGTACCGGTACCTGGCATGTAAGCGTGGTGTGCATGTTTTTGTGAAACGACATTTGAAGAACTCCGTTAACGGCACACAGAATGGCGCGCGCCACGGGTTTACCGGCACAAGGCTGCAGCAGGCTGAAGCTTATAGTTTCTGCTTTGAGCCAAGAGGCTGAATGTTTACAAATTTACTAGTGGACTGTACCATCATTGCAGTTACGAAACATCAGATTTCAAGCTTGATCGCAAGTTTAGAGGCTCGCGAATATTTTCCGACAAAATAATATTCGTTCACTCGCTGAATTGTCCCCGACAGGTTTTTTCCTGTTGGGTCTTTCCTGTTGTTGAGGCGATTTACTTTCTCTGGGAGGAGACTTCAGTCCTCCATGGATCAAAGAGCGTTTGGTTAGCATCAAAAAAGAAACGGTTTAGGCTTGAGTGGCACTGGGCTGCGGAGTAGGTGAATTGATTTCAGAGCTTAAGAGGTACTTGTCATGCTGCCGCGGGTGGTCCTTCTGTGCATCCGGTCGTGCCAATACGCGGCTTTCTCAGCTCCACCGCTTGCCGCATCTGAGAATTTGCACAGGCTGGGCGACGACTTGCGCCGGAGGTTTTCCTGACAGGGTTCACCCCTGGTTCCTGAAGTTGGATCAGAGTAGGGGCTTGAGGATGCAGTAGGGATTCAGGGTGGTCGTTAAGGGCAGCCTTGGTAGTGGAAGCCGGGATAGCAGGGGCTTAAATAACCTAGGTAAAGCAGATGCTGGCAATGCACTGTTAAAGTACACAAAACGAAGCCTAGCTCCTCAAAGCACTCTGCCTAGATATGCATGTCAATAGCTTCGCCGTTTCAAACGGTACGAAGGCGAAGGGAGAAGCCATAGTTATCTAGTGAAATTGGCTTGGCACTTGGCAACAACAACGGCCAACGGTAACACCTACAGGCATAGGCTGCCTGCCAACGCCAACATCTCAACTTCTAAACAAAGCGACGCCATTTACTTATGTGATATTCTTTGAGAATGCCATTTGGGTTTCTGCTACAATTCACAGTACCTGTCTTAGGACACCGAAACAAGTCAGCAGGCCATAACCGACACAACAAATCTTGCACATTTCGTAAATCCTTTTACCTGTGAGATACGTCCTGATTCATACGTCCCCATTCAGCAGGACCTTGCGGACACGGACGTCGATGTCGCCGCCACCACCTGAGGACCTGCGGGTCGCTGTGCTTCAAGTTTCAGCCCTCGTTGATCATGTTGCTTCTGTGGAGCCATCCATGCTCCATCAGCTTGTCGGGGATGAGGTATTAGGGATGAACGGGTCGTGCCAGTACACGTCAGTTTGCAAAGACCGCTTGAAATTCCGAACGCAACAGTGAAACTGCGAACGATTATATTACTCCAAAACCATAACAATGTCTGTATATCATTATAGATGGTTTTTCGTTTGTTGACCCGGCATGTTTCTGTTGGAATGTCTTGACGCCAGGTGGGAGGCAGCACACGCTGCACTTTGGAAAAGCTGCGTCAAATCTTAGCCGCTGTTGGAGAGTTCCAGTCAAAGGCCGGGGGCTCGGCGTCGAATGTTGGTCGCGCGCTGGCGACAGGCTTTGGGACCCCTGTCCAAGTGGTACGTCACGTACTGGCGCAAGCAACCCATCCCATCCAACCCCTCTCCGTAACTCAAGGATTACCTTCTCGCATTGCAGTTCAGAACGTTAGCTGAAGCCGCTTGTCAGCAATTCGTGATCATTATTGAAACAACGCCTCTAGGGGCAACGTCGAGGCATTTGGGACGGAGTTAGACGCCGCCGTCGGGCCCCCCCGCATTTGCCCGGAACCATCTGAGGCCCCTGTCCGCATGGTTCAAGACCAAACCAAGTCACGCATTCACACGCGAGTGCACATGCATGCATGGGGCGCGGGGGTGGCTTCGGGACTTCGCACTCGATAGACAAGGGCAATCAAGGGGGTAAAAAGTGCTGATTGCGGTGTGAGCAGATGAGCTGCTGATTTTCTCGTCCCGTTGCGAACCTCCGTACCTGCTGCGTACCAAGCAAGACCTCCTGACGGTCCCTACGCCATTTCCACGCCGTTCTGCTTCTTCTGATATCGGTATCTAAGGCCTGCGTGCGACCACGCATGCCTATAATTTTCCCAAACCGGGTGGGGGTGCTTCTTGGAACAGTGAGTTCTACTTTTTGTGGGAATTTCGGTCTTGTTGCTGTTCGAACTGAGGGTTCCCCTCTCCCACTTCCACGTGTGTTCCTACCTACCTATCCACCTACCTACCTACGTAATTGCTTGTTTCTCCGGGTTCCTCCCCTCCCCCCACTAACCCCCATACCCCCACACCTTCAGGTGGGAGCACGTGGTTCCGACGAGTGGGGCTCTCTGTACAGCAGCTCAATGCGGAGGGCGGGAGTCAGCACGGAAAGGATGAGGGTGCTCCAGGAGGGGTCCACGGGTGCGTGGGTTCGGGGGAAACCGCGGAGGGTCGGCTGCGGGTTTGGGCTCCAACCCTGGTCTTTAGGAGCGCAATATGAAGATGGGGGAGAACGGGCCCCTTCGACTCTGCCCACCCCTCCCCATCCCTGTATATCCTTCAGGCCGCTCCGCCATCCTGACATGCGAGGGGGAAAGGACCATGAGGACGTACATGGACTCCCAGGTGCGGGCGGGGCGGGAGCTCCGCGGCGGGATTCGAACGGGGGTTTCTTAACCGCTCGGAAAGAAGAGACGAAGCAAATGCCTGATGGCAAGGGGGACCAGCCGGCAGCATGCAACATTCGATATGCACTTGCCATGCGCCGTGTATAGGCATGCCGCAGCACCCTTGCCGTACTCGCCTCCCTACTACCTGTCGCAGGTGACCACTCGCGCTGAGGACCTGACCGCCGACGACTTTGCGGGCAGTAGCTGGGTGTTCCTGTCGTCGTACAGCTTGTACAACGAGGGACTGCTGCAGCGGGCTGTGGACCTGGCCAAGCAGGTGTGTGGCAACCCGCCTCCCCCCTCCTCCGTCCACCTCCTACCTCGCCCTACCCTGGAGGGGTGTTCGGTCGGGTCGGAACGTGCGGAGATGTGGACACGGGGATATCCCACCGCTGTTGTTGGAGTAATGATGGGTAGGGATGTGGGTATGGGGTAGTGACAGGGGATGGGGTGGGGGCCCCGTTGAGTCGTCTCACCCTTCCCTGCTGCCGCCCTCAACAATGCCAGGTGGGGGCCAAGGTGGTGCTAGACCTGGCGTCGTACGAGGTCGTACGGTCGTACCATAAGCAGCTGCAGGTAAGGTAGGGTACGGTAGGTGGTGGGAGGGGGGCGTGTGGGACAAAATCGGGGTTGGTGGATGTTTCCTTGCTTCGACTCCGCCTCGGCACCCTCCCCTGATCGCCTGTTTCCAGCGACCTCCTTGTCCTGGCGGCAATCCGGCCGCCGGGTGCTTTGTTGGCCGGGTGCGGACCCGCACGGCGCTGACATCTAGGGCTGCTACTGCGACGGCTACTGCTGCTGCTAAGAGGCAGGGATGATGTCTGAACTCTTTGGCCAGACTCCGAAGTCCTCTTATCTGTCCGCCTGTCTGTCTGTGATCTGTCCGTCTGTTTGTCTGTTATCTGTCCGTCTTTTTCCTCCCTGCAGAAGGTCTTGGAAAGTGGTGGAGTGCATTTCTGCATTTGCAACGAGGTAACGACGCTACTGCGGTGTGCCGCGTGTGTCGCGTGGGCTTGTGTACGTGTATATAAATTATGAAGTAATGGAGGGGAAGTCGGGCGGCCAGGAGAGTAAGGGCATCGCTGTTCCTGCTTTTGTGTGGAGCCAGCACTGTTGCAACCTTTCAGGAGATTATAGGAACCGATGATGGCGATCCTGAAGGCGACAGATGCCAGACGCCTTACCATGAACCGGCCCCCGACGCTGCTGTGTTTCAGTCTCCCGCTTGTGCAAGGCCCCGTGAGTATCCCCCTCCCCCTGAAAACCCTCTTTCCCGCCTTGACTCTATCAGGACGAGGCGCAAATGCTCATACGCTGCTCCGAAGCCGCTGCCGCCGCCGTAGCCGGCAGCGGGGACGCTTCCTCCGCTTCCGACCCCACCGCCGCCGCTGGCTACCCCCCGGACAGCCCCTTGCCAGCTGCAGTCCTGGGGCTGCTGCTGCGGTACTGCCAGGGAGCGGTGGTGACCCGGGGGGTGCTGGGGTGTGTGGCGGCATACCGCGGGGTGGAGGGGCTGGTGGCGGTGCCGGCGGTACCTGGAGTGGCGGTGGTGGATACCACGGGGGCTGGAGACCACTTCACGGCGGGGTGCGTGTGCGTGTGCGTGTGTGGGGTGAGGTGGGGTTTGGGGGTAGGATGGCGGGGCCGCCGGGCCGTTGTTGTTCACCTGCCGCAGCCCTGGCAGTGGTGTGGAAACTGCTGTTGAAGGGGATGGGGGGGTGTTATGGTTGTGACTGTGGCCACCAGCGGTTGGGAGGTGGCGCTGCTCAGTCACGACATCTCGCCAATTGTTGCCAAGCGCCACCGCGTCACAGAGATCAGCCTGACCGACCTACCCACCGGCTCAGTGTTGTTGTTGGTGGCGGTGTTGTTGTTGTTGGTGGTGGTGGTGGCGGTGGTTGCGCAGGTTCATGTACGGCCTCATGTCAGGACTACCCCTGGAGCGCTGCTGCGAGGTGGCTTGTCTGGCGGGCGCCTCTGCCGTACGGGTGGTGGGCGCAGAGTTGTCTCAGAACGACTGGCAGTGGTTTCATGCGAGACTGCACGGTAAGAGGTTGGGCGGGGAATAGGGAATTAGGTGGGCAAGGAAGGGGTGAAGGACGGGTAGGGGGGATATGAACCGACCCCTGCCCAACCTGGACCTAGCCCTCGGAGCTTTGGCTTTCCTTACACCCTTCATCGTCGCCGTACTGTTGACGTACACTGCAGGTGACCTGGCCGGTGACGTGGTGCACGACAGCAGCGCAGCGGAGGTGGCGCAGGTAGGTGTGGGCCGGGTGGAGGGATACCTGACGAGCTGCCGGGCGAAGGCCTACAGTGGAAGACACATGCGGTGAAGCAAAGCCCCAGACACGTCCACAGCGCTTACTGTGTGTGCCGTGATAACGTTGGTGTTCTCTCCGTCCGCACTGACCCACTCCAGGCCGCTCATCTGCCGCCATCTGCCCCGCATCAAGGGTCCCCCGCGCGGTGTACACCATACCCTCAACCCCCTACCCCCTCCTGGTCCTCGTCCAATTTCCGACACCTGCCTTCGGAGCTCCTTAAAACACACACACGCACACATCAGACAACCTGCCTTTTCCTTCTCCCGGCTCAGTTTTATAAAACACGAAGGTCACCCCTTTTCTGCCCCCTTTCTTGTTCTCCGTCCCTCACCAGGAGCTGCTAGGTTGCTACGCGCTGATTGGCCGTCTGGGTCGCGGTGCTGTGTACTTTGGCAGCGCCCGCCTGGCGCAGGGCTCCCCGTACTGGCAGAGGGCCATAAGGCTGGCAGAGCGGGTGAGATGCAGTACTGCTGCTGCTGCTGCCTCGGCAATGACTGCTGCTGCGAGAAGGGGAAATGGTGACCTGCCTTCGGGCAGGGTGGCTGGCAGGGGCCGCGTCTGCGTAGCTGCAGGTTGCTTGTGTCGCGGCACCGCGGTGGTCGTTGCGATGGTGGCGGTGGTGTGGTCTTGCATGGGGGTCCGAAACGGTATAGGGGCGGTTTGAGTGATGAAGTCACTAATCCAGTCATGGGGGCCTCCTGAAGGGCCTGTGACGAGTCCCTGCTGCTGGCAACGGACAGGGGCGCACGGGAGGGTTGGAGGTTGTGGACATAGGCTCAAAGACCCATGGGTCGCTTCGGGGGCCGCGGCCTCTGCCAGCCGAAGCAGGACGCCCTTTCTTCTTTCTCTCAACTGCTCACGAATCGGGTTGTGTGACATTGTCTTTCCTGTTACGTGTTGAGCTGCGAACAGGAAGGATTTTCCTCTTGCCTAAGCCTGAAAAACAGTAGTAGATCACGAAGCAAAGAGACCGTTTTCCGCTTATCTGAGGCAAATGCATTCGCCGCGCGGTCGAAACTCCACAAGCGGCACCTACCTCGCCTTCCACCGCCCCCACAGCAGCTCGCGGCCTATCCAACGAATTCGGCCCTTACCGTGCCCAGCATATTCCTCATCCTTTCGGCTTCCTCTGAGCCTGCCGCATAATCCTACTGCTGCGCTCGTTGCGGGTCCTCTCTTGGATTGTTATATAGATCAGTCTCTCACTTAGTTTCTACCTCCATGGATTTCCTCAGGATGCTGCTACTCTTTATTGTGTTCTGGTCCTATATTTGTTGCACAGGTGGCGCAGCTGCTGGGCAGCCCGGTCTGGACGGGCGGCGGGCCGGGCATGATGCGCGGAGCCTCCGAGGGCGGCATGCGAGCTGGAGTCCCTGTGGGCGGTATCCGCATCAGCCGGGAGGCGGGAACCAACGTGCTGACAATGGAGGTCCGCCGGGATGCTGAGCTGCTTTGAGGAAAACTTAGTAAAAGAGAAAAGAGAAAGGATCAAAAGGAAGTAAGAGAGAACATCGGCTAGGGACCTATGTTTGGATTTGACAGCGCTGCGTTCCTGCGCGACTGCGGCTGCGACAACTTCTTCCAGCTTGTTTCGGCGTGTTGTTTCTCGAGGCTATTTACATCGGAATCCATTTTGGATAAAATGACCTTTCCTTTTTAACAGGAAAGGAAAAACCTCTTGACGTCTTTCCAAGCTGTCCCGGCCCCCGTTCCCCACCTTTTATCCCCGCCCAAAGGACTACCTGCCAGCCGGCGCGGCCTTCACCTGCAAGTACCTTCCCGCCCGCAAGGTGTGATGCATGCGTCAGAACGTTTCGCGCAGCAGCGCTCCTTCAGGCTCCGCTGCTGCCGGACTTCGCAATCCGCAAATCCTCTCCCACTCCTTCCTTCCCACCTGCTTCTGGGTCGCTCGGCAAGTTGCATGAACGACATTAATTAATATTAGTCTTTGCAAACAAATACAGAACTTTCTTTGCAGATATTTCCCAATGTCAACAACGCTCCCACCTTTTCTCCCTCTCTAGGTGGCCCTGACGGATGCGGGCGCCCGGCAGCGCCCCGACCAGCGCACCGCCTACCTCTTCCTGCCGGGAGGCCTGGGCACTATGGATGAGCTCTTCTCCATCCTCACCCTGCTTCAGCTGGGCAAGCTGGGCACCGCACTGCCGGTCCCGCTGGTCATTGTCAACTGGAACGGATTCTACGATGGACTTCTGCAGCTCTTGAGGGTGGGTGGTAGCTGGTGGGGGAGGCGGGGAGAGGGAGCCGGAGGGGGTATGGGGGCCCAGGAGCGCGGCGTGTGGGAGCTCCCGGCCAGAGCAAGGCGGCATGGCGGTTCCGGAGCCGCCTTTTATAGGAGGGTTGCTTGGGTTTGGTGATGTCTAGTGGGCTGGTGTGATGGAGGGAACGAAGCAGCGCTCTTTCGCGCTTTCGCTCCTGTTCCTTGGACCCGCCAGCCTTTCCTTTGTAATTACTTAATGTACTGGTTCCGTACATGAATCATCACCTCATACTTGAAGACCGCCGCTCCGCTGCCCTCCCGGAATGCCGCCAGCGGTCCCTCAACCCCCGCCCCCACCCCACCAACCCACCTCCAAGGCCAACCCGTCACTTTCCTCGCAGGAGTTTGACCAAACGGGTGCACTCAAGGCCTCTGAGGTACGGCAAGTAATGGTTGCTCGTACCAACGACGAGGTGCTGGAGTACCTGGCATCCTTTTACGAGCTGCCCGCTCCGGAACCCGAACCAGATGACTGGCTGCTGCAAGAGGGGGAGGAGTGGCTCAGCGGCGACATGGCTCCAGGGAGGGATGACGGGCGGCCATCGGAGATGCAGGAGCTGGAGGCCAGGTTGGGCCAGCTGGCGGAAGACGAGGTCGCGGCGGCGGCGGCGGCGGCGGCGGGTGGGTGTGTGGCTGCCGTCGAGGGTGGCGGCAAGGGTCCGGTGGCAGCAGTCCGAGCGGCGGGCAGCGGCGCCAGCAGCCGACACCGCAGTCGGCGTGGCTCTGGATTGGGGCTGGGGGGTACCCCCCCGGTGGTGAGCGCGCATGCGGTGTCTGCGGAGGAGGTGCTGCAGGGGCTCGGGGGAGGAGGGGGAGGGGGAGGGGGCCAACCAGGGGGCAGCAGCACCACGGCCAACAGGAAGTGAGGGATTGGAAGTTCGGCGTCGTAAGAGAGGAGAGCCGGAGGGAGGGGTGTGCAAGACGTGTGGGCACTCGTGCAGTGGATTGGCGCCTGGGATTGGCCGAGCGTTGGGAGAGAAAGATGAGGTTTCTCAAAAGACATGGAAAACGGGTTGTAGCGGTGTGCTGGGACGTCATTGCCCCGGGCCTGATTAGGCCACAAGCACGCCGATCCCGGAGAGGCGCATCTCGCACTGTATACAGACCAGATGTACGGTGAGCCAGGTGTACGGCGAGCCAGGCGTACGACGTGCGTAATGATTATTGCATGGGCAGAGCCTCGATGGTGGCGTCGCCGCGCGCCGCAACACTATGGCACTCGACCCGCAATATCCACCTTATGTATTTCTTTTTTCCTGAGCAGCCGCGCCACACGAGCTGCCCGCGCTGTTTTGTTGCCATGCACGGTTGCAGTTCAGCAACGAGGACAGGGACTGGGACTGGGACTGTCGTCCTTCTAGCTGGATGGCGATTCACTGAACGGCGATTGGCAGTGTGTGGCGCGAGATGTTGGTATGTGATACTTGTAGTCAACCTTGGTGTTTCGGGGGGGTGCAGATTCCAACTGCGATCTGCCCCGGTTACCCTGGTTACGTGTTGTGTGATCCTATCGCGTGGCGGCTGGCGGTGGTGGTGGTGGCGGTGGTGGCGGTGGCGGTGGCGGTGGCGGTGGCGCGTGTCCACAAGACACGCCTAGCCTTCTGCTGTTTTCGCGACGGCATTGTGACGTGACCACATCTTCTACACGCTACATAAAGCGAGCGAGGCGGGATATTGCAGCGTGCGCGCGATTAAGGGCTGGGGCAATGACGAAACACACGCGTGCACGCGAGGGAGCTGCGTTGCGTCCATCGAAAGTGCATCCTCCTTATATCCTCGGGAGGAGCTTACACGTCCGTATGTTGGCATAGGCCGGTGGGAATGTGGGCAGCAAGGAGGCTGGGGGTAGGCCTGTGTATGTCGGGTTGGGGGGGAGGGGCCCACCCACTCTTAGCGGAGCTCTCTGCAGAGCTGCCCTCAGCTGCCCATACATATGATCGCGTGCCACACCTCATAGCATTAGACTGCAGGCCCTTGGGGGCACTCTCAGAGCTCCACATATAGGGCCCCTTATGCCTTCGGAGAGTAACGCAACTCCAGAAGGCGTAATACACACACACACACACACACACACACACAGATCGGTCGTCCTGGCCGACTGCTTTATGCCTGGGACCGCTTCACGGCTGGCTCTTGGCCATTCATGGGCCTTCCCTTTCTGTGGCATGACGCCGTGTATCATGTGGCTGCGGTAACTGCAGCTGACGTTTCCCTCATGCTTTTACGTCATGGGGTCGCACTTCGCGCTGCGTTGCGGCAAGTGGACAATGTTACCCCGATTGTATCGTAACAGATGTAAAGGTGTGAGGTCTCTACAGTAAAGGTGTATATGTCCACAGCGCCGCAGATCGAAAGTCATCCATTCGAGGATCGTCCCCCCTTCCCCCGCGCTGGCCACGACATAACGCATGTACATAAGTAGTCCGGTTGTTTCCTTAATGTATGAATACCTTTAGTTGTCCCTACAGGGCCTGAGCAGCGACCATCCCGCCTATCATCCGTCAACTCACAACTGTCCTCACAACAACTTAGCTGTCGTGTACTTATTACGTGGACACTGTTGCAAGTCGGTACTGGCGTCGTGGCTCCGGCCCCTACTCCTGACGTCACCTAGACGCCCTTTCCTGGAGTCGTATCGTTGCCCCTCAGGAGCCTCGAGGGTGAATGCCACACAATCATATTGCCGCTACCACCCACCACTACTTGAGCAACCACATACCATCATCATCACCACCATAACACTAACCAACATAACACACGCCAATTTCCGCGCCGTTGCGGACCACGCTCAGCCCTGCAGCTCTTTCTTCAGTACATGAGAGGCAGCTCATGATGAAAACCAGACCGCAACCCGTCCGCCGTCCTCCCACCCCCCACACACAGGGGGCTTCTTCCGCGGGCTGCACAGCTCTTGCAGCACTTGCGCTGAATATCCACAGCAGCAACGACGATACCATCAGCTTCTTAAAGATGGACAACAACACCACGGAATCCGCCTAAGATTGCACGGGGCAAGGGCCCCTCCCGTCATGGGACAGGCAAAGTCTTTCATGCAATCCGCGCACACGAGGCACACGCGTCAACCGGGGCACATCCAATGGCAAAGGAATGGCTCAAAGCCACTGCCTCAAGGCGGACAAAACAAGCGCCAGGAGCGCGCGAGACAGCCCTCCTCCGTAAATCCCCAATGAGGAACACACGGACAGTGGTATGATGGTAAACATAAGCACATGCGCCCCATGAAACGGCGTTTGAACAGGCTGTGTTCCACATCCGCTAGAGAGGAAGAAAATGCCGAGGAGCGCAAGCATGATGAATGGACAAAAAAGAACAAGAACCAAAAAAACGGGAGAAAGAACACGGACGAAGCGCTGCGCTACATTAGTACATTGAAAAGGAAGAAATTTCTGCAAATGGATTTAAATCCATGGCAGACAGCTTCAGGGCAGAAACTGCTCAAAAGTGCGGCGGGGTTGCGATGCAGCACAACCCACATTCCCGCCGCCGCCGCCGCCGCCCGCGCCGCCATCACTCATACCCCACCTGGGCTCCCACCTGCAAAGGCCACACTGCCCCATAAGCCTACCTGTACCTGGGGCAACGCTGAAGCCAATCAAAGCTTAACAACCCAGTACTTTCCTCTCGCCCATTCCGCCCCTCTCCCGTCAGGGCCCTCATCGCCATCCTCCTGCGGCCCTCTCTCTACCCGTTGCGCGCCCTGCACCACCCTCTCCTCCATTCTTCCTCCCTCTCGCTCTTTCTCCCACTCTTCTCCCCCTATATCTTCTTCCTAAACACGCTCGTAAAGCAAGACACCATATGTGCGCCGCGGTGAGAAAATCGAATAGCACATCCAACGAACCCGGATGCCGCTGCTGCCGCCGCACCCTCTGCACCGACCCAACAACCGAACCCAACCCAACCAGGTAAGATGAATGCAAACATACGGGACCCCACTGCGATGCGCTCCCTCCCGTTCGCGAACCGGTCGGAAGGGAAGGGACGGGACGGGTGCCCCCCCCTGAAGGCACAAAAGGTCTTCTGCGGGACACTTCACTCCCGTGTTCATGCTTATGGTTGATGCTGGTGGTCGGTCGTCGTCGTCATGGTCGAGAGTCGTGTGCAGACTGATAAGTGTGCGGACACCACCAGCCGCTAGAGCAACGTGCTGCACATCACCACAGCCACCACCACCACCACAGCCACCTGCAACGACTCTTTCAGCACCCGTCCGACGCTGACACCCTGATTACATTTCAACGTGCACTTGCACATATATCCACACACGGCGCTCACATGCAACCACCTCTCCATATCATACAATCTATACACGCGGCCTCGCACATCTCGCACATCTCACCACAGGACTCGCTCCACCGGCAGCACCAACATGCGACGACCTCCCTCTCCGCCACCACTCTCACGCCGACCTGCCTCTCTTCCCATACCAGCCCTCACCCACACCCCCTTCACACCGCCCCTGCCCGCACCAGCCTGCGGTACCTCTTGACGCTCTGTGCGTACAGCTCCCGGGTACCCAGCAGTGCCAACAAGTTGAGGCCGCCCAGGACACACCAGGTGTCGAAGTAGCAGTCGGCGCCCACGCAGTACAGCTTGTCACCGTGACGGCGAGCGACGCGGTCGTACAGCTTACCGGTCAGCACCGTGGCCAGCAGGTAGCCGCCAGCTGCGGGACCCAGCTGTGCGCGGGATCCAGCGGGGCGGGGCGGGGCGGGGCGGCCACGGCGGGGTTGTAGAGAGGGAGTCGTAGAGAGCACACCAGGCCAAGGGAGGGAAGAGAAGAGGCCTTCAGGAGGAGTATACGAAGGAAGCATCCTAAGTGACCAGGTGGCAGCAGGCGGTGAAGCAGCAGGATAGATGCAAATTTTCGGCACACACAATGATATTGATGATTCTGTTGTTTGCAAACCAAATGGATAATATATATAAACTAGCAAAGGTTATATGTAAACGCCAGCAACGGTTGAATTAAATCTATAATTCCCAGAAGGTTTAGCAGAACTGAACAAAGTTCCTCTGGATTTGTCCTTCAAGGAAAAGGGGTGTGTGTTTGTGCTGCAACTTGCTTGTTGTCGTCCGGTGGGCTGCTGGTCGGGGGCGGGTGCGGAGCTCGGCAACCGAGCGCGAAGGACAAGGTGATGAGAGGCAATGGGGAGAATGCGAGGCGGTGTGTATGGTGGTGGTGGTGGTGGTGGTGGTGGTGATGCACTACACCGGTGTATGTGTATAGCGACCACACTCGACGTCCTCCCGCAGTACCTGCAGCGCCGTGTAATTGCTTCCAAAATGCGAGAGACCAAACAAGTCCGAGGTGATCGCGGGAATCAGGCCCCAGTGCGCTCCAAACGCCAGCCCCGCGATAATGCTGACCAGGTACAGGTTGTACAGCTCCGAAACCGCCGCCCCGCCGACACCAATAAGCGTCAGGCAGCTGGAGGCCAGCAGCGGCAACGTCCGCGGAATGCCGTACCTCCTGAGGATGAGCTCAGAGAGCACACCGCCCGCGAGGCGGCCTGCGGATGGAGAGGGGTGGGAGGGCAACGAGGCAGACGAGGGTAGGAGAGGCAGCGAGTGGAGTGGAGCGAAGGGAATGGGAAGGTGGACGGTTGGAAGAAAACCCAGCCCAGCCCGGACCAGCCCAGCCCAGCCGGGCAAGACGGAAGCCCTAACACCAGCTAAGCTTTAAAGTGCGAGAAGGAAGCCGCATAGGCTAGGTCAAACTTATCCACTTAAAACAAGTTCTCGACACGGCAAATATCAAGACGCAAAGAAACCCTGGGGAGCGCCATGTGGACATCGTGGTCCCAACACCCCCTTCACACACTCTCGCTCTCAGGTGCCCCTACCCCCTCCCAACCCCCGCACCCCCCGAAGGCGCATCCACTCATTCCTACTTCTACTACTTAACAGGAAAACCCTTCTACCGGTTGCGCTTCCCCCCTGGCGATGGTGGTGGTGGCGGCTGTGGTGCCGCTCCTCGCTCTCACCTGTTGCATTGGCCACACTGAACAGCGACACGAACACCACCTGGCCACCCCGCTGGCCCCCCAGAGCCACCACGATGGAGCCCAGGTTGTTCAAGTACGACAGACCCGTACCTAGACCCACGCCGAACTAGCCGGGGTGAGGAGGGGGAGTCACATGCAGGCAATACGCAGGGAGCGAGCACACAAGGGGGGGAGCAGGGAATGATAAAATCCTGTTCAGCGAGCGAGAAGGCTGCGAGAGCTGGGAAGGTTCAGCAACTCAACAGCAGTAGCAGCAGAAGAGCCGCATGGCGGAATGTAGGTGAGCAGGGTAGGGCAGCGGCAGGATTTCTTGACATTGACATTGGCACGGGCACGGGCACGCTATGGGCCGGGGAACGGCAGCATGAAGACGAGGACGTCGACGTCAGCTCTGTAGCCCCCCCGCTGTGGAGACTGCAAAAGCCCGACGGCCCCCTCGGCTGGGGGGGCCCCAGGACATAGCCTCTCCAGGGAGCTCGCCAACCAGCCGGCCACAATTCGGGGGAGATGTGAGAGAGCACGTCGAACATAATGTAACGCCTTGCACACAAGAGCACTCCACCCGACAAACCCAATCCTAAATGCGCACATGCGTGAAGCGCCCACGAAGAGGACTCCACCGTCGTCACAAAACAGTCGCCAGTTCCACCAGCTGACAACTCCGTTGTCGCGAACGTCTTTAGCTCAAAGGAGGCCGCTCAGCTGCTCTAAACCCCCGAGCCACCCACTGGGACCCCGTAACAGACCTGAAACAGCAGCAGCCAGAACAGCGGCGACCGCACTGCGGCGCTAAGGGGCAGGTCCGGCAGCGCAGGCACCTTCTCCAGAGCTTCAATCTGAGCCTCCAGGTCTCCCTCCCGTACCACAGGCCCCGCCAAGGCCCCAGCTTCGTCTTGCGCTGCCGCCGCCGCCGCCGCCGCCGCCAAGGCTTCCTGTGACGGTGAGGGAGGAGCTTCCGGATCCGCCAGCGCTACCAGCACGTCCTTCGTCGCATCGCTAGACTTGCCTCCGTCGCTACTGGCTGCGCCAATCGGCCGATCGAGTACGGTAACCGCCGCGCCGTCAGCGTTGCCGCCTGCTCCAAGAACATCGGACAGTAGGGGCTCCGTTAGATCCGCGTCGCCGTTGCCGCGGCCATTGTTGGCGTCAGCCGCTGCAGCGACATTGTTGCCGTATCCCGTCAGGCTCCTCCGGATCTCAGCCGCCGCCTTGGCGCCCCGTGCCGCCAGGCGACTGAGCAGGCTGCGCTTCAGTCGCTCAACCGCCTCGGGCCGCGGCTTCCGATGCACCCAGTCACCGCTGCTGAGCGGCACCACCAGCAGCAGCGCTAGCAGACTTAGCAGCCCGCCTAGCAAGGCACGCCGCGCGTACGGGGTCGGGTGGACCGCGCCCGCCCACAACGCCGCCCCAGCCTGATAGACCGCCACTAACGCCACCAGCCAATATGCAAATGAGAACCGGGCTTGGGCGGAGAAACGGGGTGTGGAGGGGCCAGGTTGGCGGCGGCTGGGGGCCAGGAGCGGCGTCTCCGGCGGCAGCGGCTCCGCCGCCGCCGCTACCCCCGCGCGAGAAGATGGATCCGGTTCGTGATACGCCTCCGGCACCAAATTTATGGCTGTGGTAAGCGCCAGCGCGATCACGGGCGATACGGCGCCGACGAAGAAGAGGAAGCCGATGGCGGCGCCGACAGCGCTGGCACCGCCAGAGGCAAATGTGGCTGCGTAGATGGACGAGTATATGGATGCGGAGAGACCCACGAAGGCCTTCAGGATGCCCACGACGGTTCCTCGATCACGGGGAAAGTTGCGGACGTTGGTAACGATGGCGGTGGTATCGAACCAGGTGCTGGAGTTGCCTGGATAGGAGACCCGGAGGTCGGCGGTCTGTAAGTGGCGGCGACGCGGCGAATGGAGAACCTCGGGGGATGGCGTCGCGATAACGGCGACGGCGGCCAAATGACACAGTCTAACAGACAAAACGGAAGCACAGAGAGAAGTGCGAAATTGCGGAGAGCAATCAACATAGCGGAATCCACAATGCGCAAAATTGGCAGTCCCCTGTCCTGTTCCCGCGCCTCTCACCGCCCAGGACCGCACACACGCAAATGAAGGCGAAGCTCGGGGCGACGTGTCCACTCGCGGCGGCGAATAGGCCTAGGTAGCCGATGGCCAGCAGCAGCGACCCAATCAGGGCCACGAATCTGAGGTTGAGGTTGAGGGTGGTTGGGGACGGGGGGCAGGCCGCCTCACTAATCATAAACGGAGCCTGACTGTGCGCTCAAGAGTTTCTAAATTGAGCAACGCCTGCTCAAGTTACCTTAAGGACCCGACTTAAATGTTTGTTGGGGTGATGCGGGTGATGGCGGAGGTAAGCGAGCGGGGTAGCTGGAGACGAACATGCAAAGTCTGGATGTGGTTCAGGTGTTCCTTGTCCATGTTCATATGCCAGCCCAGCCCAGCCCAGCCCCTAGGGTAGAGGCAGGCAGTAGAGACATAAGGATGGTAACCCTAAGATGCGGACTCCCGGGAAACGGCTGCCGACCCCGAGTCTGCCGACCCCGAGTATGCTGTCCTTGACAGCACGAGCCTCTGCGTGCCTCAACCCCGCCTCGCCTGGGCCCGAAGCGCTTGTGCTTTTCCAGCCTGTCGTACAGGGCGCCCGACGGAATGGCCAGATAACCGCCAATGTTGAAGCAGGAGCCAATCGTCGCGATCTGGGTTTCGTGGTAGCCCCACAGCTCCTTGAGAGCGGGGGCATATACGGGGAAGACGTACGACAGCCCCGCGGACGCCTGTGTACGACAAGGCAGCCGGCGCCGCATCAGAATAAGTACCGGGCCCGTGAAAACCGCACCATTATCGTCATCAACTAGATTAGGTCAGCACCGGGGACAGCTATTACAACCCGCGAAAGCCCGCAGTTAACCTGACGGCCTCTGGGCAGGGCCAGCGACCAGGGAAGAGCAAGGAAGCAAAAGCGATATTGGTGCACGTATGGCGGGTGGCATGCAGCTTCGGTCAGGACGGTATGCGGCTTAAACCTGGCGCAAAGCAACTTCTGGATGATGCCGTGGCCCGAGGTTTCTGCGAATGCACCGTAACCCCTTCGACGCGCAAACGTATGGACGCCGGCCGAGGCCAAGCGAAATTATACATGTGTATAGCGTCTCCAGATCAGATAACAGTGCTTGTCACTGAGGCAAACGAAAGATGTGTGGTTTCGCGGTGACGGTACACATACATACACCTCCAGACGCGCCAACTGTCAAAGCTACGACAGCCCTGCCCATAAGCACCACCCGACCTGCAGAAGGCAAGACGCCACGAATGTGAGCCATCTGTTCAGGTATAGGCGTGTCCGCATGTTGCGCTTTCAAGATGACCCGACACTCCAATTAGGGATCTCGACACAGCGACATGGAAAGCACTTGCCAAGTCACGAAAAAACTCGTCCAGACGATTGCAAAGAAGTATCCCTTCAATAATATTTTTCACAGTCTCAAACGTCGCGCAACGCCCCCTTCCTGGACCTTGCAGTACAACCTTCCCTTCTTGAAGCTCCATTCTCAAACTGGATGCTCTCTTTTCCGTGCTGACGGTGTGGACAAGGTGCGCTGTGCAGATGTTTTAACTTAAGACTAGAAGACTTTATTTGTCCAGTTGACGCTCCAGTGAACTTCCATCTTAATAGCTTTAGATAAGCTTATAGCTGTTATTTTTTGCAGGAGCAAAATGAAGTTCAACCGCAACGTTAGCTCCTCACGGCGCAAGAGCCGCAAGGTACTTCACACCGGCGGCGACGGCGGGGCGAGCCAGTCTAGGCATGCATGGCTTGAGTCCCTTGCATAACAGTGTGTCAAAATTTCTACTAGCTTATCATACTCAGCCTGGATCAGAGTTGATGGCTTTTTGGCAAAATTTCATATCTGTAATTGCTGTGTCCGCCCAGCTCAGCGACGACTCATACTCTCAGCGACCAGTACACTTTTAATGCACTTTAGTGGCAAGCATATCTTGGAGCCCAGCCGCGGAGTCTTGAACCTGGCCCCGCCCTTGATGTGTATAGGCTCACTTCTCTGCGCCGTCGAGCGTGCGCCGGAAGCTGATGACCGCTCCTCTGTCAGCTGAGCTGAGGAACAAGTACGGGGTGAGTGGTTTCCTGGCAAAGAAAGCCGGTGCGCTGTGCCGTCTGGGGTTGCACACCCAGCTTAACTGCACTGTACGGTCGTGCAGGTGCGTGCCGTGCCCATTCGCAAGGACGACGAGGTGCAGGTCACCCGCGGTGCCTTCAAGGTAGGGAATGGAGTCAATCATGGATATCGCCTGATTCCGATGGGTTTAGCTGAGCTGTGCCTGTGACCCTCACTCAGGCTCGTGAGGGCAAGGTTGTTGAGGTGTACCGCAAGAAGTGGGTCATCCACGTCGAACGCGTTTCTAAGGACAAGAAGAACGGTGGGTTCCTGAGCGCCTCTCGCCCTGCTGAACTCCACCCGCCAGTTGTCCCTTCGTAAGCGCATCAACTGTTGAACCACCGTTTACAACCTAATACAGGTGCCGTCGTGAACGTGGGCATTGATCCCAGCAAGGTGGTCATTACTAAGCTCAAGGTAGGGTCATATGCCAATTGCACTTGTCTAGGCAGGGGGATGGGGCTTGCCACTACCTCGGCTGGGTACCATGCTCATGCATACATGGCCCTTTTTTTGCGGTAGCCGGCCTTAGTCACGAGTTAGAAGGGTCCAATACTCACTGGCATTCCCCTGCTCTCCTGTTGCAGCTGGACAAGGACCGCAAGGCCTTGCTGGAGCGCAAGAAGGCCGCCCGCGCTGCCGAGAAGGGCAAGGGCAAGGTAGGGTCCCTAGAGGGAACGGGATTGGGTTGCACAGCGGAAGTATGGGACAAGCAGGCAAAGAGCACACTAGTCTTGCATAGATGCGAGTCTTGTCGTGTGATTCGCTGTGCATGGGTAGTGTTAATCCCTATCTGCTTTACCTCGAAAGAGTTCAGTCGTGTCCTAAGCGGAACGAAAACTACTGATGTTAGCCGCCGTGTGGCAGACTGTGGATGGGCGCCTGTGGCTGATGTACCGTTTCCCCTTTCCCTTGTACGAATTGCAGTTCACGGAGCAGGACGTTGCCATGACCAACGTCGACTAAGCTACCGGCTATTGCCGCCGTACAGCAACACGATGGGACCCGCCATTGAAGCACAGCGGCAAACATTTCAGGGCTCGGACAGTCCACGGATGGAGCTCATTCGCAGCCGGATATCCAGCAATCCCAGGCTGTGCCGCTGTTCGGCCTCTGTTCGGAGGTCGTAATTGGCAACTGTTATGGACAAAACGGGTCCTTCGTGTGCTCCGCAGAACAGTCTTTGGGAGTTGGTTGTGGTGTCCGAGGCTGCGCCAGTCACGATTGGGGTGGCCGAGGCGGGTTCTTGCACTGAGAATGGGCGGCCAGCGGGGTGCTACAGGCCGCAGGAGGCTTGGGTATCGGCAGCAGTGCGCTCAGCGGGGGGAAAGAGCAGTTCTTGCTTGTGAGGGCCAGAGATCCGCAGAGAGTCCCAATAATTGGCGCAAATGGCAATATGCTGGATACGTTGGTGCAGAGGTCGCCTTGAAGGGGAGATATTAATTCTGTCCAGATCTCTTGTTCTTGTAAGCAGGCTGCAGCTAAGCTCATGGTGTCAATATGTGGCATCGCTACATTTGGGAAAAAACACAATTAAAAGCACGCCAGGGATAGTATCCCTGATTATTCATATTCACGTCTAGAAAGCTGTTCATAAACCCTGACAGTACAACCTTACATCGTCTTGTGATACTTCTTGTTGCTAGTCAATTCGACAAAATTATTCCCGATCCGCATGTTACAAAAATTCTCAATACATACACTACAATACTACACTACATACAAAACATGATACGCCTACCTACATCCTTAAACCTGGCTGCGTATAGTTCACTACCCGGCAACTCCCTCTTGTTCAGAGGCTAACAACGTGAGTTCAATCATCATCGTCATCCGCTGCTAGTTTCTCCGCCTCAAGGTGCTTAAATAACAGGCCCATGGGTCGCACCAGTCGAGGCAGCCAGGGTAGGTCTGCCAGGTTAATCGACATGAGATCCATAGCAACCGCCACACGGGGGTGCCGACTGAGATCCAGCTCCGGAAGAGTGGGATAGCGAGTGCTGAAGTGTGTCAGCACAGTACGATACACACCAGCCTGTGCACGGGTAGATGGGTGGATTGGGAAAATCCCAATTTTCCGGGGCATATTCAACGACATAGATTGGGAAGTGAAAGATGTGGTACACTGTCAGCACGCGCAAATCTCGGTGCGGAATGGCACATGGCGGTGGCAGCAGAGGTACATGACCTGCCAGAAGTCTTGCGCGGGGGGCTGTAACTCCCGTTGAAGGCGGCAATGGGTTCAGCTGGTCACGAACCGTAACCGGCCCCAGAGGCAGACGGCCCAACCGCACGACACCGCCACCCACCTCCTCGCCCACCCCGACCGCCTCCGCTGTGGTGCTGTGCCGCTTGGCCCGCGCCTCCCCTTCCATGCTCTCCTCGAACGTGGCCTCATGCACCAGTAGCGTGGCCCCCCTGGCAGCCTCCACCGTCTGCAGAGATCAGTCAGAGAGCAGGTTGGGGCTCAGGGGACGTAATGCTTTGTCGGCTCTCCTCTCCCACCCACCTCCCCTCCACCAACCACACCCCTTCACCTGCCGGCACGGCCGCGTGTCGCCCGAGAACACCAGCCGCCAGCCCGCACGTCCCTCCAGCACCAGCCCGTGCGCGTCCTTGATGTGCTCCACAGGGAACGGAGCCAGCGCCGCCAGCCCCAGCCGCTCCTTCGCTGCCTCGTACGCTGCCGCCACCGCCTTCGGCATCACACTCATCCCCCGCGCGCCAACACGCCCCCCCCACAACGATACATTTCGGCAAAACAGGAACTGCATCGGCACGACCGCACTGTACCGCAGCAGGATTTCAAACAGGCTGGTGGGGCCAATGATCAGCAGCGGCGGTGCGCCGCGCCGCGCGCGCCACTCCAGCAGCCGGTACAGGCCGCCGTGGTGGTCAGCATGCATGTGGCTGACCCACACGGCCGCCAGCTGCTCGCCCAGGCGGCGCTCCGCCTCCTGCACCCCGAACCGGCGCTTCATCTGCCCCATGGCGTCCTCTCCGCAGTCCACCAGCAGGCCGCCCGCCTCGAAGAGGTCCACGTAGCAGCCCGACACGTTGCGGTACTTGGACGGCTGGGAGCTGGCGGTGCCCAGGAAGGTCAGCTCGGCCATACGCCTGCACGGCAGAGCCCGGTGGAAAGGGGCATCATCGGGTTGCAGTAAGACAAGGCAAGAAAACTGAGGGGGTCCCTGGTTGTTGGTTGGGGGGAGGTGGTTATTTACACCTCCAATATCCTTAAAACAGGCCCCAACCCATGACAGGAGGTTTCACCTCCCTCACCACCCTGTGGATCATTCACCTGTCACCGCTGGTCAGCGGCTCCGGGACCGGCTGATCGGCCGCTAGCGCAGGCCGAGCCTCCGGCACCTCCACCTCCATCACTTCCGTCGCCTCCACCGCCTCCGCTGCCGTCTTATCCGTATCCACACCCGCCCCCTCCACTGCCGCATCTGCCACATCTGCCGCTGCCATCCCCGTCGCCTCCGTCTTCTTGCCATTCGCACCCCCATCGGCCGCCGCTGCCGCCGAATCCCCCGGCACCGCTGTTGCTGCCGCCGCCAAGATGGGCGCGTAGGCGGGGTCTGCACGAACATCCTCCAGAACCTTTGACGAGCTATCATACTTGAACACATCGCCGTACTCCAGGCCAAGTCGCGTCAGCGGCATCAGATTGACCCGCACGGCGCTCGCCGCCTGAATGACGCTGCCGGGATCTAGCTCCGCCTCCGCCACCGGCGGCGGCGCCACCGCATTCCCCAGCGCAAAGACCGGGAAACAGGCCGCGCTAAGGGCGTGCAGCTTGGCCTGGAAGACTGTGGCCCTGGGGATGCTGCTGGGCTGCTGGGCCCCCGAGCTCACCACGACATGGCGCCATGACGGCCCCAGCTGCGCCCGCCACGCCGCCAGGTCCTCCGCCCCATTCACCGCCAGTTCAGCTGGCATCAGGTGTATAGCAACACAGACCCTAGGGCTGCCGCCGCTAGCGACCGCCGCCTTGCCGTCATTGCCTTCGCCGGCCGTCGCGTCTGCCTGAGGTTAAGAACGGGGGTAGGAGGGGCGCGGCCGGAGGGGGTATAGCCGATGGGGACGGAAGGCACCAGGGGGATGATGGTGCCGAGCTGTGATGGGGCGGAAAAGACGTCATGGTGGTATTGGCACTGGCAGCTGGCACTCATGTCTTTCATGATTTTCATGCCATCATGACAGTAAACCTAACATACATTTTCCACGACCTCCACGCCCTCCACGACCCCCACGTTCCCACGTCCCTATCAGCCAGTTCCGCTTCAGCACCGGTCCGTCCGCCCCCTGCGCCGTTTCGAATCCCTAGCTCACCACAAAGCGCCGTACTCGCTCGTCCTTCGCCACCGCCCTGAGGCTCTCCAGCGAGGGTGTATCCAGCAGCAGCACTGCCGGCCCGGGCACTGCGGCCTCCATCACCTCCCCCGGGCTAACCACGCGACCTGACTTGGTGGTCACGGACAGGCCCCGCTGCAGCTGACCGAACAACTGCAAGACGAACGGGAAGGAGAGAAGAGCCGTTGAGAGCCATTGTCCAAATCCTGGGAGAAGGACCGTGAGTAGCTGCTACACGTGCATTTTGAGTGCTTCTCAACCAGACCAGCTCCCTCTCACCCCTCTCGTTCTTCACCCTCTCATGGCCCCGATCCCCCCCTCCGCCTCCCCCGCCCCCTTCTGGTTGCTTACAGGCCCCGGTTCCACCCCCAGCTCAATAGCCTTCTCCGGCATGAACTTGCCCGGCCGCCCCGCCAGCTGGATGGCGTATATCGCGATATCCGGATGCGACAGACCCGCGGGTCGCTGACGACCAGGAGAGTCCTGATGCGAGGGAGGTCACGGCGAGAATGACGGTCTGTGTGTGTATGTGTGTGTGTGTGTGCGTGGTGTGTGTGTGTGTGTGTGATGGCGATGGTGATGGGGGAAGAGGGAAGAGGGAAAAACCAAAGATGATGCAAGCAGCTAAGAAAACCATAGGATGCGAGGCTCGGGGAAGAGCACCGAGTAATGAGAATATTCGCACAAATTGGTTAACGGAATGAAAGCACATCAGGCAGGGGAAGGACTTCCGGTGGTAACCCCCCCCGTAGCAACGTGAAACTCAGTACTGCTACTTGTCTTGAAAACTCGGAGAAGGGGGACGGGGTCGCAGTGGATAAGATGTGAAGTGTGGAATGTGATGCATATCAGGTACTTATCTGTTACCCACTAGCGCCCCCCGGAGGTGAGTGACGGTAAACCCCCTCGGTGCTACCCCCCTTCCGCACCTGCTCATTTGCCGTCGAGGAGGGCTCCGTGCGCTGCCGCTTGGCGGCCGGACCGCCGTCGCCCTCTCCGTCTCCGTCCCCATCTGCGGCCACAGGGGGACCTTCCGACGAGATGTTCGTTTCCCCCACCCGCACCAGGATGGGGGTGATGCTGACCACATCCGTCTGGAGCACGGGCGTCGAAGTGGCGTGGTCTGAAGTACCGGAGCGGGAGGGGGAGCGGGAGGGGGAAGCGAGTGAGGGGTCACGGGCAAACTGTTCAGTGGCCTTCGGGGATAGCGGCCCCGTTTCGGATGCTGCACATCTCCACATCTTGCATTACCCATCGCGCGCCGAGAGGGAAACTCTCTCTCTCACACATCACATCAGGGCATCCCACTGCCCCAGCCCAGAGCCGCAGGCCACAACGGCCTAGGAGCTCTTGCCAACCTCCCACTCCTGCCAAGCTCCCACTCCTGCCGACCTCCCACTCCTGCCCTTTCCTGCAGGGCCCTTCCCTACGCAGCACACCCTCACCGAACTCCTCCACCGCCACGGTGTTTTCCTGGTTGATATAGTTACGGAACGCAGCCACGTAGGAGGACAGCCCCGGAGGCCCTGGGGGGATTCCGGTGAGGGGGGAGGGGGAGGAGTTCACATGAGGAACAATCCCAGACCGCATCGCTCCTCCGAGCGGCAGCATCAACCCTTTTCCCTCCCTTACCCCTCGATCACACACACACACACAAACACATCAGGCAAAGCCACCCCTGACAATCCAGCACCAGGCTGACCGCCATGCGGAGCGCGTAGCCCCCCCGGAGCTTACCTTTGACGGCACATGCGACCTGCTTGCTCAGGAGCCCCCCGGCGTCCGCAGGAAGAACGGATAACGCCATGCCTAGGGGTGCAGGGAGCCCGGCAGGGGACGATATTGGTGTGGTGTGGGAGGTGAAATGCGGGCTGCGCTCGGTGGTAAGGCCAGGCGGGCAACCGCAGCAGTAACCGAGCACCCATACCCAAGGTCATGCTGTACTCAACGACCCAAAAAACACGTTTATCAGCAGGCTGGCTTGTAGGTGCGGTCTCGTTTTGCTGCTGAAGTCGCGCTGCGGCAGGCGGTCTGGACCGAACGAAGGTCAACACAACGCAGCAGCCGCCTCGCAGCCGTGGTGTTGTAGCTTTGGCTGCCTCCGGGCTCTTTTCTCTTCCTTCCCCCCAGCTTTTGGCTCGGAGATCAATCGGTTAAGCACGCACCTGGCAGGCCCCCCAAGGTCTCTGTGGTGATGCGTGTGATGAAGTAGGCGTTGATCTGCGGATTGTTGTGGCAAGGAGCAGTGTGTAGAGGGGAAGCCGCCGCGCGACGCTGTGAGGCTTCGACGGCCGGGGGATTTACCTGGCTGATTTTTATCTTGTGTTCACGAAAGAGGCGTTGAATCCCCTCGCCAGCGTTGAATAAATACCTTTCGTTGTTGAAGAACAGGAGCACCGATGGGCTGGTGTGGTTGATGTCAAGGGCCAACACCTATCGGCAAGAAAAAAAAGTGTCATGTGGTATCTTTATTTTATTTCAAGTGAAAGACTGCGTGGCATGCCTGCAGGTATGACGAATAGTGCCGCATGCCGCCGGCAGAACGTTCGCTGCGTTTTTGCTGTGCCTGCGGTTGCGTTTGCTGCTGCTTTTGCTTTCGCTTGCCATCCTGCTTTGTTTGGGGCTGCACTTCAGCTTGTGCCTGCTTTTTCCCCATTCTTCGTTCGGTTGCGAAACGCAAGAATGAGGTTTGCAGGAAGTAATGATTATCTCGCGAAAAAAGGGGGCGATATCGAAGCATAAGAAAGAATTATATCCGCACATGACTGCGATTCTTGAATCCCCTACCTGGGTGCTACGACGCGACAGTTGAAATCGTACCGAGAGCAACCATCGACTGGCCATCGGGCGTCGGGCCCAGATGAGTCCTGGGTAAATATTATCTAAGATTCACATTTCATGGTCCCAGTCTAGCACATCCGAACGCGCTTGTTCTGTATTTGGTACTCTTTTGTTCGACGATGTGTCGCAAGGTGAGCGACACCACGATATAGACTTCCCCGACTCGCCAGGGGTCCTGGCGGTCACGTCGGCACTTAAAGTATTCCTGCAGGTCCCTGCAGGTAGAACTTTACAGGGCTTACATATGTCTGTGCATACCATGCGGTCAATCCCACAAGACCACATAGCATGGACCAGTACTGCTGTGCGGCTTTTTCTGGTGGTAGCGTAGTCGGTGTGCTGCGTCCACCTTTAACGCAGCTGCCGGCACATCTGGAGGTGAAGAAAAGCTTCCGCACCATCTTTGCGTTGCATGGAAGCGGCTCTCCGGCAATGGGCTTAATTTCAATACGCCCATCCTTGAGGTGTTGTGGGCATTCCATACTCCGCATTTCTTACATATGCCTCAACATGAGCGCACGCAAGTATAAAACATCAAGTATATCGACGGGATGGAAATCTGTGTCCTGTCCGGCGTGGTGGGCAGCCACCACAGCGTGTCGCCGGGAAAAGACGAATCCTGCACCGACCTAGCAGCCTCAAGGCTATTTTAAGGGAGCATCGCCCTTTGTGCGACATGCGAAAAACCCAACGTGCAACCCTTAACCCCCCACCCTCGCGTACCACCTAGTGGCATGGTGGGCTGCCACGAAACTGTACACAGCACAATTGGCGCTCGTCACACCGTTCACAGGTTGAAGATAGGAGGTGAGATGCGCACTGATTCCCGGCCTGACACACACGTCGCACACTGGTAGAGAGCCAGCACGGCCTCGCGGCCTCCCGGAGCCGAGGAAAACAAGATCTCAGGTCAGGCACAAGAGGCCATCACACAATCCCCAGATGCTTTGGAATGCGTCAGTGTCTTTATACTGCGCTTGGGCTCAGGTTCCAGTGCCCGATGAGGGTTGGGTGGTGCAGCAGCTACTCTTCCACCTGCCGCAACCGCCGCCATCACTATCGACCACACTACGTGGCGGAGTGTCACAGCCGCTACTCGAAACAATGCAGTCACGTGCTCGTAGGCGGTTGCATCCAGGGCCCTTCCATTGACCACCACACTCAGATATCACACCAGCGCATTTACAAGAGCTTTCTTCCCAAGAGTACAACCCGCTCGGCACATGCTGCCAAATAAACATCCCGTGCTATCATGCACAACCTCAACTGACAACTCCTCATCTGTCCACTCAGTGTCCTCCACGAGGGCAAGAAAGAGTAGAAAACGTCCTATGAGGCCCCAGCCCAAGTCCCCACGTGCCCGCCGCTGCTGCTACCGCTGCTGCTGCTGCTGCCTATGCCATGACGGGTTGCCCCGGGTGAACTCGCGCATGAGGGTTGGGGTGGGAATTGTGGTGACGGTATTGGTGACCGTCGGGGCCCATCGTGCCGTGGATGTGCACGTGCACGTACCGCCGTAGCACCTCCTCGTTCAGCCCCATCTGTCCCACCTCTGCCATTGCCAGCAGCACGTCCGTACAGGTAATCTCGTGATCCACAGGGCCCTCCTCCGCCCGCCGCCCAAATCCAGATCCCCCAACACCGCCTCCGGACGATCCGTCTCCGCCTGCACCGGCAGACACCGCCCGGGCAGCTTGTCGCGTGTGCGGACTTGCACCCACCATTCCCCGGCCGCTGCTGCTGCTGCCGCCACCGCCACCGCCAGAAATGCCGACGGGACCCTGCCTTCCCGGGCTCGGGCTCGGGCTGAGGGCGTGTGCGGCAACACTGACAGCAGCGACTTGGGCTTGGGGCCCCCCAGGCGTTGCTGCAGCTACCTGACCGCTTCCACTGCGCGCTGGGCTGGGTCCGGCCAATGACCCCCGGGCTGGGCTGGGGCCAGTGGACGCCAGCGGGCCTCCGCGGTGTCCCCGGCTGGTGGTGGGGGTGCAGCAGGCGCCGCCGGGGCTAGGACTTGGATTCGGGCTTGGGCTGTGTCTGGAGGCAGAGCCTGGCCGAGGGTGTGGCGCTGCGGCGGCGGCAAGCCCCATCCCCAGCCCCAGTGAGATGTCCGGCTGGCCGGCGGCGGGTGGCTTGCTGCGGCGGTACACGGCGACGGTGGTGACGCCGGTGCCGGGGTCGATCCTCGAGGCGGACAGCAGGCCGTAGAACTCCGCGAGCCCGTGCACCAGCAGGCGGGCGAAGCCGTCATCCATGGGGATATGCAACTGGTCGCTGGGACCAGCCTGCCATGTAAAGTTAAAAGTGATATAAGGTTAAATGTAGCATTAGAAGTAGCATGAGCAGCGATGTAAGGTTAAAAAGTTACGTTAGAAGTAGCAATGCGCAGGTGACCTAGCCGCAACAGCTCCTGTACAATCTCAAACAGGAACAGGCTTGTGTCCCATGCCGCGTATGTAAGGTATCGGTGTGGGTATGGCTGAACCACCAGCCCTAAGCCCCACACCTCCTCTTACCTGTTCGAAGAAGTCCAGAATTTGCAGCTCCAGCTGCATTACACTGGAGGGGTTGGCGCGCTTCAGTGCGGCTCGCGCCTTCTTGCCCACTGCTGCCCAGCGCTGCAGCGCCAGGGCCGCCTGGCTCATGGGCCGCTGCCGTAGAGGAGCGGACTCCCGCTGGTGCGCAGCCCACTTCTGCAACAGCATCAGGGATGACAGCAACAGCCGGGCCGTCGTTCGCGCCGAGCACCCAGAAGTACCTCAGAAGCATGTACACCACCTGGACACTGACGCATATCCTCATTCACACCAGTGCTTCCATGGGAATCCGGGGCCCCAGCGCCACATCCTGCTCCCACCTGCAGCACGCGGGCCTCCTTCTCGGGATCGATGTTGCGGAAGTTGTCCCACAGGGCCGCGTTTGCGGGAGCCATGGCCTGTGCCAGCGGGCTCGGGACGGCTACTCCAAAGGGCGCCGGCTTGAACTGCGCCTCCATGTCACCCGCGCTAAGAGGACCCGCCAGGTCTCGCAGCGTCTTATCGTTCAGCCAACGGCGCCGGCGCCGGACACCTGCGGCGGTGGTAAAGATGGGGTGGTGATAATGATGATGACGATTGCTTCAAGTCAGGGGATGGAAACGGGCTTTGAGCCTTAAGGACAGCGCATATCAACGGAACGGCGCGAGGGCTCTAGGGGCCATGCGGGGAGATGAAAAGTGAGGGAGTCCAAAATTTGCCAGAGCTGGTGAGTGGTGGTCCCTGAGAGGACGGACGGCACAGGTGAGGGCACCGCGCCGAAGGCCACAAGGGTTTTCAGCACTTCAGGCAAAGGCGTCAAGACGTGCGGCACTGACTGTGACCTGAATTCTTCAATGCCCCAAGCCCCGACCTGCATTCTCCATGGCCTTAATCTCTGCCAGCTCCAACTCGGACATAGCGGCCGTGCGCTGACGGATTAGCTGCACGAACTGCACGTCTTTGCCGCGGAGCTCCGCCTTGCGCCTCCGAAGCTGCTCACGCTCACGTTCCTGAGCTAGATACTGACCTAAGCTGCGCCCATCTGGCATGATGTAAGGTGCGTGAGCTGCCATGTTCTTGAACAGCGCGTGGTGCTGAGGACTTCAGAGTGCTCAGATAGTCTCTAAAATTTATCAAGAGAAAACATACATGAAATACTGAATAACACGACTCATCCATACCGAGAAGGTGCGCAGCGTCGTACCGCGTTTCCCAACTGCTGTGGATTTTTGTGACACGCTATATCCACAATGGCCGTGGCAATTCATCAGTTTCAAAGCCACCATACGTAAATGCGCACCATTCCAGGCTTTATAGTTGTCCGCAATTGCTGCAAAGCGAGCGTTGTACATAGACCTGGACAGCAGTGGACAAGGAGCAACCTGCATAACACTTTATCCTCAACGCGTTCGTGCTCTACCCGACGACGAACTGGCCTATCTAGGGACGCCGACGAAGGCAAGTCCAGGGTTTGAGTGTTTGCCAAGGAGTTTTCCGTGATGATGGGGCTTTCTGATTAAGATTGCGTCGTGAGAAGCTGTTTCTTTTGATCTCGTAATCATGCAGCAAAGACAATTATTTGGTTTGAACCGTTGGTGCCGTGCTCGGAATTGCTTCTCCCAGCAGGTACACGGCAACCTTTCTGCATACATTACAGGGATCAAAATCAGCACGCTTGGCATGTTTCAGCTCTGCAAGGGTCAACTGCAGACCCCTCGACAAGTGTTTCGGCATCAACCCGAGCAATTTCAGCCTTCTTGGAGGGGAACCTGAGAGGCTCATGCCAGACTCATGCCTCGTCCATTCCATTCTGGCCCTCCACAGGATCAGCCATGACGCTGAGCGTATCTGCCGCTGGCCCCGCGGATGTACCTGGACCAGAATCCCCATCTACTAACAAAGCCAGTACACCAGGCACCCCTGTGGCCGTAACCGGGTGTGAAACCTCAACTACCGGGCCTGCTATGCTTGGGCGCCCATATGACCAATACATCAGTTCCGACTTCCTTGGGCCAGGCCCGTTGCCGGCAGGCCGGAAAATCTACCTAATTGTGCTCAACTACTGCCTTCCCGCGGGCCTTCTCCACGTATGGCCGTTAGGTGAGTCACCTACTATGCCGAGGAGTCCACCAGGCAAGCATTGGGGAATCAGGACGCTTGTTCAGGGTACGGCGGAATCAGGGGATGCTGGAGTGCATACGCGTGAACTCACTGCCCTTTCAGCCGGTGACAGGTTGGTCTTGTTAAGGCCAGCAAAAGCGCCGGACCCCCGCCGGGTCCTATTCGGGTCCACTGGTAGATGAGTGTCGATCATTTCCAACAGGTCTTGGTCGGCACACAGAAAACATTAATGCCACCTTGCTTGCGCATGCCGATCAGGGCATGTGGGTCAGGTCACCAAGGCATGTGGGTCTCAGGGCATGTGTACGACTAAAGCCAGGGTTTGTGTACGACTAAAGCCTCTGGGTTATAGCCGCCATATGAAGCCTGCGTTTATGCTCGACAGCCACAGTAAAGTACGCGAAACAGTCCAATATTGCTGACAGTGCTGAGTGCTGACCCGATTTCCCCGCGATGACTGTGCCTTGCCATTGCAGCATCCTTCCGCATATGCGCGGACGGCGGCTCCAACCGCTTGTACGACGAGCTGCCGGCCATGATGCCACCGGCCCCCGAAGACATTACCACCGGGTTGGAGGTCCTGAATGCAGAGAAGGACATGGCACAAGAGGCCGTGACGAAGGCGGCGACAGCGGCACGATCAGAGGCAGCATTCGGGAGTGGACAGGTTGAATCAGTTCCCATGTCCGGCATATGCACTCTAGGCCAAGCATCTGCGAACGGCGGCGGTGCCGCGCTGGCACCGCATGGCCATGGATACAGCAGCACCACTACCGGCGACGTCAAGGACAGTGACCCACATGGGCCCAGCGGGCCAAGCTACCAGGTCAAGCACCACGAGCGCAGCGCCGCCGGCTTGGGACTCCACACCGATATTTCCACCTTGTTACGGCTGGCATATTTGCCTGATGTCGTATTGGGTGACCTGGATTCCCTCAGACCAGATGTACGGCAGTACTACGTCCAACACGGAGTGCCTTTCATGGATATGTCGTACGACCAGGATACCAACGACCTTGCGAAGGCGATCTCGTTAATTGAGGAGCGCTTTATTAGGACGGACCTAGACCACAGCCCCGACCGCCATCAAATTCTGGTGCTAGGTGGGTCGCGTGGGGCCTTGCTTGGTATGCGGGGAATGCAGGTTCGTTGGCGGCATGGAGAGGCTGGTGCGGCAGCTGAGTGCACGTCTGATGCGGATCAAGGGCGCAACAGTCGTCGGTCGTCGCTTGGTGGTCTCGTGGTCATGGAGCAGCAGGGATCCGTTTTGTTGTCCTCCTTAAGATGGCCCATCTGGGTCACCTCTTATCAAAGCCAAAGCCGGCCCTCAGTAGTTCCCCCCACTCCATTCGCATTCAGCCCCCGGTTGTTCAGTCAACGGACCGGCCGTCCCAGCTGCTCTCTCAGCCACACGGGCGAGGAGAGGAGGAAGAACCAACACTTCTCCTTGGTGCTCATTATTGTTTTTTATCCCTTGGTGCTGAACTCCCAACCCACTTGCCCCACCACCTAGTCACCCCTCCGGAACCCTGCCCTTCGCACTCTTTGCACCTGTTAACCCTGGCCAGGTGCTCTGGGTGGCCGTCTGGACCACACCCTGGCCAACCTCAACGCACTTCACATGTTCTCCCACCTCAACATCACCTTATGGGGTGACGGCAACCTGGCGCGGCTGGTTCGCCCGGGCAAGGCGCTCATAACACCGGATGAAAGGTGCGGATGCCCTGGCATATGGGCGACGGGGCATGAAGGCGACGGGGGATGGAGCTCGGTGGGCGATTGCAAGTGTGGGGGCTATCAAGCCAGATTGAGCAGAACGGGAGTTGCGCGTGCGCGTATTTAGGGAAACTCGTTTTGGGGCGAAGCCCCGGGCGCGGAAAGCGCCTTCCGCGGGACCGAGGCCCTCCGAGGTTCACCGTTGTCAGTCAGTCAGTCAGTCAGTCTGCGTCGTGTGTCATTATGAACTCGCATGCCACGCTGAACTGAGAGTTGCATGTAAAAGCTGCAATAATTCTCTATCGATTCACATTCATCCGTGCGCGAAGATAGCTTCCCGCGGCCCATGGATTTGGCTCACCATCGCGAACTAACCCATACAGCCACAACCATCAGCAATAATAAAATATACGCCGCTCAGCTCAGTGCCGTGCAACCTCCCCTGCGGAATACTGTGGGGCAACCGGCTGCACCGGGGCCGAGCCCTTTTCCGCTTCGAAGCAGCCGACTACCCCAGCCGGGTTATGGATTGTCAGCTAGGTTCTCTCTTAGCCGCTGCTGCCCTCGCTTCACAATCCCTGTGCGGCTTTAGACGGCATAAACGCTGCGCCTTCCGATCTGCTGCAACTTCCCCCGTTAAGTACCCGATCCCCACCTCCCATCCTTGCTTCCCCCTCTTTCCCGGTGCAGGTTCGAGGGACCCACGTGCGGCCTGATCCCCATTGCCGGTCCCGTCACCGCCACCTCCACCGGCCTCAAGTGGAACGTGGCCTCCACCCAGCTACGAGTGGGCGGTTTGGTGTCGTCATCCAATATGCTGACTGGGACGGCAGTGGAGATCAGCTGCGACGGACCGCTGCTGTGGAGCACGGAGGTGCACATGGAGCCGCGGCCCGACCTGCGTACGTTGTGGGCGCGGACGGCAGCTGCGGCGGCGGCGGCACATGCGCGGGAAGAACAGCAATGTCATCATCAGCAGCAGGTGCTGCAGTTGCATTAAATGGGGGGCCCCTCATTGAGGCAGCTGAGGTGGTGCCCGTGTAGCTGGGGTAGTGGAGGGTTGGAGGCTGATCGGGAGCGCCAGTGCTTGGAGGGATAGCGTACGTGTTTCATGTGAGCGGTGGCATTTTGGAGGTTCAGGTGGGCTGGTGGCATGATGTTGTTTGTGTTGGGAGTGGTGGCAGGGCTTTGCAACGTTCCTGTGCCGTGCCGCTGTACGCGTCAGTGCAATGATGTGCGGATGCGCGTCGTTACGTTTCAGTCGCGATGAGGAGGACGGACAGCAACACGGCTTTTGACCTGCGTGCAGAGGGAGATAGGCGAGGGGGATAGGCAAACCAGGCCGGCACATCATTTTCCCGAGGGTGCAGATGTGCGGTGACGCGAACGCGACTAACACGTGGCAGGTGTGTGGTGTGATGCGTACGGAGCACTGCAAGGAGTGGTATATATGTATGTTTATTGCAAGGAAGGGGAGCAGGACTGTGGGAGGGACGCCATGGGCATCAGCGTTAGGGACATATAGGGCGCTGAAAAGTGAATAGCGGATAACCTGCTAAGGAAGCGTCTCCCACCTCCAGAGCGCGTGGGCGGCATAACTCCTACTAAGTGTATGTTGTAGTGCTTAAGCTGCCTATGTTCCCTGCGTTCGTGATACTAGACCGTGAAAGGACTCCCGGCATAGTAGTATTGCATGGCGCAATTTCATGAGCATGCGAAGTGTTAATGCTGTGCTACTTGTAGTCATTTTGTGCTTGCAGAGTACTAGTCGAATGATGTACGGAAGTGTGTATCGATAGGCGGCACGTATTGAATGTGGAATTTCACTGGAGGGTTTGGCTTGTTTAGGTATGTGTGTGTGTATGTACGTGTCGGGTGCATGGGTCAAAACAGGGGCAGCAGATTCGGCACGTAGTGGTGGTTTCGGCAATAGCTAGGCTATCCATCACTCCCCCCATTCCCTGCCAAGCCGATTGGCTGTCCTGGTTAGGAGCTGGACAGGTAAGCACTGTGAGGGGTTTTAATTATGGAAGTTGGATCAGACGGAGCTGAGGTGTCGATGTATGTCTGTGTGACCCTTCTCAGCCGTGTGGGCAAGGTACTGCTGCAGCCTATCCATAGGATTGAGGAAAGTCCGCTCGTGCCCCCCTCCACATCTCGAGTCCAAAGGGGTTACTATAGGCGAGGGCTGGGCGGTGGCAACGCTGCCCTTAGCCCAGTCTCGTGCAACCAAGTCTAGTAACGTTAAGTAAAGTTATATCCCTTAGTGCGGCGTAAAAGGAGGCCTTGGACGCATATTCATCGGTGCATGATGCGTCGTAAGCTCTCGCATGCATATAATAATCTGTTATGACAAATAGTAATCGCTGATGCGCACAGTTGATGGCGTGCTGTGATCCTGGCCGTGGCTTCCGAGCGCGTTCAAGATGCCAGTGGCTGTTGCGCTCTGCAGTGCTGTGTCGGGAAGCCAGCAAGCCTTGCCGATGCGTTCCCCCACACATTCCGCCCCCCCGCGTGCTACCACCTATTATTTGCTCCCTCTGACCTATCTTTCACGCGACGAGAGTGTCTTCGAGCTTCAACGCCACCACCAAGCAAATACCCAGTCAGGAGGCAGTCACAAGGAGCATTCAACCTCTCCAAATGCACCCAAACCACGACGACGCAGTTGCTCGCTATCTCATGCTTCACAAAGCAACTCATTATGATACACGCCTGCCTACCCTGCACCGCCCGTGCTCTCTTATCCAGGAGACCTGCAACGGAGCAGCTCGCCTACCTGGCGACATCTCCTGCGTCCCGCTTGCTGCCTGCCTGCCTGCCCGCCTGCATGCATGCCTGCATGCCGCTGACTGCCCCTTGCTCGGGGGCCTTACAGCCCTTAGTCCGTGCCCCTTCCCCTCTCCCGTCCTTCTCCCCCTGGAGTAAATAAACCTCGCGTCGTGATTATTCACTATCGCACTTTCGTCCGCAACTCCCCACACCCTCACCGCAGTTCATCCGCAACCCTTTGATATCCACACCCCTCTTATACCGCCAAGTGTCGTCTTGTCCCACACCCTACCTCAGTCCCTCAGGCCCTCTCTCCCGCATTCACTCTTCCACCCAGCAACCGTCACTGCTAACCCCCTGCACCGAAGCGTATGCGTCAAGCGACGAAACCTTGCCACCCAGCAGCCCGCAGATACCCCCAGTTCCAGGCACCCAACGAGAGACCGCACATGCTTTGCCAAACGCCACTGAGACCCGTGGGTCACGTCTTGCGCCCGGTGTAACCGGGTCCGTACGGCTTGTAGTTTTCAATAATGAGAGACTTGTCCATGGTTCGCACTGGCGCGGCGTCCTGCGGTGCCATAAACACATGCTTTTATAGGGTTGCTTTCATTCCTCAGTGGTCCGCGGTTGTCGGCTTGCTAGACGCCGCCCACGCGCGCACCCGCACACAAACAAAGCACCTCCTCCACGAGACCCCGAGTCCCTACTTGCCCTTACCGCCGGTGTTGCCGTTTTGGGGATGTGGCCGCCGTACCCCGGTATGTGCGGACTCGCTTTCGTGGTGCCCAGCTGCGAGCACATGCACACATTTGGGGGCTTTGTCATATGCTGCATATAGAAGCCAAGGGGCAACTGTCTGTCGAAGTCCAAAGCAGCAAGTGATCTAATGGTTCAAACCGACATGGAAGTGGATGGTGGGAGGGGGCGGGTCGGCGGGCAGGTACGGGGGATGGGAAATGGGTGTTGAGGTGCAGCGGGTGCCGGCGGATGCTGGATGACAACAAATGAAAAGGGGGCCGAGGGTGAGGGCGAGGTAGGGCGGGCAGTGCGATGTAGGAGGTGTAATAACCACGTGGACTATCAAAGAGCCAAAAAGCGGCGCCAAGGCAGCTATGTAAACTGAACAGCAGCAGCAGTGTGAGCCTCTTGCTTGGTTCCACAACCCTTCCCTGTGGCGTGCGAATAAGAACTTTCCGCACCCGCCGGCAGATCGTTGGCGGCTTTCCGCCAGTATCCACCTCCCTCCCGCAGTTGCCCGCCTCCCAAAAACCATTGTACGACCATACGAGCTCAAGCAGTCCTATCCCCGCTCCCATCTCGCACCGACCGCGCATGCATACACTTACCCCCAGCGCTGCCTCGGGCTCTGCCCTAGGCCCCGCCGCTCCCAGCGCGCTCCCGAAGAACAGCCCCCCTGCTATCGGCTGCTGCTGCTGTACAATTTTCTTGCCCATACGCTTCTTCTGCTCCAGAGGTAGTCCCGCCTGCATCGCCTGGTAGGAGCTCATCGCTGCCGAGGAGGTGGCAGCTGCCTCCTTGCCGGCGGTAGAAACGAAGGAATCGGGGTCCTCTTGGAGCTCGGCACCGTCATGCGCGACTCGGGATCTGGTCAGCGAGACCGGGATGACCTTGGCCTCGTCGCGAGGGGCCAGGCCGGGACCTAGCTGATCCTGGAGGGAGGGGGAAGTTTGTAGGCAGGTGGGACAGGACAGGGAAATACGTGGCCAGGGCAGGCGCGGAAGGCAGGGAGAGGAAAGCTCTGTTGCGCCAACTCAGGTATCGGAGTGATATGAAATGCAGGTGCAAATCGTTGATCGCAGTTTGGGGAAGGAGGGCGTTGTTTCGTTTGGAGATTTGTCGCTTGCGTGCGGGCCCATGTCTCGAAGTGACCCTCGACCAAGGGAACTCCAGGCACACCTGTGGGGCGCCTACGTGACGCCGATTCGTGGGAGGAAAGTCTTCGAATTGCGCCATGCTGACTTTGTTTGAACCCATTCTTGTTTTGGTCGTCGATATATCGAGAAGTTTCAAGCAAGGTTGTGCGTCTTTACAAATGAAAAAGCTTGAACCTACGAACCATAGAGTTTATAGCAAATTCTTGCGCGTTGCGCAGAGCGAAGGTTGAAATGTTGGACGAGCATTCGTGCGCGATTATACTCTGTGGTAAACATAGTTTTCCATCCGTTCACTAATCTCCCATGCCTCATTCAAGTTCACGGCTTGTGCCATTTGAAACAGTGGATGCTTTTCTTAGGGTTGAAATAAGGGCGTCCCTGCCATCGGCTGTAGTTCGCACAGCGCAGCCGGCGCCTGCCCCACGTTGCGTTACCCGCTTCTGCAAGAACCCCCAAAACGTCTGTATGTCTGGCCGTAATCAGTACTTTAACCAAGGGGTAGCCTCTGCGCACGGAGATGGCGCCGAATCACATCGCAGCGGTGGCGCCCCTTCCTGGCAAGCCTACAGACGCGGCGGGGGCCGCGGCCGTGGGGGTAGGAGCGGAGGGGGCGGTAACGATTACAATCGGCCCGTCGGTGGTGGAGGCGGAGGCCGGGGGCAATGGAACCCCAGCGGCAGCGGCAGGTTCACCGGCGGCGACGATGACCCGGTACGATGCAGGCCTTAGGGTTTACCCAGCAGCGCAAGCTTTCCACATCCCCGCTTTTGCCGCCGCCATGCGTTTTACTGTCGACATCGCACCTTTGCCGCCAAAAAACCGGCCACTCAGGCGGGCCCAGGCCCCAGCTCCGGCCCCAGCCCCGCACTGGACTTCTCCCCTCCCCCCGCCGCCGCCATGCTTCCCCCGGCGGTCCGGAGGGCTGTGGACGCGTACGTGGCCAGGTGGGGACTGGGCTGTGTGTATGTATGTATTATGTATGAATGTATGTATGAATGAATGTATGTATATATGTTTCACCCCACTAGAGCCGTCACTCGATTTCTTGGGCCCATACAAGGCCCGCTCGCTAAACACATCGCTATGACCGGGCCGCCGCCGCCGCCGCCGCCGCCGCTGATGTCTGCCCAAGCCAGCCCAACCCAACCCAACCCCAAACCCTGCGGCGCAGGTTTGCGCCCCTGGTGCAGATGGAGCTGGAAGAGGTGCGTTTATGTACGGCAACTGTATGATGTACGCCATTTGTACGACACCCGTGATCCGCTTGCCATTCGGGTTTGTGTGGGCGGATAGGCGTGTGGATGGGTTGTGCGGATGAGGCCGCTGTTAGAGCTTTTGGAACCATTTCCTGGGTGGTGCATAGCGGCGGGTCATGCAGCTCTCGTAAAAACACCTTCACCTCCCCACACCCCTCCTTTTCTGTGTCATGGCTTTGGACTCGTACAGCAGCTGTTGCTTTACATTTTAGATCACCATTATCATTATCATAACGAGACTCACCATCACCACCAGCTTCATCCCACGCCATCCTCCTCCCCCCCCTTCCCTCCCTCCCTCCCACCTCCTGGCACAGGAGCAACGCCAAGTCGATGAGCGGCTGCGCGTGTGGTCCCTGTCCCGGTTACGGAGCGAGGGTCTGGTGCTGACGGACCTCCGGGCGGCACGGAGGGGATCCTATTTAGGCAAGGTCATTGTACGACTGACGGCGGCCGATGGCGGGGAGCTGCCCTTCCACCGCTTCACGTGAGAGGGAGGCCGCCGGGCCGGGGGGGGGCAGGCCGGGGGGAGGGGAGGGAGAGAGATATCTACGACACTAACAATCTCCCGCCTTAATATCATTACCCGGGGCCCCCCCCTCGCCTGGTACACTCTTGCCCTGGCAGCAGCTTCACTCGTTCGTAGTTCGTCTTTCCCCCACCCGCCATTTGAACAAGCTCCCTTCCCCACCGAACCCGCAAACGTACCTCTCTTCCGGCCACCTTCGCGCACCTCATTGTGTTGATAAGAGTGGCCGTGTGAAGCTTAAGGTTGGGTTCACCAGGGCCTTTCGCTTCCTCCGGGGCCTTTCGCTTCCCCCTCTTTCGCGCTCCTCCCTGCTTCTCCCCCCCTTGGCCCCCAGGAGCGGCACCCTGGTTACGCTGTGCCGTGCCAACCCGCTATCGGAGCGCACCGCCGAGGGCCTGGTGATGGATCGGAGCCGGGGGGAGGTGCGGCTGGTGGTGGACTGCCCGCCTAGGGGGCTGGGGGAGGGCGTGTGGAGGTGAGGGCCCGGGGGGGAGGGGGGAGGGAGGGGGAAAGAGGAAGGTGAAGGAAAAGTGTAGAGAATACGGCACTGTGGACGTCCGGGGGGGAGGGGGGGGGAAAGACGAACCACGAACGAGTGAAGGTGATGCCAGGGAAAGAGTGCTGCGGCAGAAGGAGTAAAGAAAGGATAACTAAACAGGGAAGGGGGGGACGGCAAGTGGAAGGGGGAAAATGTGGGGAAAGGGGAATCCGCGTGGAGTCTCTCGAGCTATTGTCGTTAACCTTGTTGCTGGCAAAACTATTTTTCCTGCCACTGCTGACATGGCGCCCGTCGCGCTAATCTGTCTCTCAACCGTTTCCGCCGTACCACCGTACCGTACTGCTGTACTTCTTACCCTTCCAAAAAGAGTGGACAAGGGTGTCAACATCACCACTTACCAAAGGATGGCACAGGCGTTACAAGCACTATACAAAGACCCCGACCTGGCGGGTGGTGGCGCCGCCGCCCGGAGTACGGCAGATGACGTGGAAGACGACGATGAGGACGGCGATGGTGAGGCGGAAGGGGAGGGACCGGAGTACGGCGGCGCGGAAGGATACGAATACGGCCGCGGTGGCGGTGGTGGGGGCGGCAGGTACGGCAACCGCCGGGGTCGGGGCGGCGGCCGCGGCCGCGGCGGCCGTGGCGGCGGCGGCAAGCGGCGGCGGCGGCGGCAGGACGACGAGGAGGAGGACGAGCTGCCGCCGGGGACCCATTTGGCGGATGTACTGCTGGCGGCGACGCCGGCTGCGCTGGCCACCGCGGCTGCTCGTCCCGCCCCCCTGCTTCCCGACGCGACCCTCCGCTGGTCCGCTGCCCACCTGAGCCCGCCCTCCGACCCCCGCGTAGAGGACCCCGATATGGGCTCAACA